GGTGGTGGCAGATGGCCGACTCGGGGCGCTAGAGGCTGCTTGGTTGGCCGGTTTACTTGGGTGTCGGCCTTGTCTGGCCTTGCGTAACGGCGGAGCGCAAGGCTGAGATGCCCAAGTGAACCTTGCGTTGCGCGGCACACGTCGTTATGCGCGTCCTGAGATGCCCAAACGGGTCAATGATATGATTGACCACTAGGCCAGGCTGAATCCTTCCACTGGGTGGGTGGGAGCAACGGCGAATACCCCAATTGTGGAAGTAGCGGAACGTCCGTAGATCCGGCACAGTCCCACGGATCCAACGAGCTGACGTCTAGCTCTCGGCTTCGCGTGGATGCTGCTCGGGGATTTAGGTCAATCAGCTCGTGAGGGCTTAGAGAACGACGCGTAATGATGGTCTGGGGATCGCGAGTAGCACTCAACCATTCCAATGTACAGCTTGGTTGGCGGAGCCGGGGGGGTGAGCTGGGCGAGAGAGCGGGTGAGATGGGACGTCGGTATGGGAGACAGCATTCACACAACCTTATATCTATCCTGGGTAATTACATCAGGGTGAGCCAGTACAGCGACCTGGAACATGAGAAACTAGTCGCCGGACCATACCAAAGAGCACCACGGCGATTGGAAGCACCTCGACGATGGGTAGCGATCATGCGCTGTTAGATCCAAAGTTCCAGACAAGGGCTCTCCGATGGCCCCCTCCCCCATGAGCCTAATTCAGCTTGGAGGCTGCAAAGGTTCAGCTGTCGAAGAGCTATCCGCTCGCGAGGCAAGTGTTCCAACTGGCCCATAGCGGAGGCTAAGTGGGCTGGCCATTCCGATCCTGATTTGTGGCGTTGTTGCCGGGACTTCGTAAGCGCAATACCATGTACGAGGGACTGCCTGACCTATTCAAAAACCCACCCACCTGCTGATCCCAGGACCAGTGCACTAGTTAAATAGCCATGGCCGTGTGGGCATCCCCTGCTGCGAGGAAATGCAGGTAAAGGATCCTGCAGATGCTCGAATCCGGCCAGCTCGAGACTCTGCGCGCATTCGATCAATGTTCAGCATACATTGGTACTGGTGGCAATCGGTAGCCTTGCAGACTAATACGTGCCAGTGGCTAATAATATTTTCCTCTTGTTCGTTTTCTGAGCATGGGCCCTGGTCTCTGGTCAGATAGTCAGCTGTTGGAAATTCTTGTGCGTCCATGCGCGAAGTGGCAAGGTACAGCCCACCGGCCTTCTCATTCCCCGAAAAGGAGATCTTCTAGATTGCGATTTTCCACTGGGAAGGTGCACACATGTGCCCGGTGTCCGCGATACGGAATCTGGATGGAAATGGAACAAGCCGTCGATTCCCAGGGGCGCGGGTTTGGCACAATGATGCGGTAAACTCCACCAACATCGAAACATGAAAACAAGGCTGGCTGGCAACCCCAGGCGCCCCCTGGTTTTCAGCCTAAAAAATAACCAAACCCGTTGCGACAAGCTTGTTTGTTCATGATGTGTTTTGTAGGCGGGGCCCAACAAGTTGTAGAGATCCATTGTGCGCCGCCAGATGCATGTTGGTGGGCAACACACTACTGTAAGCCGCGGGTGTGTACGCTTGTGTGCGAAGGATCCAGTTAAAAGAGGAAGCATAGGCTATTTGCTTCGTGGGGAAACCTATTCGCTGTTGTGCCATGGGCCTGGCAGGCTATCGGATCTACCTAGCTCTGAGATGGAATGTGCGAAAGAAGCACTCTGTCTCTTCTTCCACTTTTCGCTGAGGTGAGCCTCTGAATGGGTCCATGGTATGTACATCGACATACCTCTAGTTCAGGGCAGATGATAGAGTGTGAGACCAGGGCTAGGCTTGCCCTCGCATTGCCCCTAGACCCTGCCTACGGGGAGGGATGCGATGCGCCAAAATAGCGATTGGCTGGCCATCAGCCCTGTGATAGTTTGGGTAAGATGTCCCATTGGCCTTCATACGCAGGCGTTGCCTCTGGTCTGTTTGTGGAGAAGAAGGACATCGAGATGTGTTGCCCGGCCAGGGATGGTGATAGCCTCTATGAAAGGCCTGTCTTGGCTCCGCACATGCATCAGCGGGTGTAAAGATATCAAGTTGCAGCGGGTTTCTGCTGAAATGTACATGCGTTTCCTGACTTTGCTGATGGATCTATCTGTCTGCGTCCTGGTTTCTTCTGGCTCCCACCATGACGTCCCATGAGTCATCCCAGGAAACCGCGGCCGACCAACAAACTTACTCTTCTAGGCGATTATTATTCTGAGAAGGAGCGACAGCCAGACTTACAACCTTCAGGCGACCTCCCGGCCGCTACGACGGTGTCTACAGAGGAGGCTGGAGTGGGGCACCTCAGGCACAGGCTTTGAAACCTCGACCAGGGGCCCACAGCCGCTAACGCCTTTGGGAGGGCTAGGCGCGATGCACTTGCTGGTGTTCACCACTCAGATTTGGTCGCCAAAGGTGATTCCTTCCCGTTCTAGCAGTTTCAGGGCGCCTGGCCCGATACCTGGCGCCGAGCGTCACTGTACAGACGACCCTGGCTCTCTATGGCCTAGGGTCCAGGTATAGATACCAGCCGAGGCAGTACCCAAGCGGCACCTTCCAGGCCAGCCGGCGGGAGGCCGTGGGATTGGCTTGGCCTGACTTGGCCCGGTCTGGCTCAGCTTAGGGCATTGGGCTGGGCTGGAAGGGCTGCACATCGCATCTGCATGCACATATTCCACGCTCCTTGAAATCTCGTGGATTCCGTGTGGAGGCCGCGACCAGCTGAACAAGGGGACCAAGTGGCTCCCACCCCTCGACTGGGCCCGACTGGCAGGCAACCATCTTGCGAGTCGATCAGTGCCCCTCATATTACGCCCACCTGTAGTGCCGCCCAGCTTGCACAGCCGCACAGCCAATTTTACGAGCGCGACGGATGGCGAATCCAGGCAATTCGAATTGATCAACCACCGACGGCGACGAGCAAAGAGAAGCGCTGTGGAAGCAGAGGCGAGGGAGACTTGGACTGATCAGCGGGTCCGCGTCATGGAGCAATCCCTGCTCAGCTGGACAACAGGTGCAGCGCCGCGGCAGTCGTACGCAGAGTACTACCTTGCTCCCTGAGCGCTGGGTCTCGCACCGCCCTGATGCTCTTCCTGTGCACATACACAAGACAAACATAGCAGCATGTGTATGCCAGTCCTGCGGGGATGCACCGCCATTCTGCTGCGTATGCCTGCCAACCTGACTTGCTTCTCTCCACTTTTAGAAACCTTCAGGTGGATGGTGGATCTCTACCGCCAAAGTCACCAACGACGTGTCAGGGAACGATTCTTTCAGCTCGAGTGCCTACGCGCTATGACGCCATGGCTAGACTTGCCTCTACCTCTTTTGTTCCGTACCGTTCAATATTGATTTGGGGAAAATAGTCTGCGCTTCAGGTGCCCGAGGCGACCCTCCACGCGCATCACGGGACCGAATACTTCGTCAGCCCGTCGCTTTCATCTTGCTGGAATCACATCGTCATCTGCAAATTTCGAAAAGAAAGCCAGGGTCTTCAATCCAAGACTGAACCTAGCACCGACACGAACACAGGGAGGGATTCTGACATGGTCACTATGGGTCCTTCTCAGCCTTATGGAGCTGCGTTTACCCCTGTAGCGTCTCACCGCACCCCCCTGTACCCGTAATGTCCAGTTCTCCCACCCACCCGCCGGTAATCTTCAGATTGTTGTGTGTGGTGATGGCACGCATGCATTCAAGTTGGGGACAACATCTACGGAGCGCGCTATTTTTGGCCCAGCTTCCCGTTTCTGAGAGAATGGGCTGTTCCCGCCCCCGTCTTTTGGGTTTCCTGCGGGCGGTCCTTGTAAGTCATTACCTCACATAACACCCTCCCTTTCTCTGATATTACGACTTAGATGGATCGCATGGAGCCAGACGAAACCTGCGAGTCATGCGGCCAGACAAGTGTGCCCAGAACGCGTAATTATTAGTTCAGAAATTGTCTGTCTATCTCGCCACTCTGTCGGTGAGGCAGACAATATTCCTTCCTAGTGTGCCTGCCAGAGTTTCTTACAGCCGTGGCTCTTGCATTGCAACCTGCGATGTAAGTGCCGTCCAACGAGCGCTTAAACCCCCCCATCGCCGGCATGTCTTGGCGCATCTCTGCACGATCTATCGCTGGGAGCGCCCCCTCAGACTATAATGGTGACCAATCACTTCCGATGAGCCAGTCCAACCACCGACATTGTTACCCCGAGGAGGGGGTTCTGTGCAACTGTTGGTCATCGGGGTGGAAGATACCCCTGCACGATATAGATAGAGCCTCAAGCCAACACGCCAAACACGAGCGGCAACGCTGCCACCCGGCAAGCCACTGACAGTTTTAGGATAAAGCGGCGCAAAAGAGTAATCAATAACCAATTGCTCTTCGCGCCGAGATGACCTTTTGCCATGGCCTCTCACCTGACATGAACGTCATGCATAGCTGGCTAAGACCATCTTGTCATGGGTTTCGGCATCAATAGGTAATCCTGGGATCTCGCGAATCTCCACCCCGTATTACTGCTTGCCATTGCCCGCCGGTCTATTCGCTGAGGACGCCCGTCCCCGGCGATTGCTGCAATAAGAGTGCCCGCATTGGGGGCTAGTCTGTGCGATGATGACCAGTAGCGCTCGTCAGAAGCGTATACACGGGAGTTGGACAGGCAGCACTTGGAGATCTCAGCACTTAATGCAAGCGGCTGGCTTGTGCCGCCCACCTTTCCTGGCTATTTTTTCAATAAGCAGGAACCAGAATGAATCAGCACTGCTCGTTCGTGTTGCCCTTGCCGGCAGGTCCGTTCTGCTTATTTTCGCCGGTTTGAAATGTGTGTCCGTGACACTGACTGTCATTACTATTTACTTGATTTGGTATCATACAAAACGCTTCCCCTTCCTTCCAGCCAGGATTATAATGTTATGTCGGGCGATATAGTGGGAAAAAAGGAAATCGATGAATCAAGGTTGAAAATCCTGCCACATGATCAGATGTGGAAGTCCATGGCGTCGCACTCGGGACCACCGTCCATGTCGTGCACTGCTCTCTGCTCCTCCACCATATCCACCACACTGTCCAGATTCATGTCTAGGCTCTCGCCATCCTTGGGCTCCAAACACGTCTTGAGTAGTTTTCTGTACTTTTCAATCTTGTCCCCCGTCCCCACCATGGCCAGGGCGTCCACGTACTCCATCTCTGCCTGCTTCTGGTCCGCCAAGAGCTGTGCCAGCTGCTGCGCTAAGCTGAGTCGCTCTTCGTATGACTCCTCCTGCATGCTGTCGCCATTGGTCTTGGACAGCTCCTCCTCTACCGCCTTTTGGATGTGCTGCCGGTTCTGGTACGTGATCAGCTCCGTCACCTGGTGCTTGGCCCGGTTGGCCTCGCTCATCATCTTGGCGGCCGCCTCCTCCGACTCAATCTGCTCCTCCATCTCGGCTATCTGACGGCGCGCCGCCTCCAGCTCGGCCTGGGTGTTGCTCAGGATGCGCTGGGCCTCCGTCTCCGCCACTTCCTTCTGATGCCACTCATCGTCGTAGCTTTTAGCTAGATCCTGGAACTTCTCTATTATGAGGGGTGTGATCCTGGAATGCACGGTCGTCGCTGCAGTGGATGAGAATTTGACAGACGGCTTCGCGCCGTTCTTTTCTAGGAAGGCATCCCGGAAGGAGTTGTGCCGTTGCGACTCAGGCGCGAACGGCGATGACGACCGTTGGGGGCCGCGCTCCCTCTTGGAGGCGTTGAGCTCCATTATCAGGTCCTCCACGCGCACACCCTCGTTGTTGACCACGTCCGTGGAAGCGTGGCGCCCGAGGAGGGAGCGGATGCACTTCCTCGCGTTGAGCCTGGCCGCCAGGTGGAGCGCCGTGTTCCCCTCGTTATCTTGCGCATCGAGGAGCTGCTGGAATGCGCTATGCTCTAACGACTCTTGTAACTTATTAAGAATAATGTCGAGATAGTATCTTGAGCACGACGGACTGTACACACGCCCGTTCTTCATAATCGCTGCGTGGTGGATCACGGTGCAACCTTGTGAATCTCGCACATCAGCCGTTTCGAACAGCTCCTTCATGACTGCGGGGAAGGTGCGCTTCTCGAAACAGTTGGTGAAGTTGACGGACCGCATGAGCGGCGTCTCACCTCGGATGTTTTTGGCAGCAACGTTGGCGTTGAAGCGCCTCAATTGCTTGATGACATCTACGTCTCCCATTGCCGACGCCCAGTGCAGGGCGGTGTGATTTTCAGAATCAATGATCCAGTCCGGCTGGAAATTCGGCGGCGGCTCTGGTTTTACCGTTGGCTGCTCGTTCCGAGATAATAGAAAGTAGTCAAGTAGCTCGTCACCATAGATCGAGTGCTGCTGCTCGGTCAACTCCTGCAATTGCTCCTCTCGCTTGCGCTTCCTATGCCCAGTCGAGGTGATTTGAGATAAGTCAAAACGATCGTCCTCGGCCATGTACGAGGCCGAAGCAATGGTTAAATTATCGGGAATATCATCCTCTCCCATCAGAGTATCACCGCCATTCGAGTATTCTTCAGCTACTGGAGGGGGAGGAGCAGCAGCAGCAGGATCTAAATTTGTATTAGTGGCAACTCTCGCTTGAGATGCCCGCTTAGACGTACTATTCCACTTGGGAGGAGCAGGTCGCGCCCGGGGCGCTTTTGGTTTGCTGGCATGTCTGGGAGCCGGAGGCGGGCTCTCGTTGCCAGGTGTGTATTCGAATATGGGTCTTAATCGATCGATGACGCTGTGTCTTTCCGCTAGTGATGTAGCCGCTGGTAAAGGAATCCAGGTTCCTGAAATATCGTGTTCGTCAGCAACCTAACCAGAAGTCGTTTTTGAGTTGATATGGCACAAACCTTGATATTTGCCATACCCTCCCTGGATCTTCTCATGAACATCCTTCTGAACATCGCGCTCCAAGATTCTAGTTCGTGCTGGCTTATCAAAGCCGGCGGCTTTCAGGATATGTGTTGCATTGACCCAGTCATCATGCCGTCTTCGCATAACATGCTCCTTAAGGTCTGTTCCGAATTGGAATTCATACACTGGTATCTAGAGACAAATAAGGATTAGCCGGTGAACACCAATTGCGCTCTGCAGGCACCTTATACGATACACACCCAAGAGGGAGGGGGAGGAGAAAAAATTAGAATGTTCCCACCAGCGCTGATGATGAAGAGCCATCACAGAGGGTTCTGGGTTACAATTCCTCATCAATCATAAGCAAAAGAAGAGATCTGATCAACTTACACCACTGTATGTAGCACTATAGACGCCTGGGCCGGTGGCAGGTGTGGGTTTGACCATGATGGTTGAGGAGCCGATTCTCACGGCAGCATTCGATGTCTTGGGCAATTAGTAGCGCCAGTCCAGGTCCCAGTCCAATCGCAGGAAAGAGAGCGCTCTAATGAGATGGGGGAATAGCTCTTGGTCGGATTGCCGCTGGTGAAGATCTCGCCAATGCTGCAGGGGTTTTTCGGGTTGATGAAGGACGTCGAATTGAAGCCTGCAATAGAGCTCTCACGTCGGTGACGCGAAATAAGCTGGTTGAGACGCGTATCACGCGCACCTCTTTAAATGTGGTGCCTGAGGCCGAAGGAGCCCCTGCCCTGGCTGTCCCCGTCGGCATCTCCCAGCGTGTGCTGGCCTGGGCGGGTACTTAATCTGAGACAGCTTCACGTGACGTGGCACCTGTAGAGGCGCCTCCTGAGCGCCGCTCCCAGCCAACCAGAACGCGTCTAAGATGAAGGAGCTCGCCTTGCAGGACGTAATTTGCTATCAGATGCTGGACAGCTTGACGACAACCACCGGCCCTACAAACAAACATTGCGTAGATTTTTTGAAGGAACGCACGAGCTTATCCTTCCATTGGTCCTAAATTTGCTGCCGCGCAAGAGCCAGTCAGTCCCCCAGGGGCTCTACAGCCCAGCCACGCACAGACGCCGATCGAAGCTCGACTCCCACACAAGCTGGTGGTGTGTAGTAGTCCCGTGAGACAATCAATAGACATCACGGTGGAACCGATCTTGGGCCCCCTTCCTCAGGACAGTCGTCAATCAACACAACGTGACCATGGCGGAATCCTTGCACAACGCCCCGATTGTGCTCGACAACGGATCTGGAACCATTCGCGCAGGTTTCGCTGGCGAGGATGCGCCGAAGTGCTTCTTCCCTTCCTTTGTTGGACGACCGAAGCATCTCCGAGTGCTGGCAGGAGCTTTGGAGGGCGAGGTATTCATCGGTCAGAAGGCGGCGACAGAGCTAAGAGGGCTCTTGAAGATTCGATACCCCTTGGAGCATGGCATTGTCACCGATTGGGAGGATATGGAGAGGATATGGGAGTATGTATATGGCGAGGGGCTGAAGACATTGAGTGAAGAGGTATGCCGGCGTTTCCAACGGCCATTTCGTGACGACGGGATCTAACTGAACGTGAAACAGCACCCCGTCCTCCTCACCGAACCGCCTCTAAACCCCCGCAGCAATCGCGATATGGCTGCCCAGATCCTATTCGAAACCTTCAATGTACCGGCGCTCCATACATCCATCCAGGCCGTGCTCTCCTTGTACGCCAGTGGCCGGACGACGGGAATTGTGCTCGACTCGGGAGACGGTGTCTCGCACGCCGTACCGGTCTACGAGGGATTTGCGATGCCCAGCAGTATCCGCCGAATTGATGTCGCTGGTCGGGATGTCACAGAATACCTGCAGATGCTGTTACGGAAGAGTGGCTTTGTGTTCCACACCAGTGCGGAGAAGGAGGTTGTGAGATTGATCAAGGAGACTGTATCATACGTGGCGCATGATCCTAAGAGGGAGGAGCGGGAGTGGCTGGGATTAAAACACCATGAGAGCAAGGCGGTAGATTACATCCTGCCCGATGGTCACAAACTCAAGGTGGGTTGCGATGTTGGAAGGCTGGTGGTGAAATGGCGTACTAACAACTCCCTAGGTCGGTGCTGAGCGTTTCCGAGCGCCGGAGATTCTTTTCGACCCCGAGCTTATCGGCCTGGAATACCCTGGTGTGCATCAAATCGTTGTTGACGCCATCAACCGTACCGACCTAGATCTTCGCAAATCTCTGTACAGCAACATTGTCCTCTCGGGTGGAAGTACTTTGACCAAGGGCTTCGGCGACCGGTTACTATCAGAAGTGCAGAAGCTGGCTGTCAAGGACATGAGGATCAAGATCTTTGCGCCGCCAGAGCGCAAGTATTCGACATGGATTGGTGGTAGTATTCTGGCCGGTTTGAGCACATTCCGCAAGGTGAGTCGCATTGGTCTTCTTAAAGTGGTCGCGAGGTGATGTGCTAACTGCCGCAGATGTGGGTGAGCATCGACGATTGGCATGAGAATCCCGATATTATCCATACCAAGTTCACATAGGCGAGAGGCGGACCAAGATCGATACCCTACTAGACTAATGCCAGGCAGAGGCATTTTTAACGAGTTCACGTTCCGCGGGAGTTAAATTTTCAGAAATGACGCCGAATTCTCCCTCTCGAGATTTCGGGCTGTATAAATAACCCATCAATCTAAACATGATTACTACAATGCCAAGTCTGGAGGAGGGGGCGAGAATGATACCGCGACCCGGAGGGAGACAGAGGATGAACATGAGAGTTGCCTTATTCATAGAAGGAAAAAGCAAGCGGGTTTTGTTTGTACTTTTGCATCGCGGATGAGGAGTGAGCGGGTGCGCCTTGATAGACCGGGCATTGATATCTGTCAAATAATTAGAACCTAAGAAGGAAAACGCCAAATGATACCTAAAACGTAAATCGAAGTCAGTAGGTAATGAATAAGATACCTGAAACGCACATCGAAGTAGCTAGGTAATTAGTAGTCTACTCGCCTGTCTAAGCAATCCATTTAGCATTGTCCATTTCACATTGAGGGAGAGAGTGGTCTTCAGATGATCGGGTGGCCTTGAAAGGCCACGTTAAAAACATAATATTTATACAGACAGTTTCGTAACGAAATGTCCTTGCTACATAAATCCCTTTCCTCCTTTTTTGGTTGTTTGGTTGATCGTGCCCTGAGTTGCACACCATTCATTCCGTCATAAATTGGGTATAATAAAAAGTTCACCAGAAACAAACTCCAATAGGATCCCATTTGCTCTGAGGTACCCGCTCGCTGTCCTTGAGATGATAAAAAAAAAGCAATAGAAATTTCAAAAGATAAAAGTCGAAGTCCATGAAAACGCCTCTCGCTTGTTGGGTGGCTGAGAGAGGAAGATGATAATATATTCCTCCTCACAACATGCAGGTATTATTTTTTGGGGTTTGGTTTCGTTGGGTCAGAGAAGACCAAGACGAGGAGCATCGCCGACCATCTTAGTGGTGGCTGAAGCTGTTTCGGACCTGCGCCCAGATCTTGGCACCAGAGCTGGAAGTGCTGAAGGAGCTTCGGGCGTCGTCGCTGATGGCGGAGGAGGCGTCGCTGGCCTTGCGTCTGTAGACGTTGCCGGCACCGCCGATGCCGCAGTGGCCGATGGACTGGTCCTCCTGGGCGGCGAGGCGGCGGACCTCGTCGTCGAGGGAGACGGTGGGGCGCTCGCTGGCCTCGTGGACGTTGCCAGCTCCGCCAACGCCGGAGAAGAATCGACGGGCGGGAGTCTGGGCAGAAGGGGCAGACGACCTGGAAGCCGAGGAGGAGCTCACTCGGTAGGTGTTGCCAGCGCCGCCTCGGCCACAGCGCATGTAGGTGGTGGTGGAGGGAGCACCCTCAGTGACGATGTAGTTGTTGGTCATGGTGGTTCTGTGTTTTTGAGACTGAGCAGGAGACGAGGGTTTGATGTCTGTTCGAGGAGCTCAAGGAAGATGGTTTAGTGGCTCTTGATAATGGGGGAAGGCGAATTGAGTTGTCTAAGAATAGGTTCTCAATGGTGTAAGAGTGTATAGTTGGAAAGCTTGATCTGGAACCGATGCCGGGCTGGAGAGGGAGGGCTATTATACTGTCTGAGGAGCTCTCCCTTTTGGGACTACACTGACACGATTATGATGTGATGGGCACGAGGTCCGACCCTATTCGCCTTGGTCACCCGCCCATCAAGGCAGCGCCTAAGGGGAACAACCGAAAAAACCTTTTTTTGCGCAATCGACCAGGCACTATTCATCATCATGGGACCGTCTCTCCACACGGACAGGATCCACGCCTGGTCCATTCGCCTTCCCCCGCGTTTTCATTGATGAGACCGTGTGTTTTAAAGCATGGGCTTAGCGAGTAGCGCAATTCATGGTGTTGCAGGTGCCAGAACTGACGACTTGCCAGCGCCGCACTGTGCATCCTGGTGAAACCCACATATGTGGAGGCCGTGCTCGGCGTGCAAAGGGCACTGTGGATGGCGAGTTGCAGTCATGAAATCTGTCAGTCACGAGGCTCCTTGTGCCTGAATTCGGAATTTTTTGTAGGTAATTTTTACCCCATAGAAAAGCTCTAGCGCCGGCCTTGGAGACTCGGGCTCCACAGGCGCCATGGATCCTTCATCGCACGCCCATGGCCAGCACGGAAGAATTGGCGACAGAGGTGAAAAATTGAATCGGCCCTCTTGCCCCTTGTCCACTCATCAATTTCCTGGGGGTAATGGAAACCCAAAAAAACTGGAGGCATCGACGGCTTGCTTGGCCTTTCTTTTCTGCCTGCGTCACCGATCCAGGAGTCAGCCCACTGGAGAAAGGCAACCAGAGAGTGAATGAATGAGCGAGTGAGTGAACGCCCTCAATTCCATTCAGACTGGGCAAGATCTGGGGAGGTCCCGTGATCAACTTGACGTTCAGGAGTCTCGATCGGCCAATAATGCATGAATACATGGCCTCGTGATGATAGCTTCATGGCGCAAGTAGAAGAACCAGGGCGGCTAGTGTATCCAATGCTCACAGCACGTCCCCGAGCTGAGTGGTGAAGCAAACTCTAGGCGCTGTGGACCAGGAGGACTCATCAGCACCACTTGCTCTCACGCCTTCATCCAATCTCGGCTGGGCGTGACGACACATGCAGCTCCATCTGGCGTCTCGAAAGTCTGGAGACTGGGGCTGACAGAAAATTTTTGCAGCATCAAGTGATGCAGGCGGAGACTCTAGCTGCTTTGATGAGAGGTCCCGCCAGGCCCGCCGCGGTGCCAGGGCTCGAAAGAAGCAGAGAGAAGGAAAATGCGCCAAAAATTGCACCTGAGACCTGCGCCGCTGCAGAAACGGCCTTCGGCCGCCTCCGATCACCTGGAAAATCCGGGGAAAGTGGAACCCGCACAAAACAGAGCAAAAAATCCTAGCTGCTGTCCTTCCTACTGCGAGACAGCAGCTCAGCTTTGAGCAGGCAGCCTCTATGTTATATTGCCATGAAGAAACAATCATTACGAGTATAAATCCATGTTTGTCAATGAGCCTATTCTGTACTCAAACTCTAAGAAGATATCCAATACTTTTTATGCAGCCACAAACTCACTCTTTCACCTAATGATGGATGCCTTGAACTTAAGAGCATGAGAATCTTTACACGAGAGCTAAAAAAAAAACAGACTAATACCACTTAGTATCTTCAACAAAGAATAAACCGAATCCGAGATAGATATAAAAGAAACAGCAAAAAATGTGGTTTCGCCCGGGCTCGAACCGGGGACCGTCTCGGCGCAATCGTGTGATTGTTAGCGAGAAATCATGACCAACTAGACCACGAAACCTGATTGTTTTCTTGGTTGGGGTCAGTGCGCAAGAAACAGATTATGGACGGCGCACAGACTCGGCCATCACCCAAAACCAACAAGGACAGCATCCCATGGCACGGGATCTAGCGTGACATCAATCTTACCCGACGACCGGTTCCTAGAATTCTGGGGTCGCGCCCGAGTCCCCGGGTCCTCCCTGCTATCCGAAACATTATCCGTCTGGTGATGGACTTGATCGCAGACAACACCGGACGATACGACACCAACTCTTTCGAGGAAATCGTATTCCAAATTGAAGCTTAGAAAGGCACTCGCAAAAGTCGGGCGACCCACCGGCCAATCCTTGCTCGCGTGAACGCATTTTTTCATAAGCCAGGGTGAAAGAGGAACCAACCAATACTTCCGAACCTGCTTACTCAAGAATTTAAAATCGGAACGCCGATGCAATGAGGAGAATCGCCTCTGCCGCCCTAACGAGCCGGGCAATCGGGAGGTCAGCTGGCCACAGGATCTCGTCATCACATCGGGACCCTTCCATGCTGTTCCACCATCAAATCTCTTCCAAGGCCGAATCAATCGAGGGCGGAGCTAAAATCAAAGGTTCGGCGCGACCAAGTGATTCTCTGGTAGAATCGTCGAGAAGCAAGGACAAAAAGACGATAGCGCAGCTTGACGAGGAGCTCAGGCTACGTCTGGAAGGCATGTCGGGTGATGGTGGCGCTGCTGGTGTCGAGTATGAGAATGGGCGAGCTGAAGGCCTGAAGAGCGAGGTGAAGAGGAACATGTTCAGAATCATCTGAATTGTGAACCAACATGTAAAAATTATTGTAAGATATTTGGTCAAACCAATGTTGATGATGGGTTCGTGATTATTTCCAGAGAAAAGTGAAATACAAAAAAGACGCGGTTCGCTAGCCAACTACTCATGAGAATTCAATAAGCCCGGATCGTTGCATGAATCCTATACTCCCCTACCCGTTGTCGCCATCCTTCATGATAATCTTTAATGATATACATAATCCAATTTTAATTAATACAAGGCAAGTTTGGGTAACGGTCATGTTGTGTTAAGGAAACGAAGAAAAGAGGAAAAGACATTATCCTTATGCTGGGTTCTGGTTTGGCAACTGATCCCACATCTCTTGGCCATCAAGTAGCCTCTCGACATTGAGCCTGACGCTCCACCTGGTCATGTCGGTCGATGGCTTGTCTTGCCAGCCTTCGTGGGAGCCAATGTTGCTCATGGCGCTCCTTGGGCCCTCCGTTCGGTGGTGGTTGAAGAGAGCAGGTTGAATAGCCAGGCAGTTATGGTTTCGTCGGCCCTTACCTCCCTCACAGTAAAATCGGAGAAGAATATCGACAGGGTCGCCAACATCCTTGAGAGCAACTTCTTGGAGGAGCGCGCGTGCGCCTCGCTGGGTGACGGCGTAGCCAAGGGTGCAGACACCCTCCTGGGCGTGGTGGACGACACGGGTATGATCAGGATATTCGTCCTTGAGAGTAAAGGGAGGGGCGAGAGACCAGAGGTACCTCTTCTCTGGTACAGATTCGTCGTTGACACTAACAACGCGGCCTCTGGGCACAGGACTGTCGGCAGGAGGCATGCGCATACCGCAGTGACCGACCCAGATAAGATCCCACATGTCGCCGTATGGCGTAACGGTTGCGGGGACAGTCTTTGGAAGGCGATTTATGGGGAATTCAGGGACTCCCTTGGGGGGCCCTTCAGGTGGAGGTCGATAAGTCTTGTCTGCGAAGCTATTTGTAGTTCCGGCCAAAGGTTGGATTAGGGCCTGTGAGGACAAGGCCATGTCGTAGAGCTGCTGTCTGATTCTCACGTCCCAATCTGCATCATCCTCCAAGATAAGAGCAGACCCGAGATTTCTCCTCACAACCCTAGAGGGAAAAGTTAATATTTATAAAAGAAGAAGAATGCCTAGTGCTTCATTTCAGGTTGAAGAATGAGAGAATTGATCACAATGTGTATCACTGGACCATCTGAGGTTCCTCTGAACTGGACAGGGGGCGAGAAAGAAACTCACTCTTGCAAGGCGTTCATATGAGCGCGCCAGCACCCGATGGCACCATTATCCAACCGATCATGCTCGGTGGTCTTGGGGATAGCCTTGTCGGCTACCTTCTCGCCAGAGATGCCATCAATGAATTCAAATTCCAGGTCGGAGAAGGCAGCCTGGAGAACAATGCCATCTCGGCGGTCAGTGCGCTCTGGCAGACCAACCACAAAGATCTTTTCAAACTAAAATCAGGTAGAACGCGTTAGAGATGTGTCTTCCGATAGTAAGGGGACGTGTTGAACAAATAAGTGAGCGGGGGTGGACGAGTGAAGCTTACGCCGAGTGAGGCATTGAAAACGTCGTTGATGACATCGCCGGGCTTGTTGTTGCGGAGCAGGCCTGTGCCCTTCCAGTCGGCCATGCGAAGGCCAACAGCGGCTGGGGCGGTCCGAGACATGAACAAAAGCCATAGGATCAGGAGGCCGACACCGATGCCAGCGAAGATGCGCGCTGGCTTCCGTGTAGCCATGTTGGGTGCCGGGGCTGGATCTGGCCTGACCTGGAGTGACCTGACGGGTGGAATCGGCGTGAAGCAAGCCGATGAGAGTGAGGGTGAGCCCTTGGAGCAGCAACGGCGGGCAAACTTTTAATACGCTCCAACCAGCACTATCGCCTCGGCAGGGCAGAGTTCACAAAGGGGGTGGGCAGGTGGGGGAGAGAGGAACGGAAGAAGGTCATATGGATTGATGAATTGTCAGCCACAAATTCCAGTGACGGGCCCCCCTGAAATGGCTAAACGAGGCCTATCGTAAGGGTCCATGTCTGAGGCTGACAGAACAGCACGGCTCTGGGCGGTGATTGGGCCGCCCCGAGTAATTGGGGTCCGAAGACTGGGGCGACTCTGGAGGGGAATGGAGGTTGCACCCGCCCTATCTACGATTCCACAGGGAGCTGAGATGCTAAAATTATGTGCGGTGCAGGGGAGCCGTAATTGCGAGGGCCGGCGAACTGTGTGCTCGGCCCCATTCTGCCTGCCAAGTCAAAGGAAGGAACCAGCTCGCATGGCATCCAGTGTCGTTTCCGGAACTCACATTCGAGAGAACGGCTGCATGGAAGAATACGGCAGGCCCCAAACAGAAGCGAAGAGAAGGGGGAGGCACCTTGCACATCGCATGTCCATTCCACTGCACCCTTGCTGCTCACTTTGTCCATTGATTTAGATTCCATTGATTGATACTTATATAGTACCTACGTTAAAGCCCCTCCACCACGCTTATGGCACAGTTCACCGCCCTCGCAACCGCTGCTGCTGCGTCGCATTCACCAAAGAACCATGGCCCGTATCTGATATATTAATCAACTGTCGCGTGGCACCGGTCTTCTGTCGTACTAGCTCGTGCAGTCCGCGGCCACGATGGCAGGGTCCCATTCCAACTAAAAATAGAGACCAGCCCACCGTACCTCGTATGCACACGCACTATTGACGTCTGTAAACCCAGCCTGTTGAATGAACGCGGTGCGCGGAACACGCGGGGGATAGTTCCACGCACCAACTCTTGGCGGCGATGCTCGATCGATCTCCTAGCCTTGGCCACTAAAGCAGGTACTGCTTCAATCCTCATAACGGTGTTGCTGCTACCTGTTGTGTGCGCCCTTGGTCGTCGGGGAGGCCTTCCATCCAAGCCTGGCACCAAGAGGGAAGGACTAGACAGTGCGAGAAGTCTGGTCTGTTTCCATGTTAACCAACAGAAGTACTCTACCCCAGATTTCTTCGGTTACACGTAATTAGCATTCATGCCCGGCAGATCACTCCCACTTCGCGAAGCCCCATGTCATGGATCGTCTCTTCGCCATATTTTAAGGTCTTGTGCGCAAGGTCTTGATTTATGTGTTTATTTTGGAATCTTTCATTGAGCAGCTCATGTCAAAAAAGATACTCTTGTGATCAATTTTGACAAGTTCACCAGAGCTGAGTTCCTTTTTCATATGTAAGTAAACGATATAATATGTATCTACCCCTACTTAAACCGTGCCTCGAATCGAGTGAGCTTTCCCAACGGCTCGGCAGCTGTCCTTGCGGATGGTAAGAGGAATTGGCTGGACAGTGAGGCGCGTGACGCAGTTTCACCTTTTGGGACGTTGGAACTACTCTGGCCAGCACTCGCCAAGACTTCCAGCTAGGTTCTCGTGAGGGCTGATGAAGAAAACCAATAGTATTTGACTGACTCTTCATATCATTTTAGCAGCCATCCTTGATGTCTATTCGACTAACTTCGAAGAATGTGCAATTTACATGTGGCAGCGGGGTTATACGCAAGGACCTACGTCATCTCGCAGCGGCAGCTCGCAACATTTCCATAATTGAGCGATGGCCACTGCATGTTAAGTTGCACGAATAGACTGCATATGGCTGACAAGAGTCTTAGCTATATCCCATTGCAGGGATGTGTGGTTGTGCGAAAATCAAAAAGCTATCTAAGGATTGGAGAAAGTTGCGAATGAACTGGTAGGTTCACGTAGATTCCATGATGACATGTGAAAAGACGTCATCACACAATACCACAACAAATTAGCCATTGTGCCATTACCATGCAATGTGTCACTGTCAATACCCTAGGAACCAGATGCGAATTACACACAATTGCATATGTAGCGCCAGAAGCTAGCGAGAATCCAGGACAAACGCATTATTAATAAGGCATCACGCAATTCGGTCCCGGGGCTGATTCATCCAGGGTAAGATGTTCGTGAGGGGCATTTCGTCAGCGCCGAACTCTCCAGAACCCCACCAAGATCCGGTCCCTTATTAGACCCCTCCATCCATGGGCATTACCTCGACGAGTAATTTCCCAAGCTACTTAATACAGCTCTCGATACTATAAGACCTCTCGATCCTCCAAAGATCTCTTTAATCTACAACCCCAATCCAAAGACAACCGAGAGTAAAAAAAGAGTCAGATACGTCACCCACAATGGCCGCAAAGCAGGAAGTCGTCCACGTCAAGTCCTCCTCGGAGCTCCAGTCCCTCTTCAGCTCGACCACCTACGTCGCCCTCGACTTCTACGCCGACTGGTGCGGGCCCTGTAAGACCATCTCCCCCTTCTACGCCCAGCTGTCCGACAAGCACGCCGTCCCGGGCCAGCTCGCCTTCGCCAAGGTCAACGTCGACCACGCCCAGGACGTCGCGAGGCAGTACGGCGTCACCGCCATGCCCACCTTCCTCTTCTTCAAGGACGGGAAGCAAGTCGCCGTCAACGGGCAGGCCGCCATCCGCGGCGCCGACGTCCGCTCGCTGACCGCCGCCGCTGATAAGCTCGGCGGGCTGGCCAAGAAGAGGGCTGCCGAGGCGTGAGCTCGGACAGAAGCAACCCAAAATAAAATAAAAGAAATTTCTTTAAAAAAAAGGAAAAAAAAAGGGAAGGACGGTATGGAGGAACAAAGGGCTTCACCCGTAATCGGAACGAAAAAAAAAGCATCTGTGGGATATGGATGCCGAGTGAACATGTTCTCTAGGGCGTTACTGCAGCTTATTTTTGACAGCGCGCGCATTGCATTGTCTTTGCTTTGATGGACGGAATGAAAATCATTTACAAACGTCTACTGCCTTTTCTCACGGCAGTTCTTATATACATGTGAATAACCCATTTCGCCTAGAACTCGTGAAAACCATCTTTATCGTCCTTGAGCTCCGTATCGTGTACATATTTGACCAAGCGGGTCAACTCTGTCATGGTGGAAGGGAACCAGGGAAAAGCCCCAGGGAAGAAAAAGCAGAACATATTCCTGGATACCACCACATTAACAAAACAGATCCATCTCTCCAAACGCCAGTTTCGCCAAACGCAAGTTAGATGTTGTGCCACTCATATTCCTCTATCTCACCATACCGCTTCTCATGCCGATCCATTTTCGCCCATGCTGATCCAGATAAACAGTGCAGTCGCGGCTCCGACAACGAGGATTGTGAGAATGGCAGCGCCAGCTCTATCGCCCGCTGTGACTGGCTTCGGGGTAGGCCTGAAATCGTCTGATTTGCTACCGGCGTTCGGGTTGCCCTGGCTGGTTCCTCCAGTATCTGCACTCACGGGCCCGGCTGTGTTGTTAATCAGCAAGGCCGAGAGGGCGCCGAGGACATTCATCTGCTGTCCTGCGCCAATGTTGTTGTCGAAAGTGCGGTTCTTCCAGTCAAACCCACACTGTCGACCAAGAGCGCCGCCAGTGCAGGTGGTGATGGCAGCTTCGGTCGATAGCCGGAGCACGGGGAGTACTTTATCGGTGATGAACGGGGCAACTTTGGTAGCAGTTGCATACCAGCGGTGCAGGTAACCCTTGAAAGACTTCATGTCGGTAGTGCATGAGAGGTAGTCTTCGCATGTTGGCTCATACGCAACATTGTCGGGAAAGAAGGTGGCTATTCCATGATCAGTGAGTTTATTCACTCTATCTTTCCACTTTTGGTCTTCCGTCTATGATACTGTTAGTGGATACAGGTCAAGGTCTACGAAAGATGCGGCAATTGGAGAGCACTCACGTAGTTCCACATGTAGGCCGACCCCAGGAGGAAGACGGCATTGTTGTAAGAAAATTCGGCCTTGTTGATGTCCGTGCAGTTGTATTCGACGTGACCACCGTCGTAGACTTCATCCTCGGGTCCCATCAGGCCCACACCGACCATCCAGTCCCAAGTCTTGTCTGCCCAGTCGGCGTACGTCTGGTTTTTAGTGTACCGCGCGAGCCTAGCACCAATATTGAAGAAGCATCCGTTGGCAATACCTGTGCGACAAAAACCTGTTAGCCACAATTTTCTAGTGCGAGCCGTCGAATTCAAACTCGGGCCGCTGTCCTTACTGTTCTTATAGTTGTATCCTTTGTTTGTCGAAGGAATCTGCCAGCGCATTCCACCTCCGCACACGCTATCGTGGCGAATGGGGTCAGCCATGGTGTTGAAGACGGCCTGGGCCAGCGCGAGCCATTGGGGCTTGTCGGAGGGCGGATCAGGGAACTTGTTCTCGGCCGCCAACATGGCCGACATGCCCCAGAAGCCTTGATCGTCGTTTCCGAGCGATAGCGTATAGTTGAGGGGCATGTAGTCTGCATGATCACCTGTCTGAAATAGCAGGGCTTGCGATATCAACGAGTTGTAAGTCTCGTCCCCCGTCAAAGCCCAGTAGTCGAGAAGAGTCCCCCACATAGCACCACCCTCCCACCAGTAGTAGTCTCCCGCTGGCGGAGGCCCGGGGAGAATACCTGGGACATTGCCGCTCTCGTTTCCATGGTAGTACTGTAACATGTCCCATGCGACAGTGCTGGCCGCCTGTTTGATATTATCTGAACCAAGGGATTAGCTGAGCGACGACGGGAGATGGGGAAATTCAGATGGCGGTATGAGTGACGAACCGGCAGTGTCGATCTTGTAGGGTGACGTAGCGGCAGTAGCGACTCCTGCTGCAGCGAGGACCGTTAAGACGGCCTGTATCCCTCCTGGTGATCTCATCTCGGGGCAATGGAAATGTGCTTCGTGAATTGTGTATGCGCGAAGAAACGGAAGAAAGAGAGTAGGGCGATGTTCGTTTTTGACGGAGTGATCCAGGATAGGAATCCACCAGTATGCAGCCGTGAAGCGAGGGATGAGGCGGGCAGAACGAGTGGAACTATTACATTTCTAGGCGCGGGACATTTGCGACGAAGAAGAATGGGCCAAAATGCGATTGGCAGCGAATGGCAAAGGGGATAAGACAGCCCCGAGCGAGAGAATCAATGGGGTGGGGGAAAGACAATGGGAGAAGGCGAGGCGAGGTGAGGTGAGGCAGGGAAGGAACGCAGGTATGGGAATTCGGACGCGCGCTGGAACATTTGAGGAGAGGCGCTTGTCAACACGAGGAGCAGCTATGCGTCTGCCATATGATGTGAGACCTTCTCGAGCGACAATGTAAAGGTCATGTACGTCGCTCGTTTACCGGCTGCTACCATACATTAAGGCAGTCTAGGGCTTAACTATCGAGTAGCAGCAGCGAAGCCACCCCCCTTGGGGCCTGGGACGCAGCCATTGGACTGGATCAGCCGGACCCGAGAAGTATGCATCTGGACTGGCCTCTGCGTTATCAAATCATTAGAACGCTTTGGGCTCGTATGCAAAGCCTCTGCCCGGAACTTGGGTGCCGAGAGAGGGGGCTATCCCACGCGCCACCCGAAGGCGGCCATCGCGTACAACTGCGGCTGGAATGCTGGCCCGTGCCATCCGCCTGTCCAGCACTAGAACTGCCAGAGGCTGCTGTGGGTGTGCGGGCAGGGCGGCAAACGAAGCAGGCGATGTCCTGGAGGTTTCCCGACGAGCAGAGCAGAGGCAGCAACAGGACGATGGTGAATCTACGTCGATGTGACGGGACCTTGCGCTGGTGCGGGCTTGGCGATTGCTGAATCCACTCTCCACACTCTGCCAAGGCCAGTGGATTAACGTGCGACAGGGTGTTCAATTGGAGTCTGGAGCTACGCTGCACTATTGCGTGAATAGGGCTGTGAATAGTCGATGCAAGCCTTCCTCATAGGCCATGGAGTATCATGAATCCCCATTCCCATTAGATCAGCTTCTGTTCCTGGATTCATTCGCGTTCCTGAATAAATGGCGCCGGTCTCCCACCAATGGAAGTGTTTGTGTTTCAAGCCGATGCTGCGCCTCGACCCGTCAGGGATCTCCCTTCTGGGGACGCCTGTGACGATGCATGCAGGAACACTTCACAAGCGCAACTCATCCATACCTACCCGCCCCTTGACGTGTCGCCAATGGTGTCATCGTCCATGAGCGAGGAGCAGGGCAGCTGGGTTGGCATTCTGCGTCACGATGACCATCTCATTCAGAGCCAAGTAAAGGGCCTGGGCTCTAAATAGTTTTGTTTTCTGCAGCGCACTAGCTGGGAAGGCTGAAAGATCTAGACCCTGCACATCATCGTAGGGCCCTCAATTACCCGAACTTCGCGTATATTGCTGCAAGGACATTCACTCTACTCCGGGCCCGCTCCTAATAGAGCATTTTCAGGATAAATGATCTTTGACGCGGGTTCCCAACTTATCTCGAGAAGGCGTTATTGTAAAATGCCAGCAAAGAGTTCTCAATATTTCTCCTGTCTGAATCTGTGATCAATGATGATGTCGAACTCCCAATAGACGGGCAGTCTTCGCTAGTTTGCCATCTTTTTTAAGTACCCAGCAAATACTGCAGGAGAAACAATCAAGTCTTCAATCTATCCCACGTGGCGACCCGTCTTGAATGCGGGCCAGGAGCGAATACCGGTCTGTGCAGTGGACGGTAGATGTGCTGCGCGCAGATCATTCCGTGCTCTAATATATTTCACCCCTTTTGGTACGTCGTGTAGTATACTTTCCTCATAAAAAAGATCAATGCGAGGGTTTTTTAGTTAAGGAAACAATTAGGTCGTTATGGACCCCCATTCTAGCTGTGTATGCCTTTTAAATTTAGCTGAACAAGCGGACCAACCACTTGCAGTTTCTCATGCATAAGCGGAAACTCCATGAATAATGAGGGCAAACTCAGCCCTCAGGGAAGCTTACAAGACTGGAGGTTTCAATCAGGCAAATTGGGCTTTAATTCGCGATTCTTTGGTTCTATCTGAATGAGGATGATATGAACAGTCGTCATAACCACACTTTGTAGTCCTGTTGTCATGCACTTCATGCCACGCTGAAGATCAACTTTCTGTATTGCTCCCACGCAAGCCCAGACGAAATCAACTCTCATTCACCATGGGCACACCTATTGAGACTCAAGCTTTCATCGTAGTGAGCGCACTGCTGCACTAATGACTTTGTATTCCTTCTACTGGGATCACGTTTCTATTTTTTCTATTTCACTAAGATACCGACCAACCAAGTTTTGTCGAGGAACCGAGGAAATCGAACTTCATCTCAGGCTGAATTATGTCCCTTACTGGATGGAGATGGTCTTCTCGTGCAACTCGATGCTATATGCTGCATTAGTACAGGATTCAACAGACAGGCTAGAAGTCTATCAACTTACTTATACTTCTCCTTAAGCTCCTTCATGAGCGGCTCGTTGATGGCGTCAGTCATGGGGGCAAGAATACCCTTCTCGGAAATAGTGCCGTTGAGGACATTCTTAACAGCTGTTGAACAATATTGTTAGCATCACCCACGTTGCCATTAAGTTGACGAGTGAACTTACCAACTGCACAAGGGACTCCGACCAAACGGGCCATGGCAAAGTATCCCTTGGGGTCGCCGTTCTCGCACAGGGTGGATGTGCGGGTCTCACGGCGGCCGTCCTTGTGCTCGATGAGGAACTTGTGCTGCAGCATGACCAGATCGCGCTCGCCCTGCTCGTACTGCATCTTCTGCTCCAGTGTCGCGCAAAGGGTATCCAGAGGGTTGCCCCTGGGGATGATGGTATCTTCCGAGAATAGGCCAAGCCATTGCAGACCGCTGATGATGCGCTGCTCCTCCTCGGGAGAATCAAACTTGGCCTTGGCGAGGACTGTGGACTTGAGATCAGCGGCGCTGGCTGACGAGGCGCCGACGACGGCTTTTGTGGCCTCCTGCCATGAGATTGGCTTGGTGAGCGCCTCGATCGGCGTCTCCTCAAGGAAGCCGAGATCTACGAGCACGCGGATAAACTGAGGGAATCCCTGGTATCGCAGGGTGCCACGCACGATAGTCTGGGCCTCGGGGATGTTGTAGCGCTCCTTGTAAATCGTCGAGTCTCGGTTGGGGTACGCAACGAAAGCGTAGCCAGGGTAGATGTAGTAGGGCTTTGCAGTGCCCATCAGGTCCTTGCCTTGCACCTCAACAATCTTACCATCCTGCCACCACTTGCCCACGTTGCGGAGGGCCAGCAGCACGCCACGCGACGACCAAGAGAACTTGTAACCGAGAGGGTTGTCAGAGTCTTCGGCCGCGGGCAAACCGCCGCAGTAGCTCTTGAACTCTAGGATTTTGCCGCCCTCCCGGTGAACCTCGCTGATGGTCTTGACAGCATAGAGATGATCAATACCCTTGAGTATCATGGTCAGCACCTTTCTTAAGCTATCTTTTGCGGCAGATACGCAAGCAATGGGAATTCATGCGTAGTCTCGCATGTGATGTGTTTGAACTTTGGACGACAGTTCTCTGTGCATGAAAGTACTCACAGGGTCCAACCCAATCTCGTTCATGACGGTGATGCCTGCTGCCTTGGCTTCGGCATCGAGCTCCATCATGGCGGGTGAGACGTAGCTGGTGGTCACAACGTGCTTCTTGTTGCGGATAGCGGACTTGATGACAACTGCGTGGAATGTGTAGGGAATCAAGCTGACAACCAAGTCATGCTTGGCGACGGCGGCGTCAAGAGCCTGTTCGTTGTTGACATCGAGTGAGACGGGGGTGGCGAGCTTGACACCCTCGGAGAGCTTGTTGGCGGTCTCGATGGTTCTGCAAGCTATACAATTTCTAATTAGAACACTAAAGAGGATTTAAGGAAATCGCAGTCATGATTGATCAAGAGAAGACAAGAAAGTGGCAGAAAGAAACAGCTCGCATACCGACAGTCACGGGGATCCCGGATTCACTGAGGATATCTAAGGTCGGTCGGGCGACGAACCCGGCTCCGAGCAAGAGAACAGAAGGCATTTTGATAGATTGAGCTTCTATATGACCTCTGTATGAAATGAACTGATGATTTAGGAGCTCTATCAATGAATTGAGCTCGTTTAGTTCTTGGGAAGCTGTTGTAGAGTGAAAAGATGGAGGGGCAGCGAAATCGGAACCCCTCCATTGATAAACCCATGTAGAGGACCCGCTTTCCTTTTACTCCACTTAAAAAGAAGCCCTAAAAGGTACGAGCTTTTGGTAAGCCAAGGAAGGTGCTGCCTTTGAGGTTGTACTAATGTATTTTTTTTATGAGACTTCATGATGTTTATTTTACAGAAGGTGACCGAACGAATAGGCTTTTCATAAAGCGGATGCTGAGTCTCTCAGTGGATGTGATTCTCGCTGGCAATGGACTGGGTGAGCTGGGCTTCAAGAGATCGTCAACAACTCTCCCAGTCAACACTTTGCTAGTTCTAGATAGTGGGTCAAGAGTAACCATTGCCGTCTCTAGACGAATGGAATGCTTTTTAAGGGTGGCGGAAGAGCGGAACAAAAAAATCCAAAGAAAAACAAAGCCGTACGCTTCTTTCGACTTGATATTCTCCGAAGCCGCTGCCATGACAGCCTCCCATAAGTCTACTACTTTAAGAGTTCACTTTCATGAGGCTTTCTTTTATAATTTCATTCAAGTAATATCCTTGGTAGTCCTGAGATGACCACGGGCTCTTAGAAGCGACGTCACCCAGCAACTTTAGCAGTACCTTACCTTGGGTCGCATTATCAAGCTACGGGATCTGCTCCGTGCCTGAGGTGGGTATTTATGGAGACGACGGCGCCTAACCTGTGCCGATTCCAAGCGAGTGGTGATGGCTCGTTAGCGGACCCGGATAAACAGTATTCCGGAGTTCCTTTTTGCATGAAGGAATGGACCCTGCCAAGACCCCCAAATTGGCAGTCGCCCTGCTTTCAGCCAGCTGTCCTTACGGGCTGCTAGGTGAGCCAGGACCCCAAAAATGACGAATCAGCCGCTGGAACTGAACACTGAACCGCCACGCGTGCAACCTCAGTTGTTAGCTCAGCGTGTTAGCAACCGTACCTCGTGCAATTGAGCGCAACCGCTAGTCGAAGTTGAAGCTATCCTCTCTTTCAATTCGCCTGTTTTCGTTTTCTCTTATTTCTTTTCTTCCGCTATGTGGTAGTTTCGGACGTTCCTTGACGACAGCCTGTTTGAAGACACCCCGAGCTTAGTCGACCTACCATCCAACCCAGGTTACCAAGTATCGAGCCATACAACCCAGCAGCGAAGCGGCGCATCAATTGGCGGACAGACATACACTATGGACGGTTTCGAGAAAACGAGCCTCGAGGAGGACAACTTTGGCGCCAGCGGAGGCATTGTCAAGGCGTTTGACGCATTCCGTATGGCATTGTCTGCCCAACTCCTCCTAGAGAGCTTGATAACTAACGTTCTGTGAAGCCAAGTCGAAGCCCCAATATGTCCAACGGACGTCGGACGGCGGCAAGTGGACCATAGCCATGCTCTTCTTTTCTGTTCTGTTTGTCTGGGCTGAGGTGTCCCGCTGGTGGGATGGCACCGAGTCGCACAACTTTGCCGTCGAGAAGGGCGTCTCCCAGGAAATGCAGATCAACCTCGACGTCGTGGTCAACATGAACTGCGAGGATCTACACATCAACGTTCAGGATGCCGTTGGCGATCGCATCGTCGCCAGCGCGAAGCTCAACCGCGACCCGACTGTTTGGGCCCACTGGGCGACTCGGCAAGGCGTGCACAAGCTCAATCACGATGAGCACGGACGTGTGGTCACGGGAGCTGGCTGGCAGCAGTTTTCCATACACGAGGAGGGTTTCGGAGAAGAGCACATCCACGACATTGTCAGCCTGGGAAAGAAGAAGGCCAAGTGGTCCAAGACGCCCAAGCCAAGAGGACAGACTGACAGCTGCCGCATCTTTGGAAGCATGGACCTGAACAAGGTCCAGGGAGACTTTCACATCACTGCCCGTGGCCACGGCTATTACGAGACTGGCCAGCATCTTGACCATACCAGTAAGCGCATCTCCAGTCCTCTTCATCAGAGCCTCGTTAAGATACTAACTGGTTTGACAGAGTTCAACTTTTCGCACGTTATTAACGAGTTCTCCTACGGTCCTTTCTACCCCAGCCTCGAAAACCCCCTCGACCGTACAGTCAACTTGGCCCCTGCCAACTTCCACAAGTTCCAGTACTACCTGTCGGTTGTGCCAACCCAGTACACCCACGGGTCGAAGACGATTACGACGAACCAGTATGCAGTCACGGAGCAGAGCGCTGAAGTTGGCGAGCGAGCGATCCCGGGCATCTTCATCAAGTACGACATCGAGCCAATTCAGCTGTACATCAAGGAGACCCGCGCCACATTCCTCTCCTTCATGCTGAAGATTGTCAACATCATTAGTGGCGTGTTTGTGGCTGGCCACTGGGGCTTCACGCTCACCGACTGGGCAAAAGACATCATCGGGAGGAAGCGCCGAAGCGGCGGAGGCGTGGGTGTGATCGGCTCCAAAGGGGGATTTGATGACTAGACTGTATCTACAGGAGGTTGAGGAGCGTCGTTTTGTGTGTGATAAAAGGACAGAAGAACGGGAGTTATTGGCGTCTTGAGCTTTGGGAGCTGTGCGACTTTGAGCTGTCAATCTGGTGCTAGGACATTTTGTATTATTGCTATTGGTCATCTACGCGCATCATTGAGCCCTTTCTTGGTTTGCTGCTCTTACATCGAGTATCTACGGAATATCTGACTAGTTGCTGAGTGAGATGAATGTGCAATTGCTGAAAATTGGATCAATAATAAAAACGCAAGTTCTCAGTACGTACAAATGGATGGCAGAGGGAATGAGACATCGGAATAAAAGGTGTGAGGAGGCCCTTTTTGATGATGATCAGGATACTAAAATAGTATATTGACTCTTTAGAATTCATTATTAACCTTAATATTCTGAAAATACTTTTCGGACACTTGACGATAAGCAGTATCATGTCTGACTGTCCCGGATTCACTTGACATGGTATGTGTCCTCTCAGTGTGGAAAGGCTGCATGGAAGAGGTGGAGGGGTGGAGTTTTATGGCAGTGGGTAGCAGCTCCACCCGAATTCGGGATGGATGACGGAGCCCAAGGGAAAGAAACAGACGGGTCATCTGCGCAGTGCAGCAGACGTTGTCTCGGAATGGTGTGGTGGCTCCTCCGGGAAGAGCCTCTATGTAGGTACTTCTACGCGGCCGTTGTCTCTAGGCTGGAATCGCTGCGATGATTTAGACTCACTCCTAGATCGATCTTGCGTGTGGAGCGGAGGCAAGGACAGCAGCAAGCAATACATGCAGCAGGGCTGGCTGATCCAGACTACGAGGCACCATGACGACATCACCGCCAGCAGGGTGCGGGCCGGAGGACAGCTGGGAGGTCGCTGCACTGGTGCTGGAATGCGGGAGAGGCCTTTGCCGTAACGGGGCCTAGGAATTCCGTCCAACTGCCGGCCAAATCAGAGCCCGAGGTGGCGCGTCAGTTGTTGCAGAGCAAAAGTCAAAAACAATACATTGTCATCTCAACCTCCACGATGCCGCAAGGGTCGCTGGAGCCACGTCGTTCTGCCTGGGAGCGGACCGCGGTGGCAAGGGGCAGAATCATGCTTCTGCAGAGTTTGTGGGTGGGCAGGGGCGAGGAATGGGCCATGTCCTAATATCTCTCAAAGTCCAGTAAATGTTGGCCGACCGTTGGAGGACGCAATGTAACGCAATAAAACGGTGGTCGAGGCCAGCCATACATAGTCCAAACAGAGGCCGCCCGTCCAGAGAGGGTGGTCACAAGGCGGTGCTATGTATGAGACATACAGTAGCCGGTTCTCAGGCTAAAGGCAGGCTTCTGAGACTGGCCGCTCCCACCGCTGCCACTCGCAGGTCTTTTCCGGTCATGGGGCGCTTGCAAATAGCAGTGGTTTTTTTTTTTTGCTCATGGTGGTCCTCGTTGGGTGCCAAGGTGCAAAGCCATTGGATGACGTGCAGGAAACTCACCCAAGGCCGGGCTGGCGGTTCTCCAGCCTACCGAACTTGTGTATATGCACAGTGTTGGCTGTGCTGTGCTGTGCGGATGCATAATAAGGAGGTGCGCTCGGAGTATAAGAAATCTCTCATGTTTGGAAAGGATCAGTTTCAGGCCGCGACAGAGCCATGGACTTGCGAGCGATCACGGCGGCCCAGCGATGGGATAGACCCGTGCCCCGAAGAGATCTGGCGATTACGTAGGGCGTTCTTGTCGAAAGAGCCTTGGTGCGACGGGGTCCTGGTGCGTCCAGCGGTGGAGATGAGGGTCCTTGGGCCTTATTACTGCATGATAGAGGGTGCTGGAAGCCGTGTATAAGCAGGCTGCAGGGGGTGGGGGGCTTGGATGGGCGTATCCTCAGCGTTCCGACAGGGGTCCAGTCATGCACCAGCGGGTGCTTTTGTCATTCAGCATCACTGCGGATTTGCTTGGGCAACCCCTCCCCCTCCCCGTCGTCTCGTCTTGGGCTGGCTCTTTCCCGCCTCGCCTTGCCTCGCCTTGCTTCGCCGCAGCTTATGCCTGCGACTTACTCTCTTACATATCCCGCTGCTCCTGCGCAGGCGATCATTTCCCCGTGTTTATTTTTGCAACTCCTCTGCCTGTGGTTATAATAAACTTGGATCCATTCTCTTCAACCACAGAGCCAGCACACACATTATTAGCGATACCCAACTACAGGACGTCATTGGTTGGGCACACACATATCCTGCCGCAACACATCCTCTCACCACGCAGCCGCACACTGCCACTCCCTTCACAATTGCCATTGGCCTCGACTCCCTCCTGTCAAGTGCCCCGGGGTTGAAGGCGTAATTCTATTATTCACAATGGGGGACGGATACAGAGAGTCCCGCTACCGGGACCGCGATGGCAGCGAGTCGGGCGAGGAGCGATACAGAACCACAAAGGTCCGTCGCTATAAGATCAAGCCTGGCCGTGACGACCACTACGAGAGCTTCGAGGTTGATGACGAGCCCCGGTCCCGCTACTCTGGCCTACCCGTCCGAACTCGAGATGACTACTACGACTTTGACCGTCGCCCGGAGCGCCCGCGTTCAGAGTATATCCCACGGTCGGAGCATCCTGACGACCGCCGTAGCGCCTACTACGAGCCTGAGAAGGACTTTCACAAAGACGCAGACCCAGGCCGTATCACCGTCTGGGAACCCAAGGAGAGCGACGTAGATTTCGATCGCCGGTCTCGCTATAGCCGACACGACGATGAGATTCGCGTCGAGAAGGAATACGAAGGCCGATACAAGGATTCTCACGGTCACGATGTTGACCGAATCCAAAAGGAAACTGAATATTATATCCGACCCAGCCCCCCACCTTCCCCAGTCATAGTCCGCCAGCGAGCTGAGCCCCAAAAGATCATATTCCAGGAAGCCCCTCCCCCAGCACCCATTGTCATACCCCGCCAAGAGTCCAACATCGTGATGCTGAGGGAAAAGGAGCCTGCCCGTGAGATGGTCCGGAGGGAAAAGGAGCCCGCTCGGGAGATGGTCCGGAGGGAGCGGGATAGGCCCGAGGAGGAGTACTACTACCGCCATGAAGAGTATGATGGCCCTTACCGTAGCAGATCCGACCTCGACCGGGAGCGAGATTACGCTCTAGCGCGGATGGACCACCACCGCCATCATCACGACAGCTACAGTGACGACGAAGACTACTATGTCCACCACCGACGAATTGTCCGGAAGGAACGTAGCGAAAGCCCGCATCGCAAGCGCATAATGGCTGCCGGTGCCCTTGCCGGCGCTGGTGTTACTGCTCTGCTCTCTAGTCGTCGCGACGAGAACGGCGACCTGCCTGAGCACCGCCGCCGAAAGGTTCTCGCTGGTTCGGCCCTTGGTGCTATTGGAACTGAGGCCCTTAGGAGGGCTTACAGTGCCCATGAGGAAAAGCACGGAGGCTCTCCAGATAGCCACTCGACTCTTAAGAAGGCTCTTGGCGTCGCTGCCGTCGGTCTTGCTGCCGCCGGAGCGGCCAAGTATATGCAGGCCAACAAGGTCGAGAAGGAAGAGTCCAGTCGTGGACGCAGCCGAAGACGCTCGCACTCAGTCGCCACTTCTCGCTTCGGCTCAGGATCGCGGGCTGGATCTCGTAGCCGGAGGCGAAGCGTTTCAGTCGCCAAGGCCGCCTTAGGCACTGCCGCAACGGCCGGCCTCATCAAGAAGCTTCGAAGCAGGTCGCGGAGAAAGAGCGGGGACAGGAGCAGGAGCAAGTCCAAGATTCGCCATCTGGCTGAGATCGGTGGTGCTGCCACCGCTGCTGGTGTCGCTGCAAAGCTTTGGGACAAGCGCGCTGAAAAGAAAAACAAGGAAGATGATGAGCGTGAGCTAAGCAGGGAGCGTGAGAGAAGTCGACGGCATTCTACTAGGGGCCGGAGCAGGGATCGAAGCTGGAGCCGCAGCCCGAGCCGTGGTCCAAGCCGTGCCTCTAGCCGTGCTCCTAGCAGGAGCAGGTCAAGAGCTCCCTCAGCCCGCAATCGCTCTCCTGGTTCCGAGGTTGGTTTGATCGAGTATGGACATGATCCCCTCGGCCCTCCCCCTTCCAAGGCTGCACACGGATACGAATCTGAAGCCGAGGAGAGGCGACGTCGACAAAGGAGGTCGCGTGGTCGTTCTCACTCGTCTGATGAAGGTGAGGCAAGGGACAGACATGCCCGTAGTAAGAGCCGTTTGCGCGACATGGCCGCAGGAGGGGCTGCTGCGCTCGGAATCAAGGAGTTCAGAAGCCAAAAGGAAGAGGAGGACCTGGATAGGAGGTCCCGAGAACGGCAGGCGAGAGAAGAAATGCGACAACGTGACCGAATGGAAGGACGGGATCGCTCGAGGTCAAGGTCCAGAGGTATGGGTACCTAGGGTGAACATGGCATTGGGTTGAACTAACACGTCGTAATTAGGAGGCCCGAGAGGCCCTGACTACTTCGGCGATTACAATGGCCGCACATCGCCACCAACCGCATCTGGAGGTGCCTACTATCCACCATACCCTTCCACCCCTGGTGGCGAGGAAGGTCCCGGTGGTTACGGCAATCCTGCCATGCCAGAGGCTAATCTGTACCACAACAACCGATACGTCCCTCAGGACTACACCGGTTATGTCCCACCAAGAACTCCGGGTGAGAACGTGGGCATGGGAATTCATGGAGGCGCGGGGCTCCCGCCTGCTCCTCCAGCCGGCCCTCCCCCACGTCCCCGCTCCTCAACGGGCAATTACCCCCCAGAGCATGTGAGTGAAGATCCCTTGTTGCGAGGGAGCGAAGAGGGTGCGTCCGATCGGACTGTGCGAGCTTGACCGGGCATAGGAACCATGTTGACTGACTTGGGTTTAGCTGCCGTAACGCAACCGCAACCCCAAAAACCTCCAAGTGAACCACCCAAACCTCCAACCGAAATACCACCCCGGGCCAAGTCTGTGGTGTTTGGTCCTCTCTCTCCAAGAAGCTCGGTAACAATGGAACGACACCGGAGGGGATTTTTTGATGAAAACAAGGATATGAAGCGACCGGCCCCTCTCTTACTTGAAAACGGACCTTCAGACTCTCCTGACACCCCTGATTATCCTGAGAAACCAAAAGATGACCGCTCTGGCCGAGACTCGTCGTCAGAGCGACGCATTGTCCGTATTCGGCCTCAAGACCTCCTCGCTGGCTCTCAAGACAGGGTCCGTCAACGTCGCGATGAGAGCAACGACCGCAAGAAGCGCGATGAGGGTGATGACCGCGATAATCATAATAAGCGTGGCGAACGTGAGGAGCGAGAGCCTTCGTCGGAACGGCGCATCGTCCGCAGACCGTCCAGGAAATCACGATCTCCCGCGTCAGAATCGGACGATGATATTGAGGTCCTTCCCGACCGCTTTGACGATAGTGGCTCTCCCGTAAGCGAACACAGACCTCGCCGCTCACACCACCGGAGCAGCCGCAGCGCCGACTACCATCACAGGAGTCGCCACCCTGACGACCAGGAGAGGCGAGGTTCATGGCAGTTTGGCGGGGCTGACCCCCAGCTGATGGACACCGTGGTCCGGGGCGTTACGAGCGTCATGGAGGGCAAGAAGAACTGGGTGTCTCTACTAGGGGACGTACTGGGCAGCGGTGTAATCGGAGGTCTTGGCGCTCAAGCGTTGCAGGAGGAAGACGATCACGATCGCAGGCGGCATCGACATAGATAACGACCTAATGACTGACATGTGACGACGGATTTATTGCTTTATTCTACTTCTATATTTTATTGATTTACTTTTTCTTCATTTCCTTGCTTGGTCTTTTCTTAATTTCATTTTGGGTGTCGGGCTCATGACTTGGTTACTCACGAGAATGATGATAGGATATGAGTATACATACTTATGACGTTTAGATGGGACATGTTGTGATATCTTCTATGTAGAATTGTTTTCAAGCAATGGCAAAACCTCTTCACCATACATCGTCTGCAAGTATTGCTTACTGAAATATCGTGTGGTCGAACATGTTTCAAGCAAACATAAACCAGGATATCGTATTTTTGCCGCTTCATCTGCCAGCTCTAACTCGTAGAGCTGTCAAGACTATCAAAAGAAAAAGAAAAAGATCACTAAAAAAAAATCCAGGGTACGGAAACGACGCTGCACCAGTCTGTACAGGGTATCACAATGATTGGCAACGCGCAAACGCAACCTTATCTCAACTTGCCTCTTGTCCTCCTTTTCCCCAATTCCTTGGGTCCTTGTGTCTTAAACCGCCCCTCAAATTACCACTTCCTTGTAACATCCTTGCCCCCATCTCGATTGCTCGAGGGCAGGGCGGAGACCCCTAAATATTAATCCAGCTTTTGTATATCCTCCTTTTGCTCTCTAAAACAATACCCCGCTGGGGAATAAATACCCCTTTTTATTACTTCTTCATGAGGTACTCTTTGTTGCCGGTCACCTTGCTCCACATGGTCTCGAGGATACCACGGTGAGGTCGGCGCTTGCCGGCGCCTGTGGACATGTCGGCCTTGAGCTTGTCGTAGATGGTGGGGAGGGTGTCGGCCTTGTACTTGGCGCGGATCTCAAAGTAGACGTCCTTGTCGTAGATGGTCCAGAACTCGTCCTCGGTGTAGTAGGTGCGTGCGTAGAGCAGCTTGGCACCGAGGAGCTCTGCGCTGCGCAGCTCCAGCTTGCGGTTGAGCTCGACGAAGGCTTCGTGGTTGTCGGGGCCGCGGCCGTAGACACCGACGGCGAAGATGCGCTGGTCAGCGACCTCGGCGACACGGGGGTTGAAGCGGGCAGTCAGGCCGATCTCGCGAGCGGTCTTGCAAGGAGCCAGGAAGATCTGGAGCTCGGGGAGGGTCTCGTTGACGAACTGGACGAACTGGGCGACGGTGCTGGAGGGGATACCGAAGTCCTGCACGACGTACTCGTCGGCCAGACCGGACTTGTGCAGGGCCTGGTAGCAGGTACGGCTGTCCATGAAGGGGTCAGCGAGACGGCGGGTGATGAAGTTCTGGGGCACGCCGAAGTGGGTGAAGGCGAGCTTGCCACCCCAGAAAGCACCATGGTCGTAGCGGAAGAGGTAGTCGGTCAGAGTCATGTAGATCTTGGCGGGGTTCTCGCCAGTGGGCTTCTTGTCGAGGTGAGCCTCCATGGTGTCGGCGAACCAGTGCACCTCCATCTTCTTGAGAGCACGCTGGCCCTTGGGGAGGGTATCAATGAACCTGCTCAGCATGACACCGATTCTGTTCTTCTTGAAGTAGACACCGTCAATGAAGTGAATAGACTCGTCGCTTGTCTTCTCCTCGAAGATGCCGTGGGCCGTCACGACATCCTCGACAAGCTGCAGCTCGACCTCGACGTACTTCTGGGCGGGGATAAGCTCGACAGTGCACAGGGTGACAATACCGAAGGTACCCAAGCTACCGGCGGCGTGCTCGAGGAGGTCGGCGTTGTGTTCATGGTTGGCAGTCTCGAGGGTGCCGTCACCAAGGATGATCTCGATCTCGCTGACGGTGTTGCTGAAAAGACCATACTTGTACATGCTGCTCTCTCCGGAGAAGCCAGAGAATCCACCGCCGACGGTGATACCCTTGAACTCCATGACAATCTTGGGGATCACACCCTCCTTGATGCAGTGGGCGGCGAGGACGTCCATGGGGACCTTGGGCTCGCACTGCACAGTCATGGTCTCCTTGTTGACAGGAAAGATGCGGTCCATGTCGCTGGTGTCGACGATCTCATCGCGGGTGAAGGACATGGGACGGGTCGAGCTGGTCGAGCCATGGTAGATACGGAAGGGCTTCTTCTCGGCGTAGAAGTGCTTGACCCGTTCCTGAATGCGGGCGACGGCCTTGTTGTGCTGCTCCATGAGCGCGGACTGCTGGGTCTGGGCCATGGTGGCTGGAGCTTAGATGATGCTGTACAGAGCGGATGGAGGTTCAATGGAGTCGGGAAGGACAATTGGAGGTTCCAATTGAGCGGGGGATGGGAAGCAAAGGAAGGAAAAAGAGAGGATGGGTTGAAAGAGAGTGGTGGCAGAGGTAAGATCAGGACTGCGACTTTGGAAGGGAAGACAGCAGGCCGAGATGAGATGTGGGCATTGCGGCTTCCCGGACGGTTGGAGGGGAAATTAGCATTGGCATTAGGTGCCTTGGATACTGCTACGGGCACTGGATACGCTGCACAGCACAGCGTTATGCAGTGCTCTACAGCGCTGCGTATGTTTTGTTGGCTGAGTATCCGTGGTGACGACGCCTGTAAGCATGCCAAGCTTTGGGAGGGCGCAGGGGGAGCTTGGGAGCTACGGTGGAGCTAGCCTGCTATCAACCCACTACGTATGCGCTCTACCTTACTTTACCTAGGCCCATTTTCCCAGGCACAAGCTCGATGTTAAACTGTGGCCCAGCAGCTTACGTGCCTCCCTGCTGCAGCGCTGATTGCCTACAATGGCAGCAGACATTGCACGATCAGCCCAGGCTTCGGTGCGGAAGCCACGGATAGCTCTGCAGGGATCAGATTGAGTCCTCGTACAAGCGGAACTTAATGCTGCATTCTTTTTCATTATCCCCTGCAGTTTTGCATGTGTGATAATTGTGAAACAGGAAATAAAACACGGATGCAAACAAGTGGGAGGCTTAATGTAAGGTTAATCAACCAGAGGCGCACCTCAAGCGTACCACTTACTTGCCAGCAGCGACGTCACAGACCACATGTCACATCGCCATACGCAGCTCCGGAGCCAGCCCCAATGGAAAGCATGATCCTTGTTGCTTGGCGATGACCTCCTCTGGATAGGTCAATTTGACCACAAGATCCATATTGTTTAAGCAATACAACAGGAAGTATCAAGTGCGACTCGTCGTGATCCCCATCTATGTAGTATTTGAGTGGAGTATGGCACGGCAGACAATGAAGCTCCTGTTTTAGTTTTCCATGGCATAGAGTAGGTAATGTAACATCTATTGGGTTAGATATCAACATACATGAATAATTTACATCTCTCCTCCAGAGCGACACTTGGATGAATGCTATATGAATACTTGACTAGTTACCTAAGCGGCGCTTGCCAAAGTTCTCTATTGAAAAATCATAATTCCCTTTGTGGCCATCCAACTTCTTCGGGTTCTATGTACTAAGGTACCTACTGCACAGCTCATCCCAATCTTGGCACCTTGTCTCGCCTTTGATGAGCCATCGGTTCCATGCGGCGAGTACTCTTAGAATAGGCGTCGCCAGATTTCCATGCTATATATCTTGAGCCATAACTTAATGGAGGGGATACAAAATCTGCACAAGATCCAAGTGCTGGACTGCCTGTAGGTAGATATAAGTCGGCCTCCCTGGCGGAGTCTTAGATCTAATCCCCGACAGAATCAAGTGGAACCTGACGTCCTCAGCCAGCATGTCTCGACGGAAAGAATAGATATGAAAACGAGTAGCAGTTAAGGATGGATATCCCAAAACCCGTGTTTTTGACTCTATGGTATGATCCTCTCTATAAACACTGCGCGCTCAACATTTACATACTCCACCTTCTCATCATAATTCGTCTCGCACGGGAGGCTCCTTATCCGGCCGCCCACTGTCTGCGTGCAAGTTCACCGCACTCTTTGCCCTCCACTTCTCCCATGTATCCCAGAACTCCGACTCGATGCCCTTGTCCAGCTGGTCGGGCAGGACCACCTCGTATGTGACATAGAGATTGCCAAAGTCATGCTTATGGTATACGCTATCACCATCCTCGTGCCAGATTGGCATACCCTCTCCAGCTATCGTCTCGACATGGCCAGGCTGGACGACCTGGCCACGCTTGCGGCTGAGGCGAACTACGTGGTTGTCCAAGTGCGTCAGGTTACGGGTCCAGTCACCCATCCAGGCCTCCCGCAGCGACAACACCTCGGTCCAGAACAGATGGTCGCCCTTTCGGCGGAAGAAGACACCGTCCACTCGCTCGGGGTTCTCGTCGTTGGCCGGGTCCTTTTCGCTGAGGTGGACAATCAGATCTCCAGTGATATAGTCGGGGCTCTCATCAGCCTCGTTCTCATACACGACACGTGCGCCGTTCTTGGCGCCGCGCTCAACCTTGAGGTCGACGGTTGTCGGCTTCCTCTCCACACGCTGGCCCTGGCAGTGGGGGCATCTGTGCTTGATCGTCTTGCCACGGCCGCCGCAGGCGTCGCAGTGTCGCTGCATCTGCTGGAACATGCCGGGGGCCAACTGCTGCTTGATGATTCGAACGCCTCTTCCACCGCATGTGTTACAGGTCTCGACAACACCATCTGCGCTTCCTGACCCGTCGCATTTCTCGCAGATGTGTTGCTTGTTCCACTCAAAGTGGGTGTTGGCACCGTTGTAGAAGTCCCGAAGGCTGATCTCGACCCTAAACTCCTGGTTGGGGCCGTGTGGCTCGCGGGATCCTCTGCTTCCGCCGCCGAAGAAACGGCTGAAGAGGTCAAAGGGGTCGTGGTGGCCGCCGCCGCCCTTGCGGTGCGACTGTACTCCATCGTGACCGTAGCGGTCGTAGATCTCACGCATCTCCTTGTCGCTCAGGACTTCGTATGCCTCAGAAACTTCCACGAACTTGTCGTGAGCTGTGTTGTCGCCACTGTGTACAGTATACAGTGTTAGTTTATTAACCAACAAGCTTCCAGGGTACGTGAGCGGTGCAACGGGGATTCAACATACGGGTTCTTGTCTGGGTGGAATTTCTTGGATAGCAGTCGGTAAGCTGACTTCAATTGACGGTCGGTGGCCTTCTTTTCGACTCCAAGAATCTTCCAAGAGTCAGTATCTGCAAAAGGGGGGGCAATGACGGGCGTTCATACTTTGTAATAGTCTTCGGCGCAAAGAGCGACCTGGATCAATGCCAGGAACAAGACCGCAAGGGCCGTCCCGTGGAGTAACATGGTGGGCGGCCAAGTAGTTTGCAAAAAGTTATTGGAATATTGGCAACGATAACTTTGGGCAAAAATCTACTTCTCCGGCACAAGTTCAAGGGAGAACATACAACCTGGAGTTGGTGCAAGAGGGGATGGAGATATTGGCTTGCTGGCTCTAAGTGAAGTGGCAGGCGGGATGCCAGAAATACCAGCGTGTTCACTTACCGATAAGCCCGTATCAGGGAGTTTTGATTGGCCTGGAAGTTCGCGGCGGGTCTCGCTTTGTTCCTGAGTATCCAGTTTCAGGTGACAGCCTGTATACGCAGCGAATAAAAGCACAAACTCCCGAGATGACTCGAAAAGAATTCTAAAAGTAAGGTCTTATAATCTTCATAACTACGCGCTAAAAGAATTGAAATTTGGTCTTAGATATGGGCCACATATCTGCTGGTGAATAGCTACAGAGGGACTGCGATAGCTGGTATCTTATCTGATAGAAAATAAAGTGGACCATCATTTATAAGAGAAGTCGGGATTTACACGCAAAGCCCAGGCATAGGCAGCAACATCTCCAAAAACTTTAACAAGGGTTGTTATAATATATAAATTGGACATTGTCCCCAGGGAGTGAAGCGATATCATAACCACACCACACCTCTGCTTTAATAGACCCGCGTTTCTGCATGAATCCAGTCACATTTGCTCTCCCGGGCAAAGATAGAAAACTGGGTCCAAAGGACCGGGGCAGAGAGAAAATACGGGTCGAAGTCGTCAGTTGCTCCGTCAGAGGACTGCGAACTAGACTCTCGTCGACGCCTTCTCAGAGGCTTCAGCAATCGCTTTTCCTTGCTCGCGGGGTACTTTTCCTGGGCCTGAGCCATTGCAGTACTTTGCGCACACGGACAAAAACTCGTTGCGAAGCATTCCGACTGCATCGCAGCTCTGCTCGCCCGTCATGAGCTCCAAAAAGTATGCTTTCCTCCCCATGGATGACGGGGAAGTTGGGCCTCAAAAAGTATCAAAGGAAAAGAAACACAGGTCCCGCAATCGCGACCGCGACGACAAGACGGCGTCGCGCTCGTCGAGATCCCACCGCCAACGCAGCCGCAGCCGGTCGACATCGCGCCACCGATCCTCGCACCACACTTCCAGTCGATCCAAACACTACCGGCGACGCGATGACGGGGGTGATGCGGAAGACCGGTGGGCGGACGAGGAGCCCCCCTCGGATGAGCCTGAGGAGGAGGACGATGAGCCCGAGTTCCAGGAGTCAGCGAACAAGCGCGTGAAGTTGAGTCACGACGCCGACAAGGAGGACGAAGAACTCTCCGACGGGGCGAAGGAGGAACTCCAGCGTAAAAAGGATATCGAGGAGAGAGACGCGTTTGCGAACAGGCTTAAGAATAAAGATGATGGACGATCCAAGAGGGACCACAGAGATGGAGAGGCCTCGGCGAGGCGCAAGCTGGCCGACGACGCAGCTGCCCGGAATGCGGCCTTGCCAGACTTGAGGGAAAGGTCGCGACAGGAGTACTTGAAGAAGCGCGAGATGGAGCGGCTTGCGCTTTTGAGGAAGCAGGTAGCAGAGGAGACCCAAGAGCTTCGCAGCGGCGTGCGGCTGTCGGACAAGGAGAGGGCCGAGTTTGCGAAAAATAGGGAGATCTTACGTTTGGCCGAGGAGCGATTGAAGATTGACGACCACCGTGATGGATACTACATGCCTGAGGACTATATCACAGAGAAAGGGAAAATGGACCAGAAGAAGAAGGAAGAGGCGCTGTACAAACGATACGTCGACAAAGACGAATTTGGCCAGGAGAAGTTCGTGACAGAGCATGAAGAATGGGAGAAGGAGCAAACAGCAAAAGCCAAGGCCCAGATCCAGCGGCCAGAACGAGAAAATGAAGACTACGACTATGTGATGGACGACGCTCAGTATATCCAATGGAGCCTGGACAGCCGTATGGCCGGCGAGGGTAAACAGCTTACAAAGGAGCAGCGTTTCCTAGAAGCCCAGATCGACGCAGCAGAGAAGAAGGCCCTCTCTATCCAGGAGACCAGGAAGACGCTCCCTATATACAAATATCGAGACGAGTTTCTGGCGGCTCTGGAAACGCATCAAATTTTAGTCATCGTCGGAGAAACTGGTAGTGGAAAGACCACCCAACTGCCGCAGTATCTCCACGAGGCCGGGTACACCAAGAACGGCATGAAGGTCGGCTGTACGCAACCGCGACGAGTGGCCGCCATGAGTGTTGCAGCTCGTGTAGCTGATGAGGTGGGCGTCAAAGTAGGGAACGAGGTTGGATACTCGATTCGATTCGAGGACTGCACGAGCGAAAAGACGATTCTCAAGTACATGACGGATGGCATGTTGCTTCGGGAATTCATGACCGAGCCAGACTTGGCCGGTTACTCAGCCTTGATGATTGACGAAGCTCACGAACGTACGGTGCATACTGACATTCTGCTTGCCCTCATCAAGGACCTCTCGAGAGAGCGTCCCGACCTGAAGCTTCTCATTTCCTCTGCTACAATGAATGCGGAGAAGTTCTCGACGTACTTCGATGACGCTCCCATTTTCAACATCCCTGGTCGACGGTATCCGGTCGATATCTACTACACCCCGGCCCCAGAAGCCAACTATCTAGCAGCTGCCATCACCACCACCTTTCAGATCCATACCACGCAAGACAAGGGTGATATTCTCATTTTTCTTACAGGTCAAGATGAGATCGAAGCTGCCGAACTGGAAATTGCCGAAACTGCAAAGAAACTGGGCACTCGTATTAAGGAATTAATCATCTGCCCTATTTATGCCAACCTGCCGTCAGATCTCCAGGCCAAGATCTTTGAGCCTACCCCGGAAAATGCTCGCAAGGTCGTCTTGGCGACCAACATTGCCGAAACCAGTTTGACCATTGATGGAATTGTGTACGTCATTGATCCTGGCTATGTCAAAGAGAATGTCTACAACCCAGCTACTGGCATGTCCAACTTGGTGGTCGTTCCGTGCTCACGAGCCTCTGCTGGCCAGCGAAGTGGTCGTGCTGGACGTGTTGGGCCTGGAAAGTGTTTCCGACTGTACACCAAATTCGCCTACATGAACGAAATGGACGAGTCAACCACTCCTGAAATCCAGCGAACCAACCTCAACGGCGTTGTGTTGCAACTCAAGTCTCTGGGTATCAATGACTTGCTCGACTTTGACTTCATGGACCCGCCACCTACCGAGGCGCTCATCGGCGCGTTGAATCAGCTGTTTGCCCTCCAGGGGTTGAATCACAAGGGCGAGCTCACAAAACTTGGACGCCAGATGGCCGAGTTCCCCACTGACCCGATGCTGGCCAAGGCAGTTCTCGCCGCTGACAAGGAAGGTTGCGTGGAGGAGGTCCTCTCCATCGTGTCCATGCTGAGCGAAGCCTCGGCGCTCTTCTTCCGCCCCAAGGACAAGAAGATCCACGCCGACAGCGCCCGAAACCGGTTCACCGTCAAGGACGGCGGCGACCACATCACCCTCCTCAACATCTGGAACCAGTGGGTCGACAGCGACTTCTCCCCCGTCTGGTCCCGCGAGAACTTCCTGCAGCAGCGGTCCCTCACCCGCGCCCGCGACGTCCGGGACCAGCTCGCCAAGCTCTGCGAGCGCGTCGAGGTCAGCCCGTCGACATGCGGTGCCAGCAACCTGCCCCCCATCAAGCGCGCCATCACGGCGGGCTTCTTCCCCAACGCCGCGCGCCTCCAGAAGAGCGGCGACAGCTACCGCACGGTCAAGAACAACACCACCGTCTGGATCCACCCCAGCAGCGTCCTCATGTCCATCGACCCGCCCGAGAAGATGGTCGTCTACTTTGAGCTCGTCCAGACCACCAAGGAGTACATGCGCAGCGTGATGCCCATCGAGGCCAAGTGGCTCTCCGAGCTCGCGCCGCACTTCCACAAGAAGAAGGACGTGGAAGAGATGGAACAGAAGAAGATGCCCAAGCAGAGATCGTGAGAGGGCAAGGGACCAATGGGGAATAATGTATGTATGTAGTTCATAAAATTAAGCGTATTGGGGTCGTTCATCCCCTTGTTCTGTATCTTTTTGTGTGTCCAGTGATCCCTGCCACATTACTCTAGAGTCTACACAATCAGAGGCATGTACGTACTGACCCAAAGTCGCAACGCTTCAGCAACAATGCTCTGGTATTGTGGCATGGTCTTCCTCTTCTATCAGGACTTGGCGATGCTCTGTGGCTTCTAGTTCTACATTACGTTGAATCTCATCATTTTAATCATAGTACTTCCCCTAGGTTCTCCATTAATCAAGATGCCTTGAATGCTGTATTTCTCTATACGTAAACTCGTTTTCTATTATATCAGACGAAGAGCGACGCTTGTGAATGATTGCCAAACCCATCTCTAACAAAAGAGCCTGCCACCCAATTCTTAATGATTAGAGAGAGACAAAAAAAAAGTATAATACGGCAAGCCCGAGCTCGACAAGGAGAGGACGACTCGACACTATGCCAAGCCTCACGACCACTTAATCTCGTTTGGCCCCCTCGTTCTCCTCCTCCCCGGCTCTCTCAGCCCCTCGGGCATCCTCCGCTCGCGATCTATCGGCGACGGAATCGACCCTTGCCTCCCGCTGTTCTCCTTATTGCTCAGGCTGCTGTCGCTCCTCGCCGCTATGGGAGGGTCGCGGCGAGCCGATATGCGGCCGCTGCTTGTGCTGGCGGTGGGTATCCCCGCTAGAGATGTCCGCGGTAGGCGGCTTCCTTTGCTCCCTGCGCTACTGACTGAACTCGAGTCGCCGCTTACGCGACGTGGAATGCCGGTCGGCCCATCTCGACTTCTTGGCCTATAACCAGGGCCTTCCCGTTCCCAGACAGCAGACCGTCTCGGACTGGCTGCCACCTCCACGTATCCATTGGCGCCAGTCAAACCAACTCTGTTTCTGTGGGTAGGCGTCTGAGGCATGGAAATGGACGACTGGAGTGAAGGCGGAGTGTAGCTCGTGTTTCTTCTAGAAGCCGAGCGCCTTGATACCGTCGACGCGGCTTGCTGCGTACCAGGACCACCCTCGTGTATCATCATGAGCATCGCCTGGTTCCCTTCCACAATGTGGGATCGTACCAGCTCCGATGCCAGGTTCCGCACCAGCACTGCCGAGTCCTTCTCCGCCAGTTTCTGAATAGACTCCATGAGCGAGCGCATTTGCGAGGTATTCAGGGTGCGCGAGCCATCGCCACCTCCCAGACCGGGCTCACAGGCGTCCATAATCGTTCGCACCAGCTTCAGCAAATTCAGCCTCACTACAGGCTTCTTGTGCCCCAATCGTTGTGCAATACCCGCCAGCATTTCCGGTCTTGCTAACGAGGCAGCGACTGACGGGCTCAGACGGAGAAGCTTCAGCAAGGGTTCAAGCAAATTCGAGTCGAAGGCGTTCAGCCGATTTGTGTTGAAGCAGCTAACAATCTCCCTAGTGAAGTTGCCGTCCACGAGATGACTCTCCACATTGGCAGTCTCCTCTTGCAGCCAGATGAGGATGGCGTCCAGGGCTGTTACTTGCCAGTACTGGTCAGTCAAGAGAGAAACGTAAAAGGCCAGGCCATTGTTTTGCCATAAGTATCTTCGTCCCTTTGACCCTGAGTGTGCCATGTCGCAGAGAATGGGCAATGCGAATTCCTTGGGTGGCCGGTCCGTCCGCAATATTCGCATAAGCAAAGGAATTATGCCTCCGACAGCTGCGTCTTCCTGGCGGTCTTTGCTGAGTCTGCATAGGTTGAACAGAGTATTCAGAACTTGGTTTGAAATCTCTCTGAAATGCGTCTGGTCTTTCTTCATGCTATAACTCAACAAGTCGATGAGGAACTCGATTGCGTCGGCCGAATGCAATGTCTGTATCGTGGTCGAAAGCATGGACAAGTTCTTGATAAACTTGAGCATTGTGATCTGGTGGATTGGCGTCATCCGTCTAAGGTCTCTCAGGACACTCTTCAGGACCTGACGGTCAGCAACGACTTCCTTGACGTAATTTTCAGCTTGGCTGAAGAGGTAAAAGATGTTCACGATCCGCCCTTCAATTAATTCCTCGAGTTCATCTTCGCCCTCCTCGTCAAGAACCCGATGCAGGACCAAGGCCAAAGGGTAGAGAATTTTGCTCCTCGAAAAGATTCGACAAAAGTCATTCTTCGGCGTCGGTCCCTGCAACTCAAACACATTCCAAATTCCGTTGACACCGATGAGCACAAGGTCGCGAGCGTTGTCGTAGTCCTCGTCTAAAAACTCCACCAAAACGTTCAATCCGCCAGCAGAAACGAACATCTGGAGTGTTAATGTGGATGTTTGGTACATCTGACGCACGAATGCTGCTGCTTCCAGTCGGATCTCATTGGAGTACTGCCGAGCTGCAAACTTGGTAATGATGGGAATGCCACCCACGAAACAAAGGTTTTCTTGGATTTCCACATCATCAAGGATAATCTATAATCGGATTAGACATCTTGATTCAAATTGAATCTGATAAAGGAACAAGCCTACCGCATTCACAACCTTGAGGAGCTGCAATATCATATACTGCCTGCTCTTCACGGTACAGGGCTCCAAAATCTCGAGGATTGGGAGTAAACCGTGCGCGCCAAGAATAAGGTCCTTTACTTCATCGTTTTCCCATAGCAAAACAAGCTAAAGACGCACTTGTTAGACTCAACTCTGAGAAGTATCACGTCTCATCAAACTCACCAGGTCCTCAGAGAGCTCAGAGAGCTCGTCCTCTCCTTCAGAGGTCTTTAATTCTCGTACTAACGCCTCGACCTTCTCGGCCAATCTGGCGTGCCGATCTCTGGCGATGTTTGCCTCCAAGTCCATTTCGGCCCATCCAGGATCCATGGAGGCGAATGGGTCGTCCTCATCCTCGTCATCTCCAAGCCACGAATTACTCGACACCTTCGACATTAACATTAAACCTGCATCTTCGGACCCTGGTTCGCTCTCCTGTTTCTCAAGAGTGCTGCTTGAAGGACCAAAGATGTCAGAGAAGTCCTCATCGTCTTCCTCTGCAAATTTTTGAATTTCGATTGACGAACGCGTCCGGCGCATATGTCGATCCGGTAATACTGATGGGCGGGAAGACTTTCTCCTCAGACTGCCCCCCTCAGCGGGTTGCATTGACCGTGGTAGACTCGTAAGATCTGATGGGTGGAAGAGCCGAGGGGAGTCATTATTTTGCCGCAATTCCTGCGAGAGCTGAGTTTTCAACACCAACTGTGGAGGGCCCATGGCAGAGGGTTCACGTGTCGTTGATTTTGGTGCCAAGGCTTGGTTGGGTTCGCGATCGAACACGCTGTCGTTGTCAACAAAGAGATCCGAATAATCTTCCGTGCTCTGTTCTCTGAAGTATATATCCGGCCTGGCTGGCAATTCGAACTTGTTGAAGTGAGACTTTGGTGGTGATTTGTGTTGATAAGGTGAGCCAACGGGTCCAGCCAGTTTGCTCGAGCTCGATTTTGAGCGCTGGTGAGATTTCTGTTGTGTTGATATGTTAAGCTTCTCCTTGATCTGCTGTTCTACTTTCCTTAGCACTGGCCTGATAGTCTGCTCCTGAGAGTCATAGTCCTGGAAGTGGCTTAGGCCCTTGATAGTCATTAATTCACCCTCAAAGTCATCGCTGTAGTTTGTATTCTCGTGCCGCCCGTCATTTATCAATGCAAATGATTTCAGCCGGTCGCTCGATAGTAGTCCTCCGAAGTTGTCCTGCGGCTTCAGGTGAGGCAACTGCAAGGCGCTTGGTGAAATGGCGGTAGCGAAGTCGTTATCCCAGTTGTCGTCATCTAAGAAATCATGGTCAGTTCCGGGTACGTTAATCGGGGGGGTTTCTATCAGAATGTACCAGCTAGCTCGGGCGTCAAGAAAGCTTCAGCCCTTGGCTTCGGCTTTGCTAGACTCAAATGGCCCTTGGCTGGGGTTCCACCATGGTATCGCGATTGTATGCCCGACGTATCGGATCCTGTAGAGGAGCGCAGATTTGGTTCTGAGGACTCTAAAGCCTTGTTCCACTGTTTAACTTCTTCAACAGCCTGTGTGAAATTATCTGGTGCTTTCGAAACCGGCGCATCTGCACGGCGGCAGCCAACAATCCAGGCATGTCTTAGCAATTTGCGTGCTGAAACTCTCAGGTTCGGGTCCTTTTGGAAGCATTGCATGAGAAAGTCTCTTGCGGCCTGGAGCTCGGTCAGTCAAGATGAAAATGATATAGTTCCTTCTGACTCTCGACCTACCGCAGAAATTCCTTCTGGGAGCGGGGGATGGTCATCGTTGACGATGGCAAACAATGCAGGCATCGCGGCAAGGTTATGGTACGGAGGCTTGCCTTGGAGAAGCTCAATGACCGTACAGCCAACGCTCCAAATATCGGACGCAGAGGTTGCTCCAGAAAGTTGAATGATTTCGGGAGCCATCCAATATGGTGTCCCGACTACCTGAGCCTCCTTGTCTTGACCACTCGCCAGCGTACTTGTTGAGACACCGAAATCAGCCAGCTTAACAGTACCATCTTTGGTGGTAAGAATATTGGCGCCTTTGATATCACGATGTATTACACCTTGGTCGTGAAGATAATGAAGCCCTTGGAGTACTTGTGTCATGTACACTCCAACCAGATTCTCGGGAAATTTTCCGTAGGCTTTACAGATGGAGTGGAGAGAACCATTCTCACAGTATCTATGAAATCAAGTTTAGAAGTCTTGTCTTGGAGGGGTTTGAAAGTGAGATGGGCCATAAATACTCTAAAATAATATTCAGGCATTCAGTCGTTTTGGCGAACCCAATATACTTGACAATGTTGTCGTGCTGCTCTCAGTAAGTTCACTGTACGTGACCAGGCATGGATGACAGGGTCAAGACTTACCCAAAGATTCTTGAGCAAATCAATCTCACTCTGTTTGGTCGCACTGGGTCAGCAAAATGGGCCGATCGTCCCAACATTCAAATGCGCACTGGGCCAAGCCAGAACCCACCTCGATCATTCGTAACTCGCTTTTGGGGAGGTCCGTCAGTTTAATCTGCTTGACGGCGACTGCCTCGCCGGTGCCCCAATTGAAGGCTTTGTAAACGGCACCAAAAGCTCCCTTGCCGATACATTCTCCTAGACGCTAAGCCCAACAGTCAGCCTCTAGATCCATAAGTGATGAATTGATCAGTTCGACCAATGTATGTGGTGTACGCTGATCCCAGTCCTCTACTACGCCCTGGTTGGCTCCCGAACGGTGTGGAATCCCATGCCGTTCTGAGCGCACGGTGTATATATCGAGATAGCCGCAGAGGCGGAGGTTGTACGTACGTAGTCCTTGAGTCCTGGATCCTGCACGGCCAAGCTCTCCCTTCCCTTCTCTTTCCGTGATGGCGTGCCAGGCGCAGGGGTGCCAGAGCCCCTCTGCTCCCGCGCGGCCACCACTCGGCCATTGCGATGCCCGTGATAGTGGCGATCGGGCATCTCCAAGTCCGCCTCGGTTCCTGACTGGCCCCTCTTGCGGCTCTACCTCTGCAGGAGGAACTGGGTAACTCGTGATCGGCGGGACGGCGTGGGAGAAGGCTGCGACGGCAGCGGTGGAGGGGTCGAGGGGGTCGTCGTGTGGGAGGGGAGGGGAGAGGGAGAGGGAGCCTTGAGAGGAGGGGATGGCATTCCCAAGCTCTGGGTGTTGGTTTTCGGTTCGGGCCAGTAGTAAGAGGGACGACGAGTGTGAGGATCAATAGATGGTGCCGTTTCTCAGCCTCGCATTCGATAGGCGTCCCTTCTATTGGCTCCTCTGTTTGTCGGGATGGATTTCACTGGAGGGCCAGCTCGGTGGAGGGCCGATCGAGTCGTCACATTCGGGTCGTCGAGCTGCACCAGGCGAATTGGGTCGAGAGCTGCGTACGCACTCGTCGTTGCGTAGCAGGATCGCCGCTGAGGGTCGGTGGGAGCAGGAGGAATTATAGCAATGTCGGATTATTGCTGTTCGAGGTCGGATGCGTGGAATTGGGTGTTGGGATCTGTTCGCCCTCTCTCAGTATTTCACTTGCAGACGGCCAGCCATGAATGCCTGTGAGATTGTTTCGTAGGTGTTAGGCTAATGTAAGTCAGTGTCCATACCTAATAAAAGCTGGCGCACGCGGTAGGCAGGCGGGTGGGCTGCATCGGGTCTTGGTTGGGACCTGACGGGACCAGTCTGGAGGTGAGTCGGTGTACACCAGAGGCGTATCATGCATGTACTCTGGCAGCGGACCGGAAAGCTGGGCCTGGGGACTCGGGGCCTGTAACAGCAGCCTGCCCGTACTGTCTGGGCCGTCTGTGCCTGGGCTTACCGCGGCGCCTGTCGGGGAATTTGGTGAAACTGTGGTGCCAGTGGTCAGTCACGACTTTAGTGTTGTCAGCGTCCCATTGGCACCTCCGCTGAGACTCTGGGGCCTCTGGAGGCTCCCACCCGCCATTGGGATTGGGCTGTTCTGTGCTGTACCTTGCGGGCCCCGCTCCTGTGCATTGCGAAGAGAGCGTTGGGTGATAAATGAGATTGCGATGCAGCTCGGGTAAAACTCTTCTGCATCGAGATGATGAGGTGGGTGTGACGAGTGCTGCACTGGCATCTCCCGCCCGAGGCCCAAGCGCAAGCAGGTGTGCCAATGGATCTGGATTTCAGCTCAACCATGGACATGGCCTGTCGGTGAGGGGAGCTGTTCCCTGGGCCTTGTCCTGGCAAATCGATCTGGTGGCAATAATGGACGTGCTAGCGCCTGCTAGCTGCCTAATACTTGCCTAGGAGCTGGCGACTAGCAGCCCAGTTGCGCTCATCGATCATCACCCGACTCACCCAACCGCCAGGGATGATAAGGACATCACTGCCAGAAGCGGCCATCGAGTCCTCAGTGGATATTAATAACTCAATCGAAATCAAATATGGGTGCCTTATCTTCTTCTTTCCCATCGATACAGCACGCATGAATTACAAATGTACACGGCATTGTCAACCATGCGGTTGGCTTTAGCATCCCCAGACCAAAGCCGCCATGCACTGGTCTTATCTGTGAGTGATCGCCAGTGCCTGGAAAATGGCGCTACGCCGTATGTACCATGTACGTAGCTGTAGATGCCAGGACTCGACCTATCAATCAGTACTAGGCGCCAATTAAGGTGGCTTAACGTAGCCACTCTAATTTTGAAATAATATTCCTTAGAATTTCTCGAACTGATCATTCACGTCCAGCTGCTCCGCCGGTAATAATGGTGGAGCAGAGCAGCACACCGATCCTCCTCTAGCCCCAAGACAAGCAACGTGCTCGCTTGCCTACCTGCTTGCCCACTGTCTTTACTCCTCATCACCAACAAGCCCATCAAGCTTGATTTTTTGCTTCAACCCTCTTTCCACTGTGCCAAGACACAAGCTTGCTGCCCATGGCGGGGTCATTCTCCATTATAGCTTCTCTAAGAGAAGCTTCCTGCGTCACACAAGCGAGCTATATCAACCGGTTAAGACTAATGACATAGCTACCCACGCACGTGGTCCGGTATATCTCTCGACTGGCCTCACTTGTTTTCTCAACTGCCTCTTCCAGTACCTCTCAGAATCTAAATGGGACCAGCAAGTGGTTTTCTCTTTTTCTCTCCTCTTGCTACTACGCGGCCGCCATGGATGAATTACCGCATCATAAAACCAGCGGGTTTCTCCCCATGAAGGCTCACCAGCCCTCCTCTTCTTCAGATACAATATCCTCATTGTGTTGGCCTTGGTGAAGACCCAATCGTCACGTAACATAATGTTCCGTCACCTCCTTCTGGCCGGCCTGTTCGCCGGCCTGTCGTATCAGCAGAGCTCCAATAAGTTTGGGAACCTCAAATTCTCAAAGAACGGCACCTTTCACTTGAACGTTTTGGAAGATCTTCACTTCGGTGACAGTATGTCGGACCAAATAAGCACCCCATACCTTCAAGCTCTCCAGCTGATGACCAACTACAGGCAACATCAAGGACGCCCACACCCTCAAGGTGATGGAGACCGTCCTGAACGCTGAGCCGTCGGACTTCGTCGTCATCAACGGCGACCTCCTCGACCGTGCCAGCACCTACCGTGAGAACCGCACCGCCTACATCGACCAGCTCCTCCACCCCCTCGTCGCCCGCAACCTTACCTGGGCGTCCACCTACGGCAACCACGACCACACCGTCAACACCTCCGCCAAGCTCATCCTCGAGACGGAGCGCAAGTACCCCAACAGCCGCACCCAGCAGATGGTCTTTGGCCGCGAGTCTGGCGTTTCTAACTACTATCTCCCCGTCTACGGCTCCGGCTGCCGCGGCTGCAACTGCACCCCCGAGCTCCTCATCTGGTTCTTCGACAGCCGCGGCGGCTTCTACCACAAGGAGCTCAAGCCCGACGGCTCCTTCGTCGAGCAGCCCAGCTGGGTCGACGGCACCGTCGCCACCTGGTTCCAGCAGACCAACGCCCGCCTCGTGGAGAAATACAAGAAGGTCATCCCCTCCATTGGCTTCGTCCACATCCCCGTCAACGTCGCCGAGGCGTTCGGCATGAAGATCGGCGTCGACGCGAACCGCCAGCCGGGCATCAACGACACCATGCCCATGGCCCAGCAGTCCTACGGGTTCTGCGCCGACGGCCGCTACAACGCCACGTGCGACTACGGCGGCCAGGACATCCCCTTCATGCAGGCCCTCGCGTCGACCCCCGGCCTCATGGCCGTCTTCCACGCCCACGAGCACGGCAACACCTGGTGCTACAAGTGGGACACGCTCATCCCCGGCATGTCCATCAAGGGCAGCGGGGTCAACCTCTGCTTTGGCCAGCACACGGGGTACGGTGGTGCCGGCGATTGGATCCGAGGTGCGCGCCAGATTCTCATCACGCAGTCCAAGCTGAAGAACTTGGAGCTAGATACCTGGATCCGACTCGAGAGCGGGGGTGTGGTGGGATCCGTGTCGCTCAACTCGACCTACAACAAGGATTTCTACCCAGCCACACCTAATCAAAAGACTTACATCTAAAGATCAGGATGGGAAATCATCTAGCGATCGAAGAAGATTGCAGTCAAAGGAGTAAGAGGGCCATGAGCAAACGAATACATGTAGTAACAACTGGCGCAGTACATAATAAGCTACCAGTGCCTCACCGAATAATTAACATTATGAGTCGTTCAATTGTCTGTCCGATACGTCCTACGATTTTCAAGGCCATCTGCTATCTGCGAGCCAATGCCACTCATTGTCCACCGTGTTGGCCAAATAAGGCCGTGTCAAACTACCCATCCAGCTCGTCCAGGATATATGTTGTGAAATATCATACCGTCGCTAACTTTTTCGCCAATGCCCCTCGGCCATGGTATTCAAACACCTTGGCCCCATGAACAGGAATGAAACCTAATAAATCACAGCTCATTAACGCTTGCTCTCTCCAGGAGCTCATCCAGATGCCTCATCATATGATCTTCTCCATCATATTTCATTGGTCCCAAAATAACCAACCAAAAAAATTGTTACAAAGTTCATGTCAGGTGTCATCCCGACAAAATCATACAAGCATGCCTAAAACAGCTACGCCGCATCAAAGTGTTTCGGGAAAACAGAAATTAATCCAGGCTTCATGGCCGATCTCTTGTCAGAGTTCTCGACAAGCCTGTTTCGGTCCACCATTCTTCCGGAATATCATCACGAGAAGCCAATCTTCGGACGATTCGCTGCAGGCTTACCAGGTCCTCGTCTGCAGAGGTTGTGCTGCCAGTCGACATGAATGACCCCTCGCCGGTCGGTCGAGGGGGTTCAGATCCAGAACTGTCTTCTGTCGCACCGACAGATAACGAACCTACCCACCCGTCGCGTTGACTTCCGAGAAGTGTCGGACGAGCCATGTATACATTGATAGACCCATTGTCTGATCGAAGAGATCGTCCTTCGCGTGGAGTCAAGGAGTCAGGTTGAGTCGGTTGCCCCCGAGTGGCGAAATCATCCCCCGTTAAGGGATAATCCAAACCTGGGACATCAAACCGTACGGGGTGGGCAGGACGGAAGCCTGGTCTAGAAACATGGTGACGGCGGCGAGGAGGCGCTTCTCCATCCTCTGTGTCAGAGTTCTCACATCCCGACTCGCATGGCGGCTCAGGCGCAGTGCCAAGTCGCAAAGTTTGCCCAGATGTACTGGTGAAGGAAGTGCTTGGGTTCTGGGAAGCAGCGTTGGACACAAAAGAAGAATTGGCACTTGGTGGCTGAGGATCAGGTGTCAACGTCGATAGGAGGGTATCCCAACCTTCTGGGCTGATACTGCGGTTACGGTCACCAAGTCCATTTACATCGTCAGTCGGCCTCCGTCGCGTTGACGCAGCCAGTTCCCGGGCAGATGGAAGAGTAATACCTGCCCTACGCGTTAATCGCCCCAGGGCTGAGGTCCGCTCAACTTGGGGGCTGCGGCTCCGCCTACGGGATCGCATTCTCTCCATGCCGAGCATTATCTGCTAACGAGGTCAGTATTGAGTATTTTGAAACGGCTGTACGGTACGAGGATAACTCATATTCCCGCACATGAGCAGCACTTAGATACTTACGACATTTTCCCTGCGACTTTGAGCATGGGGGTGGACCATCCACCATTGCGTGCGTGAATCTTGGTGAGTATTATTGTCCTCCTCGCGATTGCCCTCCTCGCGATTGCGCTGCTCACGATTGCGCTGGAGTGCTTCGAGTCCAGCTACCCGTCGCGCCTCCCGTTCCTCTAGCCATCGCTCCCGTTCAGTCATGTCGGGGCGAGCCAGATCGTCGGATGTCACGAAACCATTGCGAATATACTCGGCCGCCGCCGCGATGCCAGACGAGGTCGTATCTGTAGTAAGAGCCGTCTCAAGGGTGCGTGAAATGGGACGTCTGCTGCGCTCCTGCATCTCGAGCAATCTGGATCGTCGACTCAGCGCAGCGCGATCCCGAACATTGACGTACGGGGCACGCCTGATGGCCGAGCGTGGCGGCGAAGCTGACCTTCTCGCCTTTGCAGGGGGTTTTGGGTGCACATCTGACTCGACGGGTGCGACGAAAAGACTGGGTGGTGCCACGATTAGCGACTTAAATTCAGTAGTAATGAGAAGACACAAGTAGAAATCAGAGCACTGCATCAGCATACTAAAACCCAAGATGGATAGCAGATCTTGCGTGTGCGCATGCGGTTACGGTACGGAAATAGACGAGATAGAAGGCGCTAGATTGGACGAGATTTAGACATACGGCAGACCCATGATCTCAGGAGCAGCGATCGCAACAGAGATTAATGAATATAAGTGAATGTGAAAATAACGATGGCGACAACGGTGCCGGTAATTATCGGTTGGAAACGATGGATATGCGCGACAGGTAAACGAACGAAAGAGATGGCTGGCTCGATGGTGGATCAGGCCCTTGGTCGCGCGGGCGGCAAATGAAGAAAAAAGCGTTGATTGTTGCGCAGCGAGCGTGGAGGGAGGGTGGCACTTGAAACAACGCTGGAGGGAGAAGTGGTATTAGGTGATGATGATGACAATGATGGCGATGTGTCGAGCCTGAGGCGCGCAACGTCAAATGGCCCTCTCTTGATGCTCAAGGGTAGAGATGAATTGATGGAGCGCCTCGCGTTGGTCGTTGCTGGGGGTGAAGCGCCCTTGCCTTAGCTGCCCCTTCCCAGCCGCACCCGGCATCACGTGCAGCAGGCAGCCGCTGGTCTCCACTTATACCAGTCCCTGCATTTCTGTGGATAGTGGCGTGAATTTGTGAGCCACAAGTGGGATATTTCGACTTCCCAATACGGGCTGCATTGTCCTGTGATAGAAGCTCAAAGTAATCAACAAGATTGCAGTTGGATAATTGTGCTCATTCTGTTATGACTCTAGATTATGGCTATTCGCCTTACAGGAGGCTTGTGGCTGTTCTCTAGCAGCCGGTTCTATGGATTGACTGGTAGTGGCGCTGAATTGTGGCTAGTGCAAGAGCAAGTGGGGCGAGGCAACTAATCGACTGATGCATTGGAAATTTGACTTTCAGACCCGACAAGGCTTAACAGCACCATTGAAACAGTCCCAATCGGTTCATTGAATTGCTGTATGAGTGCTGGACACTTCTCATGTCTCGAACATAATCCCATACCTTATTTCAGGCGTGGAAAGAGGAGGAGCTAGGCGGACCTGGCATGTCTCGCCATGGCCAATGCCAAAGATGCATCGTCTCTCGCCTTGAGACGTCTCCAACGCTTCATTGCGCCGAAGAAGGAGTCTGCCAAAGCTGTCCGTGACATCAGACTGGGACTTGATCGGATATCTCGAGTTGTCCCGGAGGTTCAGCAGTGGCAAGGGGTCCACGTGGGTGGTACTAATGGCAAAGGCTCGATCTGTGCCTTCCTCTCTGGGCTCTTCACTCTGGGTGGAATTGGCTACGGCCGGTTCGTCTCTCCGGCATTTCCACATAAGCACAATGCTGTGACGATAAATGGCAAATATGTCAACCCTCGGGTGTATGAGGTGGAGGCGGACAATGTTCGGAACGCTTACCAGAGGTTGTTGCAAGGTTGGCAACTCGCGGCAGCCGAGGACCCAGGACCGCTTTCTCCTTTTGAGCTGGAGACAGCTACAGCTTTCCGGATTTTTAACCGTACCGGTGTTCCCTATGGCATTGTCGAGGTCGGCATGGGCGGTGCAACGGATGCCACAAATGCTATGCGTCGAAAAGGTGTTACTGTCATCTCCAAAATCGATCTCGACCACCAGGAGTATCTGGGAAGGACTCTTGAGCAGATTGCAAAGGTAAAAGCCGGAATTATGCGTCCTGGAGTACCGTGCATCGTCGACTATACCAACGAAAAATCGGTCATCAGGGTGTTGAGAGAACACGCAAACAGCATTGGCACGCAAATATCTCTCTCCTGGAAGGCCGAACCCTTACTTTCAACTCTCGATAATGACCGGTGGAAACTAGAGGACTATCAAAAGCAAAATCTCTTGTGTGCAGCTCTTGCCTTTCGCCACCTTTTCCCCTTGAAACCGATCAATCTAGACAGGCTCTTAGAAACCGAGCCCTACTTGCCCGGCAGATTGGAGTGGGTTGGGATAGACAAGCTTACAGATGATCAATACAAGGCACCGGTTTTGGTTGATGCCGCTCATAATCCTCTTGGAGTCCAAGCATTGGCTAGATATGTCGACACAAATCTACGCTCCGAAGATGCCCCCATCACGTGGGTCATCGGTTTCTCTTCGAGCAGCACGAAGCCCTTCGATCAAATGATCAAGACTCTCGTTCGGCCCCAAGATAATGTTGCTTTTGTGGAATTCGATCAGCAGAGCAACGAGCCTCCCCCAACACCTGCAGCGCATGGGCAGGAAGTGCTGAGAACCGTGATCTCTTCCACTGAGCAGGTCTATCAGGGTGAACCCAACCTTCGAGACGCGTTGCACTGGGCTGCGTCAAAAGCTGGTGCCGGGCGGCTGGTGATCACTGGCAGTCTTTACTTGGTACGAGACTTTTATATGCTGGATGGCGTGCACCGATTCAGGGGTGAAACGAGGACACAGCAACCGACCTCGTCCCAGCTATGGCGATTAGAAAAGTTGCGAAATGAGCGGGCTCTGACACAAGAAGAGCATGAAGAATTCAAGCAGGCCAAATGGCTTTTGCATGAATCCAAGCTCAACAATGCGATGGACAAAATCAAGGGGACCAACAAGCGGCTAAAGGAAAGCCCAGCTTCTAAGAAAAATCCGCAACCCAAGGCATCCCTAACTGCTGCAGATGACCCTGCCGGACTCGTCAAACTTCGCAACATAGCTCGCCGACACAGATATCAGCTAAGAGGATATCGCATAGCCATACGCAGCATCGGCAATGATATTGATCAGGAGACTCAAGCAGGAGGAGAGCTCAGCAGCGATATCCTGTCCAAGCTCCGGGAAGACGCCGAGCTTCTCAAGGCACAAGCAGACAAACACTACCTTGCGCTTGAGGATTTACTGGACAGGTTCCGAAATCATCCCGATGCGCCCAAGATTTTTGGCCCCCGCCTCGAGGAGACACTCCTGGGTAAATCTTACGCTGGATCAGAGGATAGCCCTTTCAATGCGGCTACGGAACTAGATGTTAAGGAAGAGCCCGCCGAATCCGAGAAGGAAGAGGCCCTATCCTCGCGAAAAGGGCATGAAGCAACAACAGACAAGCCCGCAGTCGCCAGAGATTTCTGGGGCAGGCCCATAACGCAGCCTCCTGTTAAACCCTAAATCATCACATGTTTTATTACTATCAACACCTAATCTTCCCTCTCTGGGAACGACACTGAACAATATTCCCGGCGAAAATTACATAAAAAGCCAGTCTCTTTGGGGAGTCTCAAGGAGTCATGCATATCGAATACCCCAAGGTAGCATCCTGCTACTCGCACCTGTATATTATGAGATGCTGTTTATGTCACGAAGTACAATGGAGAGCATAGAATAAAATAGAATGTACAACACCTTAACCACCTGCCTGCCCTACACCTGACTTTTCTTCGAAATAAGCTCTATGTTCAATCCATCCTTGACAGCGCCCCCGTCGCACCTATAATCACATGATCAATGTGTCCACGACACAGTAGCGTAAGTCCGCAATCCTCAGTGTGATTTACCTGTTCACCTCCCACATCCCACCCACTCACCATGCCACCATCTCATCTCATTGTTGTCTGCTGCCACGGCATCTGGCTAGGCGGCCCGACCAAAGGCCTCGAAGACTCGGAGTGGCTCATCGCGGATTTCCAGCGTGGGGAATCGCCAACATTCGTCGAGCACGCCCGAGCAGGGGTTCGCCTTCTCGCCGAGCACGGTCAAGATGCCATCCTCGCCTATTCCGGGTATTTCCCCCCCTCTCTCCCAATCCCTCCTTCAAGTACTCTCTCAAGCATATGCTCGATTTACTGACCGCTTCAAACACAGCGGCCCAACGAGGGGAGAGACCCGGCTCTCCGAGGCACAAAGCTACTTCAACATCGCCCTAGAAAACGCCTTCTGGGGCTACTCCATCCCAGAGGGGCAGATCATACTCGAGGAGCGCGCCCTCGACTCCTACCACAACGTGCTCTTCAGCCTGACGCTTTTCTTCTCGCGGTTCGGCGTCTGGCCGCGGCACATGACGATTGTGAGCCACGCGTTCAAGCGTCCGAGGCTGATTGACGGGCACTGCGTCGCCATAGGCTGGCCGCTTGGCAGGGCGAGCTTTGTCGGCATCGACCCGCCGGGGCTGGCTGGGAAGGAGGATGCTGTGGAGGGTGCTGCCCGGGCGATTGGGGAGTGGTTGGATGACCCTCATGGACGGGGGGCGAGCTTGAAGGGGAAGAGAGCCAAGAGGAATCCCTGGGGAGTAAGTCAGGGTATATTTGAGAAGGGGGTAGAGGCTTCCGTGAGAGAGAATGCCAAGTTGTCAGCACGGGGGGAGAGTGATGATGAGACTTTGGAGGATACTGTGAGACCGTGGGTATAATGGTCCACTATGTCCATTCTCATCTTCATACACAGATATATATATTCTATTTTAGATCTTTGGTCTAGGTCCCTCCCCTACAGCCTTCACCAAAAACTCAACAGCCTGCTCTACCATTTCCGCGCTGAACCAGTGCCCAACCCCATCAAACACACGGTCGTCAATCTGCAACCCGCCAACCTCCGCCAGCACTTTCACAAACGGCGCGGTAAACTTATGCGGTACCAGCTGGTCATCCCCCCCAGAGAGGAGAAGCAACTTTTTGCTCCTCAACCCCCGCGAATCAACCAGCGCCGACAGCCGCGAACGCTCAACCTCAGATAGGGGAAGCTCAGGAAGAGGAGCGTCAGAGAACAAGAACCCCTTGGGGTCGTTCGCCTTACAGACAGCAACGAGATCCCGCGGGAAGAACCTGCTCCCGAGGAACTGCGCGCCGCAGTCGAGCTTCGACCCAGCCGCCCTGCCACCCATGAGGCCTAGATAGAGAAATCACCAAATCAGTTCCCCACGATCATATCTCACCACGATAGGGAGAAGAAAAAAAGAAGAAAGAAACTCACCCATAAAATCAGGGCTCCCAATCACAGAAACCGCAGCGTCCACCCTCTCCTCCCCCAGCCAGGCCTGCCACGCCGCGTGTCCCCCCAAACTCCACCCCAGCACGACGTGCCCGTCCACATTCTCCCTCCCCAGATACCCCGCCACCACGTCCATCAGCCCGCTCATGTCCGCCCTTGCGCCCTTGACCATCCCCAGCATGTCGATGGCGTGGGTGTCGTTGCCGGCCGCCCACGCCCCGTTGGCCCTCTCGCTCACCACCCGCGTCCCGTGGTTGGGCATGTCGAAGCACAGCGCCACGAGCCCCCGCTTCCCCGTCTCGGACGAGCCGTGCCACGCCTTGACGGTGCGGGCGGCGATGTCGTGCATGCGGCCGCGGGTGCGGGTTCGGGGGTGCAGGAGCCAGAGGCATGTGACGGGGGCGGACGGCGAGGCGGGCAGCTCGTCCAGCCCGTAGACGTCGACGAGGAGGCCGGCCATGGGGATGGTGGTCGTGGAGACCGCGGGGGGAGGGGGGAGGCCCCGCGTTGTGTATCCGTCGCTGGGGGCTGGCATTTTTGTGTGCAGATGGGGATGGAGATGGTTTGAGAGGGTTCAATTAAGTTTTATTAAGAATGAGACACTCGCTGCTCATGAAGCCTCTGACAAAGATGTCGGGCAGGTGGGGACCGGTCCGTACAACAAGCAAGATCTCCCTCTACGCGGGGTCCAACAGAGCAGATATAAAGTCAGGCGCAACACCCAGTAATAGCCGTATCAACATGAAGATCACAATACTCCAATCCCGCACTCCCACATGATAAGCCCGCATTGAAGATAACATGATAAAAAATTATGTAGAGTGAGCTATTTACGTGCGCTAGAACATCCAAGTCCACAGCCCGAGTGCTCTCGTGCCAATTCCCAGCCAGATGCCCCGTAAAGAACATAAAAAAAAGAACCAGTTGGCAGAGTAATCAACTGCCGAGCGTAGGCAAAAGGAATATGAGAAAATGATCGGTCGTTTGGTCCTGACCAGTAACACCGATTCACACAAACACTCCCACGTATCGAAGCCGGGAGACGCAACCAAAATCAACGACCGAGACGCCCCAACTCCATGTCGCAATTCCCACTCTCGCCTTAGGTATCCTGGAATCATAGTCCCATGTGCGGCTTGCATGGAAGCCGTCCCATTTTCTGTCCGTCTTCGGAATCGTATCCGTTTAAATATATAGCATTTGAATGACGTGCTTGGCGTGCACCATGTTCGACGCCAGGGGAGCGATTATTCAGGCCAGAGGGGCTGGAAGACTTCCGCCTCGTCTCGGCCGAAAAAGCCTGAATGTCTCTGGACAAGGAGGCCATCTTAATCCACTTTCCAGTGGTCATGGGCATCACGGCTGAGGTACAGCTCAATTGCGTACAAGCCCAACGTTAGGCCAACATTAATCCACCGCCACATGCCGTTGCCAACATCACCACCCCTCAAAGTCCAGCCATCATCGCTGTTGCTGGTAGAGAAATGTTGCAGGAGAAGGCTGGTGTAGACGGAGATCAGGATAGAAGGGGAAAACCAACTCAGGAATCCCAAAACTCTACCTGCGGTCTCGGAGTCCTCCCAATCAGGATCATGGAGCAAGGCTTGGGCGCCCAGATCTCTGACAGAAGGGATGATTCGGGTCGCACAGTAGAAAACGAGGAGCCGATAAGTGAGTGAAATAATAACTGAAGGTGTAATCGTCTGGAAGGCCGCATAAAGAAGCATGAGAGAGGAATGAAGTGCCAAGGGAAGGCTGCTCAGCAGGTGCACGATGGTGGAATAAGAAGCCATGATGATGGGGGGTAGAGGAGGTAGATCTGGCTGGGAGGATGCCTGCTCCTCTGGGCTACGTTGACCATCTGAGGGCAGGTAGTCGGTGAAAATCTGGTAGACGCAGAGAACAATGTAGGCGAATAGGAGAGAGGATTCGACGGGGTTGCCTCGGCCAGTACCGATTCCAAATGCGCAAACGAATACGGCAGTCGTCATAGTGATGCCAATAAGGGCTGCGTCGATGTTGCTAATCTCGGGAAACTGTGCTATCCTCCAGAGGAAGTAGACGGCACTTGAAATAATGGTTCCTGAGAAGGCCAGAAGGATGATCTGAGCTCAAGTTAGCAACGTAGGTATGGAGAGGGGCAGACGCCTAGAGACACTTACCACCCAAGTATCACTCCTTCCTCGATTTACGAGCCACCTGGTGATCTGGCCAGCAGCTTGGATAACAAGAAGTGTGCAGAAGCCTTCCAACAGCTGGAAGACGGGACCAGAATATCTCAGCGTGTTCTCCCAGCTTCCCAGCATAACGGTTTCGAGAAGGCCATCTTTCCCAAACAGCCACTCGGTCCAGGTCGCGCTCTTTGCCCTCAAGACACCGTCCAGTGTTCGCTCCACCCAGTTGGTCGTTCCGGCGTCCACAGCAAACTGCCCCAACGCCCAAATAAGCAGTGTCGGGATGACGATACACTGTGAGAGGCGAAGGGACGAGGAAACGAGCCCGCGCAGACGGGAGCCGTCGGGGGTGATGAGCTTTATCGTCGAGTAGAAGAGGTAGAATATGAAGATGGACAGGCTGTAGGCCAGGCCGCTGTCACGGCCACCGACATCGAAGGCGACCGGTATCGAGAGAACGATGCTGAGCAGGAAGATGGAGCCAAAGAGGACACTGAATAGCCACCACATGGAGGCGGCGGAGACAAGGGCCGGCCAGCGACTCGGGCCGCGCCGACGAAGCTATGGGACGAGGGAAAAAGAAAGCCAGCGGGTCGGCGTCGGCTCAGGGCTCTCGTGGGATGCGATGGTCGAGGTGCTCGGGAACGAGGGCGCTCTAGATTTTGACGATGTGGTTTCTTGTGGCCGGTCGATGCTGGTTTGGCCCGCAGATAAGCCGTGAGCGAGTGCAAGTGCAGGCAGCGTCGTGCCTTGCTTATCAAACCGGCACGGGCACGCAAGATCGCGTGATGGTGAGCGCTGGTGTGTAAAGCTGGCTTGTTTCGCCAGCACCACAAACAGGCGTGTCGCGGTTATGGCGAGGGGGGCAGAGGGGGAAGGCCGAGGCGGTGATGCGTTTGCAGGTGAGGTGGCTTGCCGTGGAGGGACAACTTTTTGTTTACGTATATGGCATCTGATATGGGGATGGACCCTGGGTACACTCTGTATCTTCACGTGCTTTTTTTTTGGCACTGGCACCGGCGCTTTACGCTCGACTAACTCACTGACACTTGCCCCGGCGGCACCAAATATTAATTTGCACATAGCCTCCAGCTTCGGGCGCTGGTGCTGGTGGCTAATATCAACGGCAATTTAAGCTAATTATTGCACACGCATCTCCTTATCTGAAAATCCAGCAGATGATCACCCATCCACGTGTTAGTCGGTTCTGTCTGGTGGGGTAATTTCACTGGCCTGCTTGCCTGCGAAGGCCATGATCTCATGGGCCCTGGCGAAAACAGGCCTTGGAAGGCACCTTGCCCTTTTCCCCTTGGACTGGTTAGGGCTGGCTAATGCGCTCCCACCTTGCCATCGATTGCTGTCTCCTCCAGCTCCCGGCCCTTGGACGTAGACGGCGCGATGGAACGCGGATGAAGCACTCGGTCCATCCAGGTGGTGATCTGCCGCACACACGCAGCCCAAACACCAATCATCTTGCCAGCCCAGAGAGCCAGGTTTCGTCATTTTTGAAACAGATGCATGCATGTACCATCCATCCCCAGAGTCTAGTTCCTCTGCGATGAATCAGATGATAAGGCGTGCAGTCGTTATCTGCCCCCTTCGGGAAGCGCCAGCATGAGATGAGGGCAAGCGAGTGACATTGAAATTGAGACACTCAAACATTAAGCTGCTTATTTTCAAGCCGGCGAGCGGTATTATCTAATTATTGAGTACTAATAACACATACTTAAGAGATAATACAGCATATATTGTTACTTTACTTCGTTTTCTACTACTTAATGTCTTTATTTATCACGGAAAGTACCTAGTTTTATAACGACTCTTCCATTAGGTGTCTCATTTTTCCTGTCACCCACTTGGAGGGACAACGAGGAGGAGTAGCAGCAGCAGCAGCGGAAACGACCCCATAGGCCTGCAGCTTCTCCAACTCGACTTGCCTTTTCGGCAGCAACTCCAACAAACAGGTGCTGCCTGCACTGATGCTACGTCTCAGACCAGTATAAGCGGGCACTTTCTATCCCGCTCTCCCCACCTCGTCTGGCCTCACAAGGCATCCAAGTCAGGACTATCACCAGTTTCACTAGAAGCCCCGAATCATCAAATCCAAGTTAGCATATCCACAATTCATTGCAGCTTGCTATTTGTATCTCTACTTTATTTGATATCTCCAAAATGGTAGACTTGCCCGCGATCCTTGAAGAAGCCGCTCTCCGCTACCGAGGCCCAGGTGGTGCAATTGCCGTCGTCCAAGATGGAAAGCTGGCTGCACAGCGAGTCTGGGGATTTGCAGACATAGCTCTCAGGATCCCCATGGAACCGTCCACAATACTGCCCATATGTTCCATCTCAAAGCAGATGGTATGTGCTGTGATCCATGACCTGAAGCGCTCTCCAACTGCCAAAATGGCATCGGCGGATGTGTCGCCCTCCGAGCTGTTGGAACGACACCTACATGAGATGCTCGGCCACCAAGACCAGCTCAAAGACTTGTCGATCCAGTATTTAAGCAACAATCAGTCCGGCATTCGAGACTACTGGGCTACCAACACACTGCTAGGAGCCCATCCCGAGGACCTCTTCTCGCTCGAGACGCACGCCGTGGACATGGTCCGCCGTATCAAATCCTTGCATTTCACCCCGGGCAGCGAGTATTCGTACTCCAACACCAACTTCCACATCCTAGGCCGGGTCGCCGAACGTGCCAGTGGCCAGTCGCTCCCCGAGTTGCTCTCCGAGAGGATCTTTCGTCCTGCCAAGATGACAACGGCATCCCTCCATCCGCCCTCTGATGACCAGCCCGGGCCCTGCGTAGGCTACGAAGTCAACGAGGCCCTTGGCTACTTCCCTGCCAAGAACCGAATCGAGTGGTCCGGCGATGCTGGCATCGTCGCCTCGCTCGAGGACATGATTGCGTATGAAATTTATCTGCACCAGCTATGGGCCGACCCCAAGAGCTGGTATCGAGAACACGCCGTGCCCGGAACGTTTAGCGATGGCACACCGTCTCTATATGCGAATGGGCTGAGCTTCGCTGACTTGGACGGCATACCCAACCTTGGCCACGGGGGCGCTCTTCGCGGCTATCGTCTCTACCGCCGCCACACGCCCTCCAGGGAGCCCTCCAAGGGGGGGATCTCCGTCGTTGTCATGCTCAACCATGAGGCTGACGCCGCGGAAGCTTCGTCTTTCATCACACGGAAGATTCTGGGGTTAGCCGAGCCAACGGTGGCGCCCTTCTCCCATCGTCCCGCGACAGAGTGGGAAGGTCACTTCTTGGATAAGGGCACTAACATGGCTGTCAGCGGCGACGTCACCAAGCCCGGCATCGTTGCGATAGATTATGCTCGAAAGGCCGAGACTGTCCGTTTGATAGGGTCGAACGAGGCCGAGTCTGGGGACATGAAAGCTGAGATTCGTGGAGACACGATTCATGTACGTCGGTTGAGAGACAACAGGATCCTGGAAGGAACTCGTCTACACCCCGATGCTGCCAAGAGGCGCGATCCGTCTCTGCCTGGGGAATATTTCTGCCAAGAGCTGGACTCTTCCTTTCTGTGCATCGGCCAAGGCGAGGTCTTGTATGGCGCATTCAAGGGGCCTCTAGGGTCTGGGGGCGCTACGGCTATGAGATATCTGGGAGGTGATGTGTGGTTGCTGGCCTGCCCACGGGGTCAAGATGCCCAGCCCCCGGGCGACTGGACCATTGTATTTCATCGCGATGCCTCCCAGGGTAAAATCACCGGTATGACAATCGGCTGCTGGCTTGCTCGGAACTTTGAATTTGAGAAGCAGACGTAATGTTTAACAGAGAGGGTCCACAATAGGATAGCTACAGAACCAAAGGTATTGAATAATACCTCATTTTTCTATTCAAACAAAAATGATATATCTCTAGGTTGGCTACAGCCTGAGAACTTTCAGGGGTCTTCATGTCAATATCCTCAACGAGTAAAGGAGTGGAGGAAACATTCCCATGCCATCGGCCTTGAGATACCAGCTCTTGTGCTATTATCCGCCCAGAACTCCAGAAGTTTTCACACAGCTTGCCACTTATAGAAAGTATGACCCTATTCCCAATTCCCGGAATTTGAGTTATTCATTATCCAAGTAGGTCGATTTGCAACGACACTTGCAAATACTGCCTGCTGAAACAAAAGCTGACGCCCTCCTCCATCCGCAACTGAATTCGCAGTGGACTTCGTACCGTCGTTTATCGCACGGCCGTAGCCCTCGATGGCGATAGCCAGCGGTACATATTAACAGGGGCCTCTCTGGTAATCAAAGGAGCTTCGGAAGGCCCATCATCATATCACAACGTTCTTCGGGGCATTCCTCTCAATATACCATCAAAATTTGGGTTGAATATTGTATAGATTGTCGCCTTGTAGGTCTCCGCCCAGAAGATTGGTTCGAGAATCGACCAGGAGAAATGAAGCCTGGTTGAGGATCCGGGGCGCCAATGCCATCTCTTGTCAGAGCCATAGTGCTTTCCTGCTAAATAATCCTCTCTTGAGGACTGCGTATCTCCAGTATGGAGTCTTGAAGGCATTGACGCTGTTGTTTAGCTCTGCCTGTCTCTGATCTTTGGTACGACTCCGTTCCGAAGACTCAAAATTTCATTTCTGGGTGCGTTTAGATCATCGCCCTTTCAGTGCCGCGTCTCATTCAATGTGAGATTTTCAGATTTTCCAGCCGTCGGCGCTTGGATCTCCTCGGTCACCATCACATAACTCGTCTCACTTTCGGCGCCCAACTCGACTTGACTGTCAGCTTCAGCGTCTGCTTTGCCGCTCTGTGCTCTCCAGCCCAGCCCTGAATGGGGTGAACCAGTCGGCCTTGACTCGCCTGTCTCCATGCGCACACCCCCCGATTTTGTTTGGAGAATGGACTGGTCCACCGTTTCGGTAGGTTCGGATTGGCAATATGAGAGATCTTTCTCAACAGCGATCTCAGCGCAGTCGATGAAACGACCATGATAGAGACGTACAACTCAGAGGAGCCCCATAAGTCTAATTTGTTTAATAAGGTTAGAGTAAATACCATGACTGATTTTCGAGATCTCAGGTCGATCCTACACGCATGATAAGGGCAAGATGAGGGAGCACATACAGGCATCGAAATTGTTTCCCTGAGTAGCCATGTTAATAAACCGGCCAATGCTGACAGAGATGGTAAGAAGTCCCAGTCCAAATATGACACCCAAGGCAAACTTCTCTCTGGGCTTTCTAAGATTGAGATCTCTGAGTATGGGGAATGGGAAAATGACATCTGGTCTCAGCGTTAGTCGCCGGTCAGGATATTTCGAATAGGACAAGTTTACTGAAAACTTCGGTGCTGAAATTCATCGACCAATGAATCCGCATCATGGTCATAGAATTGAATGCGCTACAGGCGTCGGGGTCCTCAGACCTGGTTCAGAGAGTATTCGGTCAGACTTTCTATTGCGGTTGCTTAGAATCCAATCGGCTAGGAACACCCACCAATTAGATGCGATATCTGCTCTGCACCAGAATGTTGCATCGAGGAACGTCACAAGACTGCAAGCGACTGTGAAAGCTATCAGAAGGTAGAGAAGCTTTCGTATTCGGGGTTTCGTTGGCGGTACAAGTCGATAGTAGAAGGAGAGGAGGCTGAACTTTGGGAAATACATTCTGATACACTGTGTCAGGGAGCACACTCTTCTACCCTGGCAGGACCTACTTACCCGACATCAAACCAATAATTCTGGAAAAACCGAACCTGCATGTAGCATATCAGCCTCGGCTCGAGCACCTCAACGAATAAACCATGAAGATCATACCTTCAGGGTGTATGGTCCTGGATCAATGAAGTTTTCCATAGTCCCAGCTTTGCAAATCAGCGTATCGCATATTGTCAGTCCGATACCACAAGCAGCCGCAACCAAGACCCAAAAATCTGCCCAGTACGGAGTGTCCTTCAATAGGATTAATCGGACATAGGAACAAGCGCATACGAACACCAAGGCCAAGGATAGTAGTGCCCATTCTCCCGCCTGAGAGGACGCAAACCAGATGAGCGATCTTGTAGAATGTATTGTAAGAAAGGGGGACTCACAATCACGTCTGAATCAGAGAGCATGTTGTGCGGTTGGGCGTCGTCTCCGAGACCGCCAAATGGATGGTTTAACCAAATGAAAACGGAGACTGAACATTATACAGTGAAGGCAGGGCGTGCGAGTTTGTTGAAGTTGGGTTTGGATATACTGCAGCTCATCCAAAGGAAAAAGGGTTGACCGTGTGGCATGCTTTGCAGCTTGGACAGGGCTCTGCCGGTGTTATCTATATCGCTGATAGCTTGTTTGATCAGGTGAAAGATCTTCAGCATTGCATAATTTAATTGATGGTGACCAAGCCAACAGACTGGTTCTTTTTGAGGGCTTCGTTTCACCTGGAAACGAGAGGTTTTGACATTGACCTTCGAATATGAGGGTCATCGAATCCGCTACCACCGGCCCAAGGAATTTTGGCATGCAAATCGATCTCCGTAGATCATTCGAGTATGAATAAATTTTCTTGGAGGTATCGAAGAGGAATTCGGCTGGCAGGCTAGTGAGGTCACAACGCCGGACAGAGTTCTGCTACTGATTCCGGTTTCTGTCTCTTTTTGGCCAGCATTCCAGATAGCCCCTGTTGCTTGCGGGCGATCATTTGGTTTGAACCAGCTCGAGTCGCCTAGTTTAGCACGTGGCAGTGCTGTATATATTCGTAAGTCGGCCGTGAAGATAAAACCACTGAGAGGAATTTGATCCAGTGGCGAGAGCTCAGTACCTTTGATGCTCCCATCTACTCCAAATGGCTTTGATACTTAGGAACCGCCCACCAGGCAGTTCAAACCCGGCGAGTGCCCGATTCAACTCCATATCCTTCGCTTGCTTGGGAAGTAAAGTGTAGGTTTCCCCAAAAGGCAGCCTTCGGTCGGAGTGTGCCAAAAGTCTAAACATTGGAAAATCCAATATCGGTGGATCAGTCGCTCTTTCTAATACTCATGCTTCTCGTCCCAAGGCAAGAGTGATTTCTCGCAATATAACGAGACCATCCCGCGTAGTTGTCTTTACAAGTCTGAACACTATGCAATTAACGTCGTCAAGGTGCTTCTAGTTCGATCCTATTCTCCCACTCTATTGAATCTACATGACAAGCATTTGTAGATGAATTATCCCCCCAGGGGTGTGAGCCTTACTCTTCAGCCGATACACAGCTTGCGTCTCGAAGCACAAAGCGAGCCATTCGCTTGGATGGAATACATCCAGCTCCTTTGCCCCTCTACACTGCCTTTCTATCATCTCGAACAATTGCACCACCTCAATCAGAGAGTCGACAGAGATGTCTTGGGACAAACTGCCACCTGAGATGTGTCTTGTACCCGAAATATGTTAAGCCTTTAAGAAAGGAAATGAATATATTGTACGAAGCTTGATCAAACGAAGCCATCGATTCCAGTCCCAACTCAGAGTTCATTATTTCATGCTGTCTGGCAAGTGCTCAGCCTACTCACTGGCGACCGTAAAGAAATGTAGGCTCCATGTTATAGATGAATATTTCAAGAAAGGGGGGGAGGAGAAAGGACCAATTATCTTGGTGATCTGAGCGAGCAATTGAAAAGAGGGGCGTTCCTGGCTACAGTCCAAGATAAAGTAAGTGATCCAGTCTGTCCAAGTCAGGGTATACAGAGAACATGGTACCCAATCTCCAACTCATCCTCACTTGGGATTTTGGTAAATTTTATCGGGACGGGGAGCCCCCCAGAACGGCCGTGTTGAGAGGACACAATAGGTCCCAATTGGGTGCGTCGCAACTCAAGTCAGAAATCACCTTATTTCTCATGCCGTTCCTACTCGAGTTTCATACATTTGACACAAGAGCCAGTAGGATCAACCCGATTATCATCGTCTGTATCCGCATAATTTTCGTTACTCCAGGCTCGGTGAATGGCGGTATATGAAAATCGCCATGAGCCGATCCCAGAACCAGGGGGGAGCTGGAGAGTTTCCAAAAGCAGATGAGCCAGGCTGTTCTTAAATGGGCTCATGAATACGAGTACGCTGGATGGTATAGCTGTTGCCTGGCTGCGCTGTTACGAATTGAAAGCAATATAAGATGAATTTCGCCAATTCTTTGTAGAAGATGTGTTTGGATTATGCCAGGCACTCGATTGACCCCAATGGCGACTGTTACGATCAAATGTCATAGACAGTTCACCATCTGATAGCGTCGCCAGGCTCAAAGTATGGCGGGGAGCAACGCAAAGGCAGTCTATCGCGTGGGAGCCAGGCGTTGCATCCTCCATCCCTGTTCGACACCCCAGCTCCCCCCAGCCCATGATGCACAGATAAAAAAAAAGTCGGTCCAGGTCGCCAATGCAGGTGCTTGTGTTTGTTGTTGCTTGCAACAGAAGAGCGTAGATCAGAGGATGGCTGCTGGGTAAGGTACCCACTTCGGAGGCAAAGCCATCCGACACGCCTGATTTTGGCCTAAACCCGCACCACGCAACGCCTGCCAGCGCCTCCATTGGCCTGGCCCAGAGCCTGGAGCCTGCCGCTGCCTCCTCCCACCAAGCACTGAGATCCATTAATCCATCCCTCCCGCCCCACCTTCCTCTCGGTCCCCTCAATTGGCTTCCCACTAAACTGGTCCAGCGCCTCGACGTTGCGAATTGGCTTGAACCCCTGGATTTGCCCGCCGCCACCCACACCGACCCTATCTAGAGGGAGATTTCTTTCTTATAGATCCAACAACTATCCTCTTCCTCCCCTCCTTCCCCTCCCCCTTCTCTTCGACCTGTCCCCCTCCCATCTCATGAACTGAGGCGCCATTCCCCCCAATCTCTCAACCGGCCACCACCATGCCGTCCTCCGCCTCAGAGACAATCACCAATCCCGCGTCCAAGCGAAGGGGAGGCTCCGCCGAGAAGCCCAAGTCCGAGGACGCCCCCGGTTCCGAGAAGGACTTCTTCTGGACTTACACCGAGGAACCCCATCGCACTCGTCGATTGGCCATCATCAAGGCTCACCCTGAGGTACAATTGCATCACATCTCTAATCTGCATCCAAAACTCTGTTTCTAACCTTTTTGGCAGGTCACCAAGCTCTGTGGTCCCGAGCCATTGACGAAATATGTCGTCGTGGGCGTCGTCAGCCTCCAGATCTTCCTCGCCTGGTACCTGAGCGAAACTCCTTTCTTCTCCTTCAAATACTGGATCATTGCCTACATCTTCGGTGCCACCGCCAACCAGAATCTCTTCCTTGCCATCCATGAGATCTCTCACAACCTGGCTTTCCGAAGCCCCATGGGGAACCGTCTCCTAGCCATCGTGGCCAACCTGCCAATTGGCATACCATATAGCGCCTCATTCAGGGTACGATTACACACTCGCAATTGAGCCGAGATAGCCTATAAATTCCATTACTAACATGGCATTGCCGCCCACAGCCTTACCATCTCACCCACCACAAGAGTCTCGGCGTCGACGGCCTCGACACCGACCTCCCCACCGCCCTCGAGGCAATCTTCCTCGACTCCATCTTCGGCAAGACATTCTTCTGCACCTTCCAGATCTTCTTCTACGCCCTCCGCCCGATGGCCATCTACCGCGTGCCCCTGACGAGCATCCACTTCCTCAACATCGTCGTCCAGGTCAGCTTCGACGTCCTCCTCGTCCGCTTCGCCGGCATCAAGGCCTTCGTCTACCTCCTCTTCTCCTCCTTCCTTGCCGGCAGCCTCCACCCCCTCGCCGGCCACTTCATCGCCGAGCACTACGTCTACGAGTACGTCACCCCCGAGCAGCGCAACCCGGACAACCGCATCCCCGTCCCCGAGACCTTCTCCTACTACGGGCCCCTCAACTGGTTCACCTACAACGTCGGCCTGCACAACGAGCACCACGACTTCCCCGCCGTCCCCTGGACCCGCCTCCACGCCCTCAACAAGATCGCCTCCGAGTTCTACGACCCCCTCCCCCGCCACGAGAGCTGGGTCTACGCCATCTGGCGCTTCATCTTCGACGAGGAGGTCGGCATGCGCTGCCGTGTCAAGCGTGAGAAGGGCGGCCGCCTCGTCGGCGGTGGCGCCGGCTGGAAGCTGAGCGAGATCGAGAGCTAAACCATGGTGGTGCTCAAATTCAGGATCAGGGATTGAATGATGTCTTGTTTTTTTGTTTTCCGAAAAACCAAAAGAATGATGGAGGGAGGCGTGAAGGCGCACAGAAAAGCACAGGACAGCGGTCAGATGGGTGTATTTGCCTGGTGTAGCAAATACCTTTTTACTTTTTACTGTAGAAACATATGAATTCCCTCTGCTATAACGGGAAGTTTTAATGAGTTATGCAATCCGAGTTTAAGTAGTTTCATTCTAACCCTCTCCTTACGCTATCACTTCCTTACAACACAGTAGGCGATATGAATCTTGCAATGTAGACAAATGGCCATCACAAAAAACAAATCCCATTGAACAGGCGGTTGCCTATCTAGCCGGATAGAGATCTGTTCACACCAAAAACCCCGGTGGCAGAAAAGAAACGTACGATTGTAAACACAGGGATATCCAACACCAGCAGCCAGAAGGAGTGTAGGGTACAAATCTTCCATTAATAGCATCAGATAGTCGTTCTCCATAGAATGCAGGATTAAACATCGACTAAGAGGCCACAAGCCATTTGTGGCATCGCCTCTTCCAAAACAACAACAAATAAATAAAGGGGGAAGAGTACAAAGTAAAAAAAAAATGTACCTTGGCTAGAGTACAAGCACGTCTGTGGTGGGCTTAATCATGCCACACACTCTCCATTCCATCTCCACTATTCATGTCATAGGAGCCCGGCACTCTCCTGAGTGCCTAGGCTTCCCCCGTCTCCTTTGCGCCTGTAGAAATTCAAATGCGCCCTCACAGAACGGTGGCAGGGCCACGCTGGCATTGCCAGAAGCCCTTGGCTGGTGTGGGGTGAAGATACAGAGCCGCGGCACTCGCATCAGGGATATCATATCAAGTTCAGGTCCCTCCCACACCGCCTGATTGCTCTCATGAAAACATTCATCGCTGCAGTAAGAAAATAGGGGCCAATCAGAAGAAGAGGTAGGCAATCAGGAAGGCCAAGAAGCAGAGGAGAGCTGTGGTCTTAACAGGCACGCCTTGTACAGTTGGCACCACAGCCTGGGCGGTGCGAGGGGCAGCAGGCCTCTCGGCAGTAGCAGTCGCGCCGCTGGAGACATTGCGCTTCTTCAATTCCTGGTCGACAGTGTCCTTAACTGAAGCTGCGGTGGTGGTAGCAGCAGATACCACCGCGGCAGCTGCTGCCTTGACAGGTGCTGGGGCGGCCTTGATTGCCTCGAGCTTCGGCTCTTCAGCCTCTTCAGTCTTAATCTCGGGGTACGGGGGGGGCGCGGTCGAAGGCGAAGAGTCGAGGTGGGCGGCAGGCGATGAGAAAGATTGCGAAGCGTTGGGGGTATCAGTGGCCTAGCAACCGTTAGTACATTGCAGACTCTAACCCACAAATAGACTTTGTCATTACCCCTCCATTGATAGCGGTTTGCTTGTTAGGCGTCGCCAGGACAGCAGGGGTCGGTTCCGATGTCTCTTCCGACTTGGGTGGAAGCCAGTTCACGCGGATCTTGCGCTCCTGGAGGGAGCCCTTCTCGGTGGACTCAAGCTGCAAGATTGGGTCAGATATCGCAGAGATAATAGAAGACGAGCAAGAAGCCGTCGACCTACCACATTGGCAATGCTAGTGAACTCCTTGTCGCCAGTGATGGGAGCAGATTGAACCAAAAACTTGTCACGGCATTTGGCATCAAGAGCTGGCTCCTGTTTCATAGCCTGGAGCAGGACTGTCCTCAGGTTAGCATAATGCGATTTCGCCAGGACTTTCTGTGCGCCATACCAGTAACATCAAAGTCCTGTCCAGGCTCGATTCGGCCAGAGTTGGGACGAACACAGTATCTGTTCCTCTGTCAGAGCTGGTCTAGAGCAGGCACGGGGCGGTGGGTGGCTATCAATCATACTGCTTTGGGGCTGTGGTTTTAACCTGAGGGGAGTCAGCATAAATTGCCTTAAATCATACAAACATAGGTGGTTTGGATCGCATGTACCTTGAAAGCAACAGGTGTGGTGTTTGGGTTCTTGATTGTGAGGATTTGCGACACCTCGACGGTGAAGGGGCCTGAAAGCCGATAGTTAGCTACCGAGGTCGTGATCGGAGGTCCGCCTGCTGCTGCACATACGTCGAAAGCTCAACTCAAGAGGCTCAATTTCCACCGACATGTTGAATCTCGTCTCTCGTGGTCAAACTGAGGGATCTCCGTGTGATAAGGGCGAGACGAAAAGAAGGCTGACTGCTAGTCTAGCACGCAGAGCGGGAAGGAGCGAAGAGAAGATAAATATAGAAAATTAAAAAGAAGTAGAAACGCAGCGGGGATGGGCGGCAGTGATCTTTCTCTATCGATCGGTCGGATATCGCTGGCGGGAGTGGAAGACAGGTGCAGAATGTTTAAGACGTAATCGCTGGGGCCAGGTTTCCTTGGACGAGGTACAACGCGATGCCCCGTTTCCTGAAGGTGGTTTGCTCATCATTCTGGCAATGACGCACGGGCCAGGTGTCTTCGCTGCTAACTTTACCCGGCATAACACCGGCTTAGCTCTAGTTATTAAGGTAACCTTCTGAGCCCATGTCAAAGTCTCAGGAACCCGCCACGGGAATTACTAATTCACCCACTCCGTAGGTTACCCTATGGCCATTGCACAAGCATCATCAATGCAAGTAGCAGTTAGAATACAGGTGTGTCATCCTTCGAATTCTTCATGAGAAATACACAAGAGCAACTGGGTAAAGTGAGAGAACATGCCGCACGTGCCCTGTGTGGGTGTGTAGCTTTCAACGTGAGGGCTCTGCCTCGGCTCATACAAGCTTGCATAAGAAAAATAACCGATGGGGGAGCTTTTACGACCTGGTTGTTTCAAATACCCAATTGCAATCAATCCGGAGGGATGAGACTACCACAATCATCCTAGACCTCAAAGAGATACTAATTTGACCCCGCGATAAAGGGTAGACTTCTGACCTGCGCACTGTCTCTCTTACAAACGGCTTACAAGTACAATATCATACTGACCTGGAAATGGCACCCATATCAGACGATACCTGCATTGATTTCGATGAATACTTTGTAAAAAAAAAGATCTTAAAAGTAATGATCTTTCAATTTCTTGATTTATACTTTCAGAATGGGTAGATTCCTGACATCGTTGCAGCTCAATGTCTTGAGATATTCGCTGGGAATGGCATACACACATGCCTTTTATCTCATGTTATCTCATGGGGAAGTCTCATAAGCATGATTAAAACGTAAAAATGTTCGCCGGGGCATAATATGCATAATTTTGTAACCTGAGCTTGTTCATTCATATGTTGGGTTTGACGGGCTGTGCGACACTATAAAACTGCAGGCTTCCACTTATGACGCTTCAGTGCCCCTCACCCAACCGCAGCAGCTCCCAACCCCACCACAACCAACACCTCTCCTACACACCTCGAACCTTGTCGCCGCAAACTCTCAATAAAAAACAGCCAAGAATCATGGCTACAGACCTGGAACAGCTGCTCGAGATGGGCTTCGACAAGGCTCGAGCCGAGCTTGCCGTCAAGAGACCGGGTGGCCGTATGCCAAGACCCCACATCCCATTCAATCTGGACTCATGAGTTGCTCACTGGTTGTATAGTTCAAGGCGCGCTGGAGTGGCTGGAGAAGAACGAGGACAAGCCTATTGACGAGCTTCAGGCCGATGCCGCCGAGGAGGATGATGATGCAGCTACCCAGGCCAAGATCGCCGAGCTGGAGACCGGCCAGGCCAAGTCCATGGTCTGCAATGAGTGTGGCAAAAAGTTCAGGAGCATCAATGCGGCTGAATTTCATGCTTCCAAGACGTACGTCCCATGATGTTGATGTCATTTTTAGATCTTTATTTGAGATTTACTTTGCTAATATGTGTTTATTAGTGAGCACACCGACTTCTCAGAGTCAACGGAGGAGATTGCTCCCTTGACTGAGGAAGAGAAGAAGGCTAAACTGGAGGAGCTTAGAGAGCGAGTCAGGGCTAAGAAAAGCGCAGCATCAGTCAAAGACAAGGAGGAAGCGAAAGAGAACGAGGTATGTTTTGAAGTACATTGAACCTCAAGTCCTACACATACTTATATCCCACCAGAGAATTCGCCAGAAGTCCACCAAGGAATCTCAGGAAGCCAAGGAGGAGCTCCAGCGCAAGGAACAGATGAAAGAGGCAGCCCGCAAGCGCCAGGAGAAGCTCGATGATATTGAGGCCAAGAAGCGCATCAAGGCAAAGATTGAGGCTGACAAGGCCGAGCGTCGGCGTATTGCGGAGGAGGCCAAGGCAGCTCGTGAAGGACGCCTTCCCGACGCGGCTCCCGCGCCAGCTCCCGCTGCTGCTGCGGCCCCCAAGCCCAAGTCGAATCACAACGAGGCCAGGCTCAGACTGCAGACTGACTCGGGAAATATTGTCAAGACCTTATCTGCTGAGACCACCTTGTTTGAGGTTGCGCAGCAGCTACAAAGTGAGACTGGGGCAGCTGTAACCAGCTTTACGATGACGTTCCCACGCAAGGTATTCCAGGGAGATACGGACATGTCCAAGACTCTCAAGGAGGCTGGGCTCGTGCCATCTGCTGTCTTGATTGTCAAATAGAGTTAAAATCTAGGCGCCGGATTGGGACAAAATTGAATGGGTGCATGGGATAGCGGCGTTGTAGTGGTGAATAGTTGAAAGGGAGAAGACTTATACAACCGTCGTTGTCATCTCGGAGGTTTAAAATGGGATGGGTATATGGAAAGGCTAGTGGTAATAAACCTTTCACACAGACAGAATTTCACCTGATCAAGAGCAGCACCGAGATGCATTGTGAGACTGACCATCCCTAGGTCCGATTCGTTACTTTTCAGAGTCTTTAAATTGACCAATTCCTTCCCCGCATGAACTCCGTCATTCAGGGCATGCCACGCATCATCATTTAATGTGAACGAGTCTACCCTTCCCAGATAGTGGGACATATCCTGCCCTCCCCATCTTGTATGATCGATCGATTCTGACCCCCGAAACGATGCAGTTGAAGTACAAAGAAGCAAGAAAACAGCCGTCGAGATTTGGCTTTTTAGTCGAAGAGACCGAAACCCATGTCCTCGTCGGACTCTTCCTTCTCTGTTCCAGTTGTCAGCCATGCAAGTTCCTCGCGGGCGCGCAGCCGTCCGGGAGATCATGTACGAACCCTCTTCCTTGGCCTCCTCGGCGGGGGCGTCGTCACCACCAGCAGCGGCAGCACCACCGGCAGCAGCAGCGGGGGCAGCACCGCCACCGGAGCCAACGTTGGTGAGCAGGTCCTTGACGTCCTTGCCCTCCAGAGCCTGTGAAATCCCAACCCGTCAGTACACACAAAATTTCGTCGCACGTCGGTGGTCGATGCATGGATTCGTGGTGGTTCGTACCTTGGCGAAGATGGAAGTCCAGATGGGCTCGACCTCCTCGACCTTAGCGGCCTTGATCAGGGTCTGGAGCTTGTCGGACTATATTGTACCAATTGCTGTCAGCTATCCCGTTGCTTCAACCTCAACGTTCCAGTGCGCGCCGTCCATATGCTGCGGGACGGCGGGCAGTCACAGAAGCCAAACTTACGGTGATCTCAATACCCTCATCAGCGAGGATGAGGGCAGCGTAGGACGAAGCGAGCTCGGCGTGAGACATTGTGATTGTGTTAGTCGGCAACTTTGGGGAGTTGAGAGAGTCGTCGACGTGGAGATCGATGTGGTTTTGGATATCGATTTAACACACCAGAAGGCTGACCACAGAAAATTACCCTGGTCGAAATTTCGCTTGGAGGGCTTCAAGACCTAATAGTGGAGTGGTGAAATAGATTTTCCGACCTCCGGGCATTTTTTGTGCGCTCGCAGGTGAGGTAGTGCTTGCATGATTGGCTGGCGGGGCCTGAACCATTTAAGTGGGGTAGGTAAGGTTGATGCCGGTACTCGACGACGGTTTGCTGCATAGAGCAACCTGCATGCCTTTTGGTCTGGACTTACAAATAGTTACGGAGACAAGGCGACGCTTTAAGAAGCGATTATAAGTCCGGGATACACTATGGCCGCTGAGGATGAATAAGAATGTCTTCCTCTCAAGAAAACAGTAAATGGTGGTGTACACCCTTAGCAACTTCTACTGCCAGGCCCCTTAGGCGCGATAGACAAGCATCCGCGACGATGACATCGCCTTGCATGACTATCTCTCAGCTGCTACCTACACCATACTACTACACCATACTAACTCATCAGGATAAATCGCATATGGTTGAGTAGTCAGTCAGCGGGCGCTCATCTTTTTCGGCGAGAGATTTTGACTTCACGCTTGGTTGTGTCATCGCTAGACGGCAAACCCAATTGCCTAAAGCAGCTAATCGCATTTGTAGGTAGCCTTTGCGCCAAGGCCTGGAACTCCAGAACCTAAAATATCCCGCCTACATCATGCTTTTGGCAGCATCGGTACGTACCGGCCGGTGATGCAGCACCTCAGCGCCAACATCAATTGAACCCCACCATCAAAACGGGGCCGTCACCCCTCCATTGTCGTCAGTGGGTGATAAATCGTAGCTTGTCTGCCCCGAGGGCCTAGAATGACCATCTCCTTGCCACCCCCTAGCATCGGCAAAGCGCCATATAACATCAGACGTTGATGCAATCTTTCATCACCTGGACTTTGCAGCACAGTTATCCTTGACGACTGGAGCCATTGAGCTCATCGATCCACCTGCTTAGCGATACCACCCCACGTGCCCGACCGACCCCGTAGCTTAGGGAGCCTCAGCTTCCATCCACGACCGACGACTGCCTGCCTGATACCAGCCGAGAGCGATAAGAGCGTTGCAACATAGGGTTTGCGCAATCTTTCCCCGATCAACCATCCCATCTCAAGCTTATCAACACTCCCCTTTTCTTTCCATTTCGGATACGTCTTTCGCGCGCGCAATGGACACACCTGCAGTGCCCGCTCCCCGGGATGCTCGGGAGGCGGCTGTCCTAGAACGGTTGACGGTGATACGAGACCAGCTTCTGCTATTGAAGCGCGATAGAACAACCTACATCCGCAGCCAGGATGTCATCCCGCTATACGATCAGACCGTTGAGCAGGTTAGAGAACTGAAGACGATCCGGGCCGAGACCGGAAGCAAAGAAGAGAACAGAGGTGCGACCGTCTTTTGCAACCAACTGGCTTGATTTCTGGACTGTGGACTAACACAATCTCCTTGGATAGTCGATAGGGTCATGGAAAGCTGCTTCCAGCTCCTGTCGCTTTTCTACCTTACTGTCGGCAGGAATAACGAAGCGCCAGCAGCCTATGCCTTGACATCGACCATTAAGCGATTACTGGATCACCTAACCGAGTCCGATCTGTACTCGGCCAAAGACTTGGAGAGCATTAGCTCAACCTTGACAAAACTCGCCACCCTCCTGAACGAGCCATCCGACGGCGAAGACTCGGAGAAGCAGCACTGGCCATATCTTGTTGAGATGGTGAAGAACCGGGTCGAGCTTTGTCAAGCAACCACGGCAAAGCTCCAACAGAGACTAGAAAGATTTGGAGAATGCTTGCTGTCTAAGCACGAAAGGATCATCTCCATCTTGCGCTCAATTTCCTTGGCCAATACGAAGTCCAAGGTAGGTCTACCATGGCTCATATCTACGTTGCATTAGCAATCTTTCCCTAACGGTCTACAGTTCCCGACGCATGAGGTTGAAAGGCTTCGAAATAAGCTGCTCGAGATTGGCGAATCGCGCACAGACGGAAAGTTCTGCGCGGTGGATGGGTCTGAGCCTCTAGGGCAGGCAGAGGTCACAGAGGTGTACAACCGTTGTCTCAAATGGGCTGACCTGGTTCTTGAACGGTGCGTACTTTGACACCGTTATCTTTAGGAAAGCGTCAAGTATCTAACAAGCGATAACAGAAAGGGTGTTATGGGAGAACAGTGGAAGCCAATTTATGAGACGCTGAGAAGTATCCGGGGCGAGCTAGAGAAGTTATCTCTGACCCAAGCGTGGTCCCTGCGAGAAACAGATCTCTATGACTTCCAGCGTCAACTGGATAAGATTGACGAGAGCCGGCAAGGTGGTAACTTTTATGACGAGAGAGGTAGACCGGCGGACCTCTGGACGCAGCGAACTCTGCTGTACCTGACTAGGCGATGCTATGCCCATATCTACCAACTCATGATCGCATCCGAACCGGTATCGGAGGCGCTCTTGCCAGTTTACAACCAACTACAGACGCTGAAGAGGTGCCTCCGCGAAGTGCAGGACAGCGGCGGAATATCATCTGCCCGCGAGCTTTATCCATACAGTATGAAGGTAAGACACAGCACAGCATGGGATGTTGAGGTTGGTATTCTTGTTTCTAACTCGTCTTTCAGATCACATCTTTGGATAACATGAGAGTCGATGGCAAGTTTGTCGTGAATGGCGATATTCCAGAGGGTCAGGGAAGCGTGAGCGAACTGCTGGCAGAGTGCTTTGATATCATTTACGAGCTGCGGGTAACAGCTACGGAAGGCTCGCCTGAGCAAAACCCCTGAGATGGACCAGCTGCGGTGATGCTGTTTGATTTTGGCGCCGAACCCACCTGGGTATCTAATATCTAATGGTTGATGGAGTATTAGTGCGCCGTGGTATTGCTGGGAATCTGCACTATTGGTTCCTTGCTCTCCCCGCGTAAGCCATAGGACGTCCTCTTCATGATGTCTGAGCTGGGAAAGGCGTCTATTTCTTGTTGTTGTTATATCTGTTGCAGTTAGAATTGAACAAGATCGCTCTTACCTGACATGATGTTTGCTGATCGCGCCAACAATTCGTGATGGTGTTCAGGTGAGAGATTTGGGCAACCAGCTTCAGGGTAGCGTTATTTCCGCCCAACTCGATACAACCTCTTCTTCTGTATATATTTTGCTTCGCCTTTTCCGGTTAGTGACAGTGGCTCGACTTGTTGTTTGAATGTGTTTAGTTTATTCGCCCGAGTGGCTCCTTCTATCTATGGCGGCTATGAGTGTTGGTAGCTTGATACGGAGAAAATCTCCTGCAAGGACGACGGAGGTGTGTTAAAGGGTAGACACAGCGGGATAGAACACTACTCCTTATCTGGTAGCTGGAGATCATATCTTGATCATTGTTCATACACAATTAATCACCTCTCGTCCAATTTTCCTCACTTCTTTCCAGGCTGTATGAACCTCGGAATCAACTGAACGAACTCCTCCAGCCCATCCACAAAGCACACATGCCCAGCATCCGGAATAACAACCAGCTCAACCTTCCCCGTCCTCCCCGCCCCCCTGAACCCCTCCTCGATCTGCGCCCTCATATCCTCCATGGTCCGCGGGAGATTCGCATCCTTCTCGCCGACGACGCACACGGCCTCCTCCACCGCCCCGCCGACCCTGCGCAGCAGCGGCCGCAGGTCAAACGACCTGCTCGCGAGCGCGTTGCAGCACGTCTCCATCCCGTCCACGCTCGTCCGCATCACGATCCGCCGCATCCGCTCCGCCTCCTTCGGGTGGCTCTCGAGCCACCCGTCCCCGAACCACCGCCGCAGCGTCGCCTCCGTGTTCCCCTCCATGCCGCCCTCCCCCCGCGCTGAGGCGACGCGGGGGCCGAACGGGTCCTCCACGCCGGCGTTGAGGGGGGAGCAGGTGATGGTGTCGCAGACGACAAGTTTTTGAATGACGCCCGGGTGCGACGTGGCGAAGAAGACGCCCGCGGCCGCGCCCATGGACACGCCGACCCAGGCCCACAGTTTTGGGATCCCCAGGGCGTCGAGCATGTAGGCGACGTCCTCGACCATGGAGTCGAAGGTCGTGGTTGTGAGGTCGGCGGGCGCGGAGGAGTCGCCGTGGCCCGGCTGGTCGTAGCGGAGGGTGCGGAACCCGGCGTGGTTGAGGACGGGGACGATGTGGTCCCATACGGCGATGTTGGTGCACAGGGGGTTGGAGAGGAGGACTACGGGGCCGCCTTCGGGGGAGTCATCTAGCAGGTATGCTAGCAGTCTGTTGTCTGGGAGGCTAAGCTGCCTAATAATAGGCGTTTCTGGTTTGGCTGGCATTTCTGCGAATAGTTCTTGTAAAGATGGACTAAGGCACAAAGTGGAAGGGGTGGAGAGACTATCCTGCGAGGATGAGTTGTGATATAGGATATATATATTAGAAGAGCTAGAAGAGCAATACTAGTATCGAGAATAGTTTACAAGTCTTGCCTGTCTTTTTGAAAGGGAACTTCAAGACAGGACGGATCTGACGATACGGCATCATGATGAAGCAATTACACGCCTGTCAAAGTGGGGTCGGCGGCCATTCCCAACACTCATTCGGCCGCGCTTGTCTCACCCCGCACGGCTTCACCCTCTCAGATGCCGTCAAGCTATATCCGGCGGTGTGCAAAACGATAATACAGGACGAAGCTATGCCTATTTATTTACCCTCACTTCCCTCTGACCCCTCCCCAACATGCTGCTCTGGGCTAATCTAGGCAAGCCCCTGCCTCAAGAACGCCGGAATCATCAGGCCCGGCGCTGCCCCGCCCGGCATCTCCGTCCGGAGTCGTGGCTCCGGGTTGGATCCTGCCAGGGGTCCTTATCCTTAGGGTTCTCATTCTTCCTTAGATGGCAAACAAACCACCAGGCAGAGACAGGCGCTGTACGACATCAATAACCCACGCACCCTCCTTCCACCTGGCTACAGATACCGGTTTTCCGTCATGGCTCTCCAACAATCAGTTATCCGGTATGGTGTAGTGGCTAACATCGCTCGCTCTCACCGAGCAGCCCTGGGTTCGATTCCCAGTACCGGAGTACTCATTTCTTTTTGCCAATTTTCCTCCTGAGCTAAGGATTATATTTCATCGAACTTCGTAAGTTTTGATTTTTTGTGATTTCGCTTTATTCTGTAGATGTGGCTCTGAGGTGCTGCTCCATTACATCGTCGCTTGGCTTGCTATTGAACCCTTGCACGTTTTTCCTCGTTGGGAACTTGGTTCAATATTAGGAACGGCATCACTGGCAACGAGATGGAATTATTAATCGAGGAGAACACAAAATCTGTCATTTCCAAATGCCAGCAGGCATGTATCCTATCCTAGAAAAAAGGGTATCATAAAAATCCAAAAACTCCCACGAGGCCCGCTGGCGATAGCGTAGCAGCATTGTCGCCAGAGAGAGGGCCCCGGCCCAAACCCGCCGTCCCAGCGATGGCGTAACGGCACTGTCGCTGTCGAAGTTTCCCCCTCCGCGAAGAAGGGTTATGTTCGGCTGACAGCGAATAAGAACTCGAGTGGGAGTATGTATCGCAGTACTTGTATTTCAACAAGGGTTGTCAGGTTTATCCTGACATTGTACCCAGATTGCTTCCGAAGAGAGAAGACCAGTCGATCCACTGCCGAGATAGCGCAGAGGCATTGTCTCTTGAGCGAACGAAGAGCACTCTCTCTCATCTCCCAGAGATAAGGAAGCAAAAGGGTTGGTGGTATTACAATCATTGAAGTCGTGAAACGTTTCCCGTTATTGAAGAAACGATGAAAAAGACATTAAAATAAATATATAGCAGTTCAACAGTGGGCTGTTAAACTGCTAGGGTCGAAAGAGTGGCAAGGAAATCAACTGCACTGGGCGGTTGTTGAATTCTGGCGGCGGAGAATGCAAGATCTCCTTAATGCCAGATAGAAGAGAGAATTACTTTCAGTCGGAAGCCGGGCCGCGATGGAACCCGAAGCCACGCTGGCGAGTCTCACGTCTTGCTGCGCCATCCTCAAACTCGCTTGATGAATCCAGGTCATGCAGTTTGCTGCTGGGTGGGTTGCCCACAATCTTGAGGGCAATCCACATGACAGCAGAGCTTAGAATGCTAATGCAGAGAATACCGATCATAACCAGGTTACTCTTGCGGTACTGGTGTGGACCTTTGGCTGCGTCCTCAGGCCAGCCTGAGTAAAGGGCGTATGTGGTTGTGACACTGCCCAGGTTGCCCAGCCCCGAAACAAGCGCAGTGGCGGCAGCGACACCGACCTCGCCATGGCGCTTCTGGAAAACCTCATTGCTCCATGCCATACAGTTTGGCACCGTAGGTCCGAGACCAAAGCCCACCATGAGAAGGCCTCCATATCTTGCCCAGCCGTTGTTGGTTGCAAATGTGACGGTCAGGAGACCGGCGATTTGAATGCAGACGGCAAGGGAGAAGATGACGGCACGGTATTGATGGAATCGGTCCGAGATCGGCATAATGGTCAGAATAGCGATCAAGTCCATGATCCAGATTGGTGCAAACAACAAGCTGACCTCAATGGAACTGGCGGTGGGTTGGATAGCTGCAATGATAACCGACCCGTACAGCTGGGTGCCGATGCCAACACCGACAACACCGAAGTACATCATAGTAAGAGGCCAGAGCCGCCAATCAAGCAAAACCGCCACGAGATCCTTCAGATTCCAAGGCCGGGCGTGATACACGCGCTTGAGGTCCTGGTAGTGAACAACAGCATCCTGCCCCGTTAAGGCCTCTGGAGGTGCAGGAATCCAACGAGACAAGCCCGAACGCTCTCGCACCTGGCCTGGGATCAATGGGCGGTCCGGGAGCCACCAGATGAGGGCAATGCTGAGTACGATGCCAACGAGACCGTAGATAAGAAACATCCAGCGAAACCCAACTAGGCCGCCTTTACCATCCATGAGCTGGAAACCGGCCGACACGAGACCGACAACTGCGGCGGAGACCTGGGCGGCGCTGAAGTACATGCCGATCCTCTTTCCCGTGCGCGAGGGCGGGTAGAAGAGAGTGAGATAATAGGACATTCCCGGCCACATTCCGGCAATAACGACACCCAAGAGGAAGCGGAGAAACTTCACACTCCATGCGCTCTGCACGGCAGCGAAGCAGGCACCAATAAGACTGGTGGCGAAGACTATCCTAGCCATCCAGATTCTAGGGCTGAGCTTGCTCATGACCAGGTTTGAAGGAAAATCGAAAACGACATATGCAACATAGAACAAGGCCAGGGCAGTGGACACATCCTTTGCCGAAAGGTTGAGCATAGTCATCAAGTCATGGCCCTGCTGCTTGTTCATAGTCTGGGCAATGCCAATGTTGGAACGGATGGCAGAACACAAGAAGTACAGGACCCAGAAGGCTAGATGGGCGGCTAGTCAGTATGACATGGGAGGACAGACAAAAAGGCGAAAAAGCTGGTACCTGGGATGATGCGAAGGTCGAGTTTCCTGTACACGCGTTCTACCGTTTCCACATCGAAGTCCTCGATCTGGGGTTGGCTGTTGCTGCGACCTTCAAGGTCCTCGCCAACATCCTTCGATACAGCAGAAATCCCCTCAGTCTCAATGACTGGGGGTGACTTTTGGGGTTCGGCCATACTCTGACTTTGGGGCAATGGAAGCGCGTGCGACAAGTCTTTTCTGGCTGTTGCCCCCTGCTCTGCCCAAACACACGAGTGGTGTGGGACAAGGACGGGTGAGGGGAGGTGAAGTCGGCAATACCACGAGGCTCAGACAGCGACAGGCAAGACTAAGTTCTAGATGCAGTACCAGCGTACGTGCTCTATGTGTCTGAGACGGTGGACGGGAGAAGGAGGGGAAGGGAATGAAGAGAGGCGTGTCAGCGGATCAGCAGACGAGCTGTGGGTGGTGGGCAGAGATTTTATTTATCGAATAAATACTAATAGTGAGCTGCAGCTACGGAGTGCATACGGCAGGCGGGATGGAACCGAGCCCCAACGAACGCGGCTAAAAATGGATTTACCCTGCTGCAGGTGCGAGCTTGTTGGTTCGCGGCTCCCCGAATTCGGCAAGCAATATTTACCTCTTATTAGTCTGCCCCGATTCCGGTATCTGAATGCTGGACACATCATACAGCCGAGCAAATGTCTGTCGCTCTCATCTCGGCGGGTAGACTTACCGCATAGCCTCGGGTCAATAACCGTCGCTGGACTTGGCGTGTTAGCGGGCGACGAGGTTTCTGAACAGACGGAACCTGCCATGTCTCACACCACCAGATAGCGCTCCAGTACCATCTGGGGTTACCTATATTACGTACAGAGAATTTGGTGGAGGTCGTTGGGGAGAAGGAATTGGGGAAGAAATTGTAGTGTTGTGCGTTCTTTTCACCTTTTTTAAGCCCCGATGGCACTGGCCATTTTGTCGGTAATTGACAGCTTCTTTTCCCCCTTGCTTCCTCTCATATATCATCAACTATTGTGTTGGTAGTAAGAAACAACGGCGTATCTTCATTGGTGCCCGCCGGCTTGCTGAGAACGTGCATTACCCCAGACATGCATGCATTTTGTGTAAGTATCCGTGTGCGTGTATGGATGTATTATGTAGCTTGTACTATAATTATCTGCCTGAGGACAGATTCTCTCCCAACCTCATTTCTACGGCAGACATGCATCCGTGCCTGATAATCCCACCACGACCACATCAATTGATGAATGCCTGGCCACATCTTGATACCCCCGCTCCTGGAGCAGGAGACTGCATGATATCCGGCACCACGTGATGCTTCCATTGTCCCTTAAATGGACCCTTACCAGCCTCAGCCAGGCGTGCCAGCTGCAGCCTAGGCGATGACCTTGGTTGTCTAGATTGCCAACATCTCAGATGCGCGCTCTGCACATCATTCTGGGACTATTGGTATCACTCATCAACCAATGAGGACCAGCGTTGCGGTTCGCCCTCAAGGCGAAGGGCCTCACTACGCCCCGCTGCCTTGACTTCGTTGTCATTGATCTTCATTCTTTTTCAATGCTCTCTTCAGCTGAACAAGCGGCTGGGCTCCAAGTGCCTCCGCCTCACTTACCTGCGAGAAAGAGAAAAAAGGCTGACATTACGCCTTGTACACAATGACTCAACCAAGCTTGGGATTCCTACCCAACAGTTCTCGCCTTAGTGAGGGTGTGTGGAAGTTGGAAGCCGTTGGTGGAATTGTCATCGTTGGCCCCCCGTTTCTTCCCTAAACAAGGAATTTTCCTGTTGACGGCCTGTTCACACCAGGGGGCAATTGTTCATGGATCACCCGGAAAGCGAGCAAGCGTCTGGCTTACACGAGATCGATCTGACTTTGACGCGCTTCCCAGGTCCGCCACAGCGACTGTATTGCGAAACTTGCCACGGCCTTGCATTCACATGGGGAGCTTGGGCCGTGAAGGTGGGGATCGATCGATACACTTCGATATTCCTCCCGGCTGCTGCTGGCTATTCTGCCTACTGCCTGCCGTTCAGGGCCTGTCCACATGAGCAAGAGTTGGTGTGCGTGATGGCGCAGCTCGTTCTTCTCTGCCTTGAGGCGGCCCCATCGGTCAAGCTGAGGGTCCGTGACTCATTTAGAAACAAGAACCCCTGGAACCCATGCAAATGGCTACCGGACAAAACTGAGTAGTGCGGTCGAGTCACCGGCCAGCCTTGTTGCCTATTCTCGAATAAGTCGCCGTGGCAGAGCAGTGCGATCGTCATTTCTATTTGAGACGCCTCGCTGCCCAACCTTGCCAGCCTCGCTTGATTTGAACACGACGAGGATCACGACCGAATCATCTTGAGTTGCTTACAAACATATTTAGGCCAGCTTCCCTTCTGCCTGATCACGTGCACTCTCGGCGGCGTGGCTCAATCCATCAGCAGGGCGCATGCACAGTACGTACCCGCTCGGCTTAGCTAAGCACAGCCGGCAAAGCCGCCCGAAATCAGCCAGGCCAAAGGGCGGCCTCAATTTATATGATTTCACACCATATTTTTCAGGCCATCATCACGTTGGAGCGCGTGCGCATCATCATCACCGTTCATCGGCATTTGATTATTAGGCTGCATCGCCACCTGCCGGTGCGACCGACCACAAATCCTTATTTTCTTTAACCTCTCTCTGCGCAAGCTTTTCCTGCTGTGCAACCCTTCCCTTGAGCTGGTTTTTGGCGCTTTTACATTCCACCTTCCGGGCGCTTTCCGTCCACCCGATTTTACCTATCGAGTTTCCGTCTGATAATCCGTCGACGACCCTCGTCGCGGGGCTGCGGGACACCATGAGTGTCGCATACGAACCCCGAAACTTCATCAACGAGGGCGCCTACCCGCCCATGGGTGATGAGCACGACCATGCCGACCAACGATTTACCGACCGCGATGTCGCCGAACAATTAAGCCACTACACCACCGAGGCCGGAATGCTGCCGGATGATAGAGATGTGATCGGAGATGACAGAGGCATGCTCCCCGAAGACGCCGCTGCTGTACAGGATGCCGCCCGGATCGATCTAACGGCAACCTTTCCCTCTCCCGTCCCCGTCCAGCTGCCCCATCCGCAACTTTCAGTCGAGGCCTTCCCACCCAGCAAGGATCCGTCCCCAGGTGCCGAATCGAACTCGTCACGTCCCAAGAGTATTCCAAAGCCGGATCGTGATGTTTCGAAGCAAGCGGATGGGAAGTTTCATTGCCCGCTTGACGAGTGCAAGGAAGATGTTCGAGCGTTCTCGCGAAAATGCGAATGGAAGTATGTACATGCGCCCGGCCAAGAACTTTATGAAAGAAGATACGCTAACCAAACTGAACTGTAGCAAGCACATGGATAAGCACGAACGACCTTACCGCTGCCTAGTAGAAGGCTGTGAGAATCTGCCAGGCTTCACCTACTCAGGCGGTCTCCTGCGACACGAACGGGAAGTTCACGGGAAGCATGGGGGACCAAAGAACACGGTTAACTGTCCTCACCCAAACTGCAAACGACATACGGGCAAGGGCTTCTCCCGTCAAGAGAATCTTAACGAGCATCTCCGACGAGTTCACACCAGCCCTGATAATGAGGCGTCTCCTCCCGTTGACGCCGTGCAGTCCCCCGAAGAAAATGAGAGTGAGAGCAAGCCTGGCATCAAGAGAAAGCGCCGCTCTAGTGGAGGAATCAATAGCCACGGCGATGAACTCATGGAACTCCGCCAGGAAGTAAAGCGAGTTCGCGAGGAGAACGAAAAGCTAAAGGCCGAAATGGACCAGCAATCACAGCACTCCCTCGCCATGATGACACAGATTGCCGAGCTCCAGGACGCATTGCGACACGGCCTCGGCCAGAATGCTCTCGGTGCCCCAACAGCACAGATGATCTAGGGGACCCATCAGCTAATGGGGCTTCTTGATCCTGCGCTCCTCGACATGGATCATCTCTCGCCAGACACTACCCAATACTCCGAATAACATAACGACTTGCCACGACTATTCCCACCAGACTATTTTCGATCAGATTCCCCTGACACTTCAAAATGACATAGATTTTCTTTTGATATCATCCCCTCTCGCATCAGGATTCGGCGTTTAGGAACAGGGAGGATCTCCACGATTACACATGTGACACTACACACGCAATATGAGATACACTTTTTTTTTGACACGACACCTCGCCTTTCCCCTTGTTGCGTCAGTTTATGCTGCGCATGTCTAGAATCTGTTTTCATTTTTTTCCGATTTTCTTTTTCATTTTGCTTTTCTTTTGATGCATACACCCTGGAAACCAGGGACGGAAAGACCACTCAGCAATGATATCCCTGCTTTAAGACTTTTTTAATCCCATGTTTCTATTTCTCATTCTTATTTCCTCGTGTTGTTCCCCCCCCCTCTTTTCTCCCTTCGAGATAAGATCACATGGAGATCAGGAAGGGAAAACAAGGTAGTCTTCCCAGGAATCAAATGTTACCTGCATCTCAACGAGACTGGAAAGGTGGACTCGATAGCTAGAGCTTTATCCTTTTTCGGGTTCATCATAAAGCAGCAAGATACCTACCCATCAGCACTTTCTCAAACATCTCTATGTACACCCGGTCAAAGAATCGTGGAATGGATGTTTGCCCTAGCACTACCCCTCGCTCTACTTCTTATTCTTATCACCACTTCCCCCCATGTATAACTAGATAGACTCAAGTTCGTGCAAACGCCCTACTCTTCTTGGAGGCATGTTCTTCATTAATACATTGATGCCTAGAGCATTACCTACTCACACGGCCTGATTGAACCCAATCACGTCCCCAATTACGTTGTATTACGTTCTTGAGTATACCACACCCTATCATATTCCTAACACATCTTGCTGCCTTCCTAATCACATCTTACTACCTTCCTGATCACAACCCATTCCATCTCTGCTCATACCCACCATATTCTTAATCACGCCCCATTTTGCTTGTGATGACTCTTTGCATGATAAGTGACCACCTAACGAAATCTTGCAGCCTAAAACGACTAGACATTTTCACAGACACGATACAGCAGGCACGTAGGTAATACCGGGAGTTAGTGGAATACATCCCAAGCAGAAAACGACTGGATTATTCTCAAGCTGGACAAACGACGGAAAAAGAAAATCGACTTCGCCTTCGACACACCCTCAACGACCATATCCCCCTCCAAACCCCAACTCAACCGCTACAGCCCCAGACCCTCCAGCACCAGTTTCAGCTCCCTGTTCACAGAGGATCTCTTCCGCGGCCCGGCTTTGGCCATTTCCATCCCGGATGGCGTCTTCCTGTACTTGGTCTTGATCGCACGACCCGGCGGCCTGAGCGACCCAGGCCTCTTCTTATACCGGCGAGACGTAGGCATGCCCGGCCGGCGAGCGGTCTCCTGTCGTTGTGGTTTCAATCCAGCCCGTGAGAACTTGGCTCTCGGCGGGGCGGCTCGGGCCTCGAGGTACTGCGAGCCCTCCGCCGCCCCGTCAGATCTGGGTGCAAGACCAGACTCTGCGTCCGGGAATCCGAGGGCCATCCCGGCGAGGCTTGTGAGGAGGGCCAGGTAGAGTGGGACGCGGATCATGTTCAAGTCGAGCGTGATCGGGAGAGAGAAAAAGACAGAGGGAAAATGTTAAGCAAACATGAAGTAGGACGAGACGAGAATAGAGGCTTGTTGGGTTTATATGAACATTATGAACATCAAAAGGGCATCCTCCAGACTTCCATTCCCGGGCTTTCCTTGATTTATTACCCCCATCAGCCCCATCACCCCATAAATTTAAAAATATAAAAACTTGTTCCAGGATAAGATGCAAATAAAGTACCAAATCCTCTTGCGTAATCCAAGCGACCAACAGACGTTGTCTGCATAACAGCGCCATATAGCGTCCCAAAGGGGGAACATGCCACAGTAGTGCAGATTCCTACGGCGTGAATAGACGGGTGCAGGGGCTGGAACGAGCTTAAATACAATGACCACTCCTCACTTCCTTAAGGAGAAAAAAGTGAATGTTATGTGAGCGCACATGTTCCCATGTTGAAATACTCTACAACGGCCATGGCGCATCGAGGGGCATCGATGAGTGCATGGGTAGTAGTTGCAGGGGTAGGCTCCCACACAGTCACTGGTTTCGTGGTCTAACGGTCATGACTACAGGTTCTGATCCTGTCAGCGAGGGTTCGACTCCCTCCGAGACCTTCCTTTTTGCACGCTTGAACCAACACCTCAAGTAAAGAATGCGCATTTACTTTTTTTTTTCTTCTTCTTTCCCGCCAAAACGCCCAGACTAATGCATCCAAACAGGCATGCAAAATTCAACAAGAATAAAAATGCTGGTTATACACTGAAACCTCCCACGTATGTATATATATATAGGGTATACATCTCTTCTCGCCATCATTCCCACATAATGCAAAAAGCCATGTCTATACAGTCCCATGATACATAAACTGTCCCGTTTTCTCTTTCGAGTTCAAACAATTACCGATTTTAGTAATTTATCTCTCCAGACAGACTAAACAGCCTGGACATAGCTTGCAGGAACACTCCCAGTGACACCTGCCTTCTCCACCTCGACCCAGCCATCTCCAGGATCGTCCTTGACGAGTACGAACCGCTCTCCTTCTACCATGCTATGCTCCGTGTCGCTTTGGGCAACGTACTCGTAAACCGCCTCGACATATCGAAGTTTCTTTGCCCCTCGTTTGGGCGCCACTGCCGGTCCCTGTTTCTTTTTCGCTGCGGCCGCTACTGAGCTGGCAGTCGAAGCGGTTGGCGATGGTATGGGGGACGCGGCCGCGGGAGCCGGGGCAGCCGTGAAGTCAACATACGCGGCAGGGACAAGCCCTTCTTTCACTCCGCACCTGACCTTAACCCAGCCAGAGCCATCTGTCGTCATGTCAGCCTTATTCGCCACACACTGCCTTCCCCAGAGGGCCCCAGAGGGGCTATGTAGGAAGTCATGATTTTTCCACTTACCGTCTTCATCAAGCAGGATGACATCCCTGCCTTCGGGGACCGATAGCTCTCCATCGCCGGTGGCGTCGAATGAGTACATCATCTTTCCTTTCTTCTCCTCCTTTGAACCTCCGTTCATACCGAAGCCAGCTGACTTATCCGTGATATAAGCAGCAGGCGGCGGGGCCATCATCCTATTCTTCCGTGCCGGGCCTGTGCTAGTGGTGGAAGAGACGCTCGGACGAGGCGCTGGTGCAGACTCCTCAGTGGGAGTCGCTGAGCGCCCGGATATTGATCGCTGCGCCTCGCGTGAGCTCAGAGAGTTCATGGTGTTTGACCGACTGAGGTCTGGTCCATCGGAAGGATTGGAGACATTGGAGACATTGGACGTGGAGCCGGAAGCGACTGGTTTCAGAAGCTTGTTTGCGGAATCCTGGCGCTCTGCCTTGAGCTTCTTACGCTCTTCTTTGCTCTTCTCACCGGGACAGTCAGCCGGCACCTTCATCTCACATTTACTGTGGCAGGTGTAGCCGCAATCCCGGCAATCAAAACCCTTTGCGCTGAGACCCCAAATGCGCTCGCCACAGAGATCGCAGTTAGTTGGGATCTTAAAGGTCTGGCTCTTGAAGTTGTGGTTCTTTGCGCCCAGGGTAACGTCGCCCACTACGCTGGTGATGGTGGATGTCTCGACTTCGGCAGTAAGGCGCTGGCGATCGAGGTTGTGAAGGACCTCTTGCATTGCGAAAAGTACCCGAACGACTTCCACCTCATCCTTCTTTTCGGCGCCGTCACGGACGCGCTGCTTAACGCGCTTAGCGTTTTCGACGTCCTTTCGTTTCTTGTCCACTTCCCGTCTCAGGTCGCCTAATGATGCCTTTGACTTGGTCAACATATTGCGCAAGTATATCGTAGCTGTAGCGTCGATCACCATGCCATCGTCGTCATGCCACACCGGACTGGGCTCAAATACGAGATCTGAGGGTTCATGGAAGGCTCCCATATTGTGGCGAATGTACATCATAGAGTCGAGATGCGGCAGGTTGCGCTTGATTTGGGTCGATTGGTCCTCCATCATCGCGTGTGATTCCTTCATCAAGCCGCTCTCCAACAAGGTCGCCACCTCCCAAAGTCCATTGAGTTTCAAAGTACGGAATTCGTTGAGATCTTGTAAACTATCCATAACCTCGGGGACGTATTCATGGTAGTATCGCTCCTTGAGGCGGTTGGTAACGTTGATTGCAATCAGATATGCGTTTTTGGCATTGTTCATCTCAAAAACCTGTTGCTGGTATGCGCTCTGTGCCTTCGCCTTGTCATAATGGGATTCCGACTTCTTGCGACGAGTTTCGACTTCTTGGCACACGGCATCGTATTTGCCCTTGATCTTGCGCAGATCGGCATAGGACGAATCGCGCTCGCTGACAAGTTTGTCTGCGTATTCAACATGACGTTTCCGCAGCTCCTCGAATCGAGTGGCATATTGTTTCATGGGTTCGGCAACTTGTGAGACGAGACTGTTTCCAAAGCGATCGTGCTCGGCAGCGCGCGACTCCAGAGTCGTAAGCTGGGTGGACCAAGTTGTAAGAGAAGCGCTATACGTAGACAAGGCATGAGGTCAGCATGTTGAAAGGGACGGGCGCATGTTGTATGCTAGCAAAGAATAGCCTAGCAGGAGCCAGGGGTGTATGTTGGAGATTGCGCACCTTTCTAGGGAACCCGGTGTCATGGCCGGAGTATCGCCAACACTGAGAGGTGACGACTTGCGATTCTTCTTCTCGAAATATTTCTTGGCCAGGGCAGAAAGCTTTGCAGCATATTCCTTCTCGATAACGGCCCGTTCGCGATAGAATTGTTGGATGTCGTCGAGCCAGGCAATGCCATGGCCAGCCCAGGCGCTGGCAGGCTTGAACCCATCCTGTGGGAAACGAGTCAGTCATTGGATCGAGGATTGAGGTTGGGTGTGTTGCGGCCGTCATGGACACCGAATGGACGGTCGGAGGGCACGGAAAGGGCACGGAAAGGGCACGGACTTTGAGCTCAGCTCCAAACGTGGGTATTTCGTCGACGGCAGCCATCGTGGGCAAGGCTTGGAGGGGGTCGCGGCGGCAAGGAGCGAAGGTGGTGGTGATGCCGTGTCGAGATCATACACCGAGGCGTGAGCGAGGGCGCCTCGTCTGAGACATCAATGTCTCTGTGCGTGTCCCAAACCTAAATCCTCGTGCTGGGTGCGCTTCGGGGCAGAGGGACACAGGGTGTTGCCGTGGGAGGGGGCTGTCTGCTGGTGGCTTCTGTGGGGGAAAGACGCCGACGGCGATAGCCTAAATGGCCTCTTAGTTGCTGCCGGGCGGCGGCTGTGTCGATGGAGGGGTGAGTAAGACACGACTAGCGACTGTAAACGGCCAAAGAACCCAACTGATGGGTGCTGCAGAGACGTGGGAGACGCGGCCCTTGAGCCACCTAAAGGATAAATTGGCACTAAAGAAACCGGGGTTCCTGGTCTTGGCGGCTTTGTGGGTGGGCGGGAGGATTGTCCAAGGCCTGTCAGGCTGTCTTTGTGTTGCTGTCAGTCGAGCAGCCACGCGGAGAGTATGTGAATAGATACACGCGCTGCGCATTTATGTATATTGGTTCTGGTGGTTGGATGTTGGAGGGGGGAATGAATGGCTGGGGAAGGAGGCAGGAGAAAGAAATGTTTGAGAACTGTATTTACCTGGGCTCGCAGCTCTGCAAAGTCCACTACTTACTGCCCATGCTGACAAGAAGTAAATTCGCAGGTCCTGCACAAGTGGGAAGATTTACTCACTGCAGCAGGGCATCGGCGCCTGTCTCCTCCACTCGCACGGAAGGTGACGACATCATCATCAATGCGACAAGCGACAGCTGCATCAGACAAACGGCAGCAAGGACCGGGGACAGATGTTGGGCGCCGCCATGCTCCTATTCTTTTGCCGCACGTATGCACGTCGTACGGAGTGCAGCAATTAGGCTTGCTCTAGCCAACCGCTACCCGACAAACCAACAGGGCGGCGCTACCTGAGACGGCCCAGACTGTGAGATGTTCCAAGGGTGATGTCCAGAATACGGGAATAGAGGGCGTGTCGTTGACCGATTTGCAGTTTCCAACTGGCTGTTCTCAAATTGAAAGTCATCAATGCGCCAGTCAGCATAAGGCAACTTGCTCTTGGGTACTATGCGAGCTCTGTCATGATAGCTACTGGGTTCTGTGCATGCTGCCATTCCTCTTGTCCAATCTAACCAGCGAGTTGGTGTTAAGGTGACGACGCAGAGTCACTGGTTGGTGACAAGGTCCCTCTGGAATAGAACCATCTGTCTTCCCTTTTTCTTCCATCTGCGATATTCTGTCTAACTGTCGCCTAACATGACTGTCACGTAGCCTAAATATAGCCTTCTCCAAGTTGCTTCTCAGTTGGAGAACCGTCGCACGGGGATCTCGGCATTTGCGACCGATTGGTTCCGCCATTTTGAGAAACAGAGTCACATCGATGCAATCAAGGGTCATCCCGTTGGTAGATTTAGTCACATGTCTAGTTCCTGATGCCCGAAAACCTCCTCTTTCTTAACCTCAGATCTCGCCTGGCCGTAGCCTTACCCCAGATCTCGCATCACAGGCTACGAGATATGTAGGGTAGCGCAGATTCTTGGGCCCTCCCAACGGGCCATTGGGTCTGGCTTCGCTTGTTTTCGGCGGGTCACCCCGTCCAGACTTGCAAAAGACGTCGAGATCAATGGCTGGGGGTGGGCCTGGACGAGGTCCGTCTCTTGAAAGCGCGAGTCACAGGTCGAGACAGCATGTTAGCTGGCCCTTTTCCCCGGAGCCTCCCCGTGCTATGCTGCAGAAGCTCGGCACGGCGCCCCGGCAAGTAGTGGGAAATTGCCGTTGGATCACATCATCCCAGAGACCCAACTCAAGCCAGACGAGGTGATACTCCACTCGCTCTCTCATGATTCTTATTCTCAATTGAGCTCCTCCCGACTGATAACGTTTCTCTTCTTCCACCTCCCGTTCCATCACCATTGCAAGTCCAGGGTCTGTGTCTGTGTCCCCTAGCCCAACTAAAGAAGAGCCTTTACTTTTTCAGGAGGACCCCTTTCCTTGCCATTGCATCGTGAAGAAATTTGGGTACACGCGTAATTCGTTATCTACGTTGCTATCGAAACCAGCCAAAAGGGGAAACAGGAATTCGACAGCAACAGAAGCCATGTCTCTCACCCTGCAAACTGCCATCCAAGGCAACCCGGCCTCTACGGCCGTCATCATCCCCTCGCGGCCGGACCCTCTGACCGTGTCCTACGCTTCGCTAGTCTCACAGGTCGGCGCCTTCCAGCAGAAGCTGGCCGATCTCGGCATCACCACCGCCTCTCCCGTGTCCATCGCCCTCGTCAACTCATGGGAATTCATCGTCTCTTTCCTCGCCGCATCGTGGCAGCGCGGCATTGCGGCGCCTCTCAACCCGGCCTACAAGCAGGACGAGTTTGAGTTTTACATCGAGGACGTCAAGAGCGCCATTGTCCTCGTCCCCAAGGGCGCCTGGGCCGCTGGCGCCCCCAGCGTCAAGGCTGCCAAGAAGTTCAATGCTGCCGTCGCTGAATGCTACTGGGATCCTGCCAAGGGCGAGGTTGTTCTGGATGTGAAGGACCTCGGCCATCTCAAGGGGGCCAAGGAGAAGCTGCTCAAGGCCGAGCCGGATGATGTGGCCCTCATTTTGCACACCAGGTAAGCTATCTGAACCATCAGTTTATCAATCTTCTCATACTTTAATTGACGACGTTGCTAACCAAATCATAGCGGAACTACGTCGAGACCCAAAGTGGTATGTCATTGAATCTTGGTGAAGACGGTCTTAAAGTACAAGCAGGACTGACGGCAGTAATGTGATAGGTTCCTCTCACACACCGTAACCTTACACGCACCATGAGTGAGTTCCTTCTTTTACTTGAAATTTGATTCTCTCGTTCAATTCTACGGACGGATGCTGTGCTACTGAGATTATGGACCGCTGACACTGGCCAGGAAATATCCAAAACACATACCAGCTTACCCCCCAGGACCGCACCATGCTGGTGATGCCCCTGTTCCACGTCCACGGCCTCGTCTGCGGCCTTCTCGCCCCCTTCCTCTCCGGAGGCTCCATGGTCGTCCCTGCCAAGTTCTCCGCCTCAGACTTCTGGCGCGACTTCACCACCCACGGCGCCAACTGGTACACAGCCGTGCCCACCATCCACCAGATCCTCCTCAAGAACCCTCCCCCAAACCCCAAGCCCGCCATCCGCTTCATCCGCTCCTGCTCCAGCCCCCTCTCCCCCACCGTCTTCCACCAGCTCGAGGAGACCTACAACGCGCCCGTCCTCGAGGCCTACGCCATGACCGAGGCCGCCCACCAGATGACCTCGAACCCCTTACCCCCCGCCAAGCGCAAGCCCGGCAGCGTCGGCCTCGGCCAGGGCGTCGAGGTCCGCATCCTCAACGACGCGGGCGACGAGCTGCCCCAGGGCCAGGAGGGCGAGATCAGCATCCGCGGCGAGAACGTCACAAAGGGCTACCTCAACAACCCCTCCGCCAACGCCTCTTCCTACACCGCGAGCGGCTTCTTCCGCACCGGTGACCAGGGCAAGCTCGACGAGGACGGCTACGTGATCATCACCGGCCGCATCAAGGAGCTCATCAACAAGGGCGGCGAGAAGATCAGCCCCATCGAGCTCGACAACGTCCTCACGCGCCACCCCAAGGTCGCCGAGGCCGTCAGCTTCGCCATCCCCGACGAGGTCTACGGGCAGGACATTGGCGTCGCCATCGTCCTCAAGCCCGGCGAGTCCCTCACCGCCGACGAGTCCCTCACCGCCGACGAGCTCAAGGCGTTTGTGGCTGAGAAGTCCGTCAAGTTCAAGGTCCCCAAGAAGGTAGGCAACCCTCTCTCGTGCCCCTGTTCTCGTTCTATGCCCCTGTCCCGTGTTCTGTGGTACACTCACCGGAAAATGCACCTGCTATGATGTCATGTGTAGATTGCTGACGGACAACCTGATAGGTCTACTTCACAAAGGTCATGCCCAAGACGGCAACCGGTAAGATTCAAAGACGCATCGTCGCGGAGACGATGGTGAAGCAGGACGCCCCCAAGGCCAAGCTGTAGAATGCACAAGACAGTGGGCGTAAGATATGCATGTAAATATAGATTCATCATGAAGGCTTTCATTATCCCAATATATAAACCCGGCGCCTTAAAGCTGCTCTAATCCATGGTTCTGGAATGAATGTGACAAACAAAATAAGGTTTCATCCACACCCCTCCGATCAGCATAGTCTTTGGCGATCTCCGGGCCCCCCCGAACCCGCCCAATCTCCCTTACAGATCAAACAATCGCCGCTGGAGATCGAAAGCCCCCCCCCCTTCTTAGTTATGCGCTGGGCTTGCTATCTTCTTGGGCACCACGTCGAAGCCCTCGACCCAGCAGCTCAGCCCCTCGGGCGTGTCCCACCGCAGCGGCTCGACGGGGCAGAAGAAGTGGCTATCGGGGCCCGAGGTAGACTGTTTGTTGGTCAATGTGATGCCGTGGGAGTTGGCCTGCTGGAGGCACTCGTTATTGGCGTCCTGCACGTCGGCGAAGACCTCGACGATGCTGGTGGAGTCGGTGTCTTGCTGGAAGAGGATGTAGACGGAGCGGTACATCCTCGCGTTGGTGCTCGTGCCAGTGCCAACGTTGGGTAGGGATTGGGTGGTGAGCGAACTTCCCGCGGTGTCGTCTCTCATGTTGTCTCGCTGGGAAGGCTGGCTGTAGGATTATTTGCTGTTATTTCCATCTGTACGAGGTTGCTATGTGGCCAGCATGGTCGTCAATTGTGATTTCGACGGAAAAGTCCCATTCTCTCGACGGCGTAAGCGCTTGTTATCTACTCATGCGCTGCAAGATGAAGGCTAGTCGCAGGGTCTTCGTCATTACGATCACTGATCGCCGCCGGCTCTTGCCCCCGACGTCATCGGCCCCCGGGTTCGAGGAGGATTTGGGTTGAGGACTGGCGAGTCGTGTGCCGCCAGTCTGGCCTATTGCTTCTGTTTTTGTTTCGGGAGTAGCACGGCCTGCAATGTGCCTAGCTGCCGCACACCCATACGAATCCTGATTTGCTGGGGTAGCGGGTGAGTTGTCGCATCATGGACGGATTTGGTATCCGTATTCCACGGTCAGCGGAGCTTGTGTTACCACAAAAACGGTCGAGAAGCTCCGGGCTGGGGTGGTTTTTGTTACTTAGGAGGCCGTCTGCTGGGCATATTTCGGAGCTTTCAGTCCACCGCATCATTCCTGCGGTGACTGCCCGGGGGCACCCAGGATGTTGAGTGTGGTTAGCACCCCGGTGAATGATGATGTCGGAGAAGAAGTATGACGGCCTTGAATTAAGGTGCCCTTTGGTGTGCGCTGGTCCCGTCCATACTCTTCACTAAGCCCCCAGAGAAGTCTGGGCTAGGCTGTACTCCGTGTGGCTCGGCGTCGCACGTATTTCCCCCTTCTTTGGCTTGGATGTTGAGCATGACACCTTCAGGAGCCGGGAGAGTTAGTACGAGAAAAGCCTTTCGCATCCGAATGCGGCCTGGCTCGACTGCTGGCTTCTACTCGACAATTGTCCATGGCTATGGTCGCTGGGTGTTGTGGATTGAGAAGATGATAGCTGGGCCGAGTTCGCAATGATCCAGAAAGCCACATCCGAACTATGAGCCGTAAATAGGAGCTCGTGACCGCCCAGACGTCATGGAAATGACCGTTATATTTCTCATATTGGGTAACAGTTTGACACAGCAATAACGTAAGTTGAGGGTAATTGGTTGCCTGAGGGTAGAAATGGGGGGACCCTTGGCATTTAAATATATGAGACTTTTATTGCAGGAACAAATCAATGCTCTTTCCCCAGGGATCATGTTCTCCGACTTATGGGAAAAGAGGAGACGAGGTTGCTAAGTATATGTATATCGAAAGGGCCAAACAAAGTGGACCGTGAGACAAGTTGGGGATGGCGTCGTGGGACAGATGAGATTGATAAGATTAAAGAACCTCCCCCCCCCAAAAAAAAAGAAATAGTCCGGAAGTATTTTAATGGAATGCGCCATAATTGTCTCCGTAAACCGAAATTAGCCGAGATTTGTAGTTCTAGTAGGTTTGTTGTTGGGTTGGGGTGCTGTCTAACATGAACTGGATACCGCCTGTCTCGCTCAGATGATAAATAAGATAATAGACTTAACTCAATCTCCCTCCGTGCTTCTAGACGTTGAGATGACTGCTGCGTGTTATCTCGGGGAAGCGATCCGAGATAATAGAATCAATCGGTGAGACTGAGAATGGAAGGAGAAGGGAGAGTTGCAGAAGCCGGTCCGGGGAAAATAAGGAACAGAAGCTAAAAAGAAGCAGTCAGAAAGACGGTATAACCAGGGCCACTATGCCCACTTGGATCGGTGAACGAGGTGCTTTTGCATGTTGTCAAGCGGTGCTAAACTAACGACATGTTGCAACCGGGCCGGAGTGGACTCTTCCCAGCAAATAGAGCAGGACGGCAACTGCACCTGGGACAGACGTAATAATGAGAACAAATGTAGATTCACTTGCGGGGAAAGGCAGATGTACGATGCAGCGCTGTAGCCAACCAGTGCCTGCGTTTACAGGTACGATACAAAGCAACACCGCATCGTGCCCTCTTGCTTTCCCACCTGGGCCGGCCGCCCTGCACGGGAAAAAATTGGCAGGTTCGCGTGACTGGCCCTGTCGGGCAGCCAGAGAAGCGTGCTTGGAGCTTCGTCACTCAATCCCACACGACTAGACCTCGAGAGGAGTAGCTCGTGGGGAGCCACTCAGCCTCGATGGAGTTCTCCATCCGTTGCGCCCTACCTGGTGGCACCGGTACCGGTACCTGTACCTGTACCTGTACCTACGCTTGTCGGATCGATGTCATCATTTCGGCGCATTGGATCAGCTCGAGGGGCCGTTGCAATTCGATCCGCGAGGTACCTGCCTACTGCTTCCATGGCTTGCAGTACAAGCTGTCGCGGCCTTTCTAGAGGCAAGGTAAGATGCCGTCCACAGCAGATTGTTGGGAAAGCGCGACTTCTGAATCACTTAATACTGGATCCAGCCTCGATCCATTACCTCTTCAGTTGTCCCGTCTCTCCCCACCCTGCCTCTTTGTTGCTTCTCTCTGTTACTTTGCTCCATTCATATTCGTTTTGCTCTCGCTCAGGGGATTAAGAGCACCCAACCGGTTCCCGATCATCAATCAACAAGCGATCATTCTGCTGAAACCCCAGGCTGTCTGTGTTGCCAGCCGGTGCCTGTCAATCGACCCCTCTACGCCCGCACCGAGCTCCGCCGATCAAACCCCCGCCAATCCCTTCCTGGGCTCGACGGACGGTGAAGCCCGCTTATCGCCCTGTTATCGACGTCCGTCAGCGGTCTGCAGTGCTTAGATATCCGGTAGTACCGCCATCGACTAACCTGCCTGCTTGTTGCTCAATAATTTTGTCGCGATGGCTCGCTTCGTCGATTTAGGGGACAGTGACGATGAACAGGGCGCTTCCGAGTCTCTCGCTCAGCAGCACCTGCACCCCGGCGTGAATGGGATTGGGCTCAATGGCAAGGGCCTGGTTGTCCACAACGGCTCCGATAGGGACCAGGGCAGCCAGCCGCCGCCCGAACACCCTCCGAGGATACAGAACCTCACCACAATGGCGTTCGCCTGTTATCCGTATTCTTGACCCTCCTAAAACTGTTGCTTCGTGACATTGGAACGAAGTGTACTAAACCTTTTCTGCAGCGTCGTCGCCGCCATCGTCTCTCACATCGACTTGAACACCCTGGATTCCCTTGCCCGCACCAGCTTCTTCATCCATGCTTCGCTCATCCAGTACCGTCAGGTTCTCATCAACTCGACCTTGCACTGCTCCAACGAGGCCGTACCGGTAGATCATGACCAGGTCTTTCGTTATCGTGCCAGGGCGAGCAATTGGGAATACATGCAGGAGGATGGCCGCAACTACGAAGCCAAGTCTGGCGACTGCGCCCGTGACCTAGTCGAGCCATGCCGACGATGCAGCAAGGTTATTTGCCGGGTAAGTTGTTCATCTCTTCTCCTACTCGGAAGGAAGTCAAATATCGAGGACAATGCTGAGACGGTGTATTGAAATAGAACTGTGCAATCAAGCCTCCGGCTCCGGTCACTTTACGTGAAAGACATCGCAGATTATGTAGCCCCTGCACCCGCGCCCCAATTGCGACTCTTGCAAAACCTCCTCTGGACCCATCGCTTCCCCTTGATGCAGAAGCGGTACAGAGAGCTTTATGCCAGTGTGATAAGCAAGGAGTTTGGCTCTGTCAACCCTGCGGCCGATCTATTCGCGGTGCCGATAACGAGTACCATCGGTAAGTCGTCGTGGTTCCTAGCCGGATCCTGAATCTTGGCCCCAACCTCGCCCATCCTCTCTAAATTTGCTTACACTGTTTGTAGCATTTGGCGCTGGCGTAGCCAGTACGGAGAAATTTTGGGTGGCTTAGGTACGGGCATTGGGGAGGGCGATCGCGGTGTCATCTGCGGTCGCGAGGCTGATTGCTGCGCTGCCAAGGAGCGTGAACAAGAAATTGACTGTGATGCTCAAGACGCCAAAGATAATGGCCATCTCGGCTCTTGGGCTGACGTCCAATCCGCCTCATCAAACTCGACTCCCAGTCCCTCTGGAAGCCAGCACAGCCAGAACCCGCTTGACTTGGTTCTGGAAGACTACCGCCAAGAGCGCACCCCTTCGCCACAGCTGCGTACGGGTTATGAGAGGCATGAGATTGAGGGAATCGGAGGCGTTGTAAAGCGCAAGCTTGTCCGCATGGTCCGAGTAGGCGCCTGTGTCCCTGACTATGAGGATGAAATTGGTCCTGGCAAGAAAGCACTTGGCCGTGAAGTAAGAGGCGAACGCAGGAGTTGGTGTGGATGGTGTTGGAGAGCGATTCCTAGCGAAAAGGACTCTGTTTCCCCTTCAATAGGTAAGAGCATGAAGTGATGGCTTTTTTTTCGTTTTCTTTCTTTCTTTTTTTCTATAAAAGGCGGTCTGATGTTGAGAGATGGGATGGAAACTGGTACAATACGGCCGAGCCAACCTCTTCAATGCGTGAAAGTAAAAGATGAAACTCATATCGAATGAGCCCATAATAATACCCGTACATGCCATTTGGCATGTTCCAGATATATATAAATAATGAATGAATTTACCCTCAGCTCGTGCGATACCCTTCATTTGGTGACATTCCTGTCCAACGGTGAGTATATTGCTAGCTCTGCATCTGAGAGACAAACATTCATTGAAAGAAATAAAACGGCCATATATCATTTATACAATATGCATTTTTTTTTGAATCATTCTACACGTGGCACATATCCACACATAATTATACAGAATGAGGCTCTCTCAACCATCCCGCCCTCGTACGACCCAGCCAGGGTCATGGAGCTGGCCCTCATCGTCGTTGGATTAAATCTCGCCCCGATATAGCATCTCCGCCCTCCTCCCGCGGTCTTCCCTGGCCTGCGTCTTGATGGGACCCCATCTCTCCCGCCGGCGCTCCGCCTTCTCCTCGAGCCACTTCTTGTGCTCGGCCGGCGCCGGGGCGGCGATGGACACGATGATGGGCGAGCAGTTGAACTTCTTGGACAGGGCGTTTGTGCTCCACGTCAGGGGGTCCTCGTTCCTCAGCCTGCGCATCTCGGCCATGTCGTCCTCGGTGAGGTTGTACTGGGCCCGGCGGCGCGGGTAGCTCATGGCGGGGGGCAGGTCGGCGTCGTTCTGGGGAGGGGAGGCGCCGGCGACGCTGCCGAGGGCCTCCGGGCTGGAGAGGCGCATGCGCTGGATGGCCTCGCGGCGGGGGTCGTTGGAGGGCAGGAAGATGAAGGGGGTGTGCTCGGGCGAGGCCTCGGACGCGGGGGGGTTGTAGATGATGTGGTCGGCGGCGGGGAAGGGCTGGGATCGGTTGGGGAGGAAGGAGTCGTGGGGGGGGATCTTGAGAGCGCGCTTCGTCCGGGCGGTCGTCTTGTGGCCGCGGGATGTGGTGAGGGGGAGGAGGGTTGTTTGGTGGGTGGTGGTTCTGAGCAGCTGGGTCGCTGGGCGGGAGAGGGTGCGGACGTCCATTTTGCGGTGATGTTTTCCGGCTTGGGGATGCTTGAGGCAGCTCGGGTGGTGATGCAAGGAATTAGGTCGTGATCGGAGCTCCTGGCACAGAGTCGATTGGCTCGTCTACATCACCTGGAGAGTATGAGTGGCCGCGGATCCAGGTGTGTCGTGTGCTTGCTCCTCCAATTTGGTTCGAAATGCTGGCCCAAAATAGTCGTCTAAAGTTTTCGCGGCCTGGAAGGGTTCGTTGAGGCTGATTACCTAATAAACGGTCGTGGTCCTGAGGCGCCACTCTCTGGCAACAATGTACCCATGTACCTCAAGGCGGGGTCATGTGATGTCGCACGTGAACGTCCCATCGGCTTAACCAAAGCATCACGGGGAAAGCAAAAAGTCTCATCCTTCCCCTGGGCTCTTGCTGTGCGCCACGACACTAGTCTCCACCAATCAAGGGGACTAATGACGTAGTACCGAATAGCTGGTCAGCAATGGGCATTGTTGACTTTTGTTGGCTAAAGCCGCTAGACTGGCGTTTCACCGGATCTCACAAACGTTTCGGATTTCTGATGAATGACCCTGCATGTTGAAATATCATACGCATATAGATTGAGTTTACCAAAGATTTGCAACTGCAGGCGTGCATCATGCTGGCGGATGAGACAGTTCTGAGATGAGAGGTGCATTGACTAGCTCCCCTTTGGGCTGACGAACGACTTACACCAGGGGGAGAGCAATTAGTGGCGATGGTCATGTGCATTTCCAATTGGTACGCCGAGTCCTCAAGGGCAGAAAATCGAAAATTACCTCTTTGCGGTTAGGAGAGGGAGGGGGATTGAGATCCTCTCCTGAGTAGCTCCCAGTCTCTCCAATGAAAGTCACCTGAGTACTTGTTGTGAGGGGTTTTTACTTTCCGCCGTCAATGCTGTAAGCTCCAACCAGAGGACGAAGATGAGCTGGTAACACAAAGGGGCCAACTCGTTTTAGGTTGCATGAGTGCCGGTGCGCCTTTACTCATGCCGCACAATGCCTTGACGGTTTGCTATGGGGGGGATGGCCGGTTCAGTCAGGACTTTGGATGGCATCATGGTTGGCGCCGGCAGTACTTTGATGTAAGCCCTACCGGATCTGGCAGGCAGGATCTGAATGGCCACGGATAGTGAGGGTTTGTTTGGTCAGGCAGGGAAAGCATTTTTTTCCGAATGGATACGCGAATATGTAGCTAGCAAATTGGGGGTGTCACAAATCGGCCGAGGCCCGGCTACTTGCAGAAATAATCATAATATTGCATCAGGTGCCGTCAGGTGCACCATCACGCACGGGTTGTGGTGGGAGATGAGCGGCAGGATGCGCACATCCAGACGCAGACCAGACGAGACCTCAAACATCGGGGGCGTTGAGGATCAGTTCACCAGTGGTGCGTCCCTGTTACCCTCTCTCCCGCATTCTCACTTGCCTGGGTTTGCGTCTCTGATCGACAGGATGATATGTGCGCACTTCCAGGAGCAACCAGCTCATCAGAGAGCACAGACAGCTCGAAGCAAGGAAAGGTACAAGTTGCGCGCAGATCAGGTGTCATGTCATTCACACCCTGGCCTGGACTGACACACACCAACTGTGCCAACAGACGCACACGCCCCGATTAGAAGGGGAAGGAGTCGAGAGCATATTATTGTCAGGAACACTCCTCCTGAGATGGTTTCTATCTGCTTCGTCCCCCGGTAGACTAAAAGCAACCATGGCAGACGCTCCGTATTGGTAGACGATGTTACATGTGGCAGAGCGTAAGGGGCAAAAAGAGAGGAAACCTGGTTTGGGTAGTAGTCTGAGAAAAGCAATGACGAGATAAGGTGTCCCTCATCGGGCAAGATCAAGACAGAAAAAGCAAACCTGGACTCAGTTGGGCCGGCCAAATACTCTAAGCGAGACACGCAGACGCCGCCGTCATGAGCCAGTGCCGGAGCTACAGGCAGAGGGCACGACCGCGGGCTTGGGCAGTGGACAGTGGGCCTGGTGCAGCAGTTGCTAGCGCCCCCCCAATCGGGTCCCCCATCCATTAAGTCAAGTGCTTCTGGGCTGCGCCAGAAGCCAAGCCCCAGGGCAGGGACGCGGACAGCTACCTTACCTTAGGTCCCGTCTGCTGCTCGTCATATTTTTTCATTACATTATAATGCCAATAATTGCCTGCCTTGCCTGATCTGCCACCTCTTCTTCCTCTTCCTTGACTCGATCCTCTCCAACACAATTTCCTTCCACTGCTTCGCCTCCTGCGTCGTCGTCATTCCCCCCCCTTTGTGCCTACTCCTCATACGGTTGGTTCCATTCATAGTTGGCAGGGCAGTGACACATGGCCTAGGCCCTTGGAACCTTATAACGGATCCCGACTCGCCCGCGTTGTTATCACCTGCCACCCTTCCTCCAACACCGAGAGGGGATCAATCAAAACTCGCCTCTACGATCGCCACAAACACTCGGTCGTGACCTTGCGTGATTGATACGATACCCAGACCAGCCGGGGAAAATTTCATATTGCATTTTTGGTGCATCGCCGCACTTCATTACCACTTCCCTCCTCTCGCCCACTGCTGCCAGCTCTGCGCCAGTATAGCACCGCCCAATAACGTCATACCATCCGTACCTACCAGCATGGCCGACTCCAGCAGCCAAGGCGACTCAACACCGCGTGCTGTTGAGGGATCAGGGTCGGAAGACCAGGTCAAGGGCAAGAAGCGAAGTCTTTTTGGTTTTGGAAAGAAAAAGACAGGTTCCTCCAAGTCTGAGTCCAAGGAGGACTCGGCCCCGACCCTTCTCAGGGAGAGCTCCAAGCTGTCCTCGGCCACGCAGTCGACCGAGCTGCATACCACTGCACCATCCTCTCCGAGGGCTCTGAGCACCTCTCCACGGCTCGCCTCTCCTGCCCATTCCCAGATCTTCGAGCGAGACGTCCAGGACAGCACGATTCCTCAAGACAACTCCTCCGCCATCCCGACACACATTCAAACCGAAAACCACATTCCTCCAGTTTTAGATGACGCCTCTGAAGCCATCACAAACAACAAGCTCGATCCCGATGCGGTTGAGATTGTTACACACAACTCCCACCAGCCAGCTGCGCTGACCGTGGCAGCGACCAGCCCAATCTCGCCATTGGTACCGTTTGAGCTGCCTTCTAGCACCGAGTGGGCAGACGAGCTCAGCCTCTTCACCAATCGACAAGCTAATGCCACCTCAGACAATGCATCCAACTACGGCTCACTTGACTCGGCCGATGTTCGTCGACTCTCCTTCATCTCCTTTGCAGATGTCGTCCAGTCTGAACATGGAGTTGTGGGTGGCGCGAGCTCCCGAGATAGCATCCACCTCGCCGGACTCACATCCCTTCCCTCGGCTCTCAACCGTTCGCCATCTCCGATCCGATCGCCAGTTTCGAGTCAGGGACCAGGAACGAGCCCACCAACGAGCAACCCAGGCAGCGTGAAAGGCGTGGAGATGAGTCCTTCTCGCAAGCCACTGGGCAGCCCCAAAAGTGGAAGCCAAAACCTCAACATGTCGGGAGAGCTGAACATTGAGACTATGTCCCAAGCTCTGCGAAGAACCGGAAGCTCTGATTTCAGCAACTTTCGAAGTATCCCGACCAGCCCCGTCGAGGAGGTTGTGTCTCGGTGATCAATTATTTTTGATCTCCAGATGGTGATATAAACAAGCCTCACCACCCCAACTACGAAAATGATTGCTGTAGTGCATGACTTGCAGAAATTCGTATTAGCAAAATAGCACCGTTTCTACTTCTTTTTCATCTTCACTTCTTTTTGAACTCTTTTTGAACTCTTTTTCTTTTTATCTATTACGATTGTTTTTAAAGCCATCTTTTGATGGAGGAGTTGGGGATATTGGACTGGAGCCGTTATTTAGTTTTTGCCTCGTTGAGTGGCGTATTACGACGTCTTTCGGTGGAGGATGCACTATCTCGTCCTTCACCAACCTTCTTCTGCAACTCCCGATCGGGGGTTTGCTCATTACTCTCCTGTTTGCGGGGGACGTTAATCTTGTTTTTAGGCGTTTTCTTGCGCAAGGATTTGGAGGACACAGAGAGCTGGAGTTTTTGAGAACCTTGAGTCAAGAGATGGTTGACTGGCTGGACGGAGTCGGTTCATCGTTTCCATACAACTCTTTTTTGACACTTTTTTCAAGCCATCATTCCTGACCGCAAAGTGCGTGATTCCCTCTAATGCACTGTGTGAAACTATAATCTATTTGAAAAAATCAACCACACCTTGAGCAATTCCTACAACCGTCTCACAAGAACCGGGTGTTCCGAGGGGTGGCATCAGTTCACAAGGACCATCCATTGAACGGTTCGAACCATGACCAGAAAAGCACGTTATGGCCCCCACTCCTTGAAGTTCCTGGCAGTTCCAACATCTCCGACTGGTGCAGGGCCTTGAGGGCCTAGGCTTGTTCTTAATACGGGGAGCGTGCGGTTGTTATTACATAGGTGACAGCGCATACATGGCGATGATCATCAACGCATTCTAGAAACACGAGCGGTAGAGCAGGTGATTGGGGGAGGGGGGAATTACCAATGTGAGGAGGTCATGCCAGAAAATTACCTGCATGCCTGCTAGCACGCTCCGAACCAGATTGCGACCTGTTATTTTCGGTCCCGCGAAGCATTATGACGGCGGGGAGGGCTATATCAGAAAGGATTGGTAAGAGGCATCTCACTGAGGGTATGACGCGGGATCCCTGCCATTCTGCAGCAGCAGCTGGCTGGGGAATTTCTGATCAGTAATCCCCGTCTGAATGGGAATAAACAATTAATTTTTTTTTTTTAATTTACGTTCATGTGTGTGCCACGTTGTGCATGGCATGCTGCCCTTGGGGGAGGGGCGTGGAGTTGGTTGTTTTCCAATCTCTTTGGTCAGCAGACAAGCGAGGGTAGAGAAGCCAGGGGAGATCCCGGGGGTGAGCAGACAGATCCCGGGGCCGGTACGCTGGTAACGGTTGTCGCTGTGTCGATATAGCTTATCCGTACATGGGGGAAGGAATTCTTTTTTTTCTGTTTGATCCTAATAGGGAAACAAGTTGTAGATGCGCGGATACGAGTTGGTTGGTGTGCGGATACGCCTGGACGAGGACATGTAATTGATGTGTACTGACCAACCTGCCGCCCGGACTTTCGGTATCTCCTGTGCTTGCATATTACCTTGAATGTCGGTGGAACATCAATGGGGCAGATCACAGATCAGTGAAGCTAAAACGAAGCGCCCACGCCGCAGGTTGCGACGCTGGAAGGGGAGATGGGAGATCGATCCCAGCCCGGCTGAAACTATGCAAGTACTTCAGACGGGTTTGTGCGGAGAGTAGGGTTTAAATTACCAACAGCCAACGGCGTTGCTATCTATGTAGGCGTATTGTGTTGTCTTATTCCCTTGGATGGGAGTTGGGCCCCTGCGAATGCCCATGCTTGGTTGGTGCCTCTGAGGGGACCAAGAGGGGAAAGGGCACGAGGTGCTGCACGTACGCATACTTACGTACATGTTGGAGCCCAGGGCTGAGCAGGTAGTCCGCCGTTGGCTCGCACGCACACAAGACCCGGAGCTCAAACCCGGATCTGTGGATAGGCAGGGTGGGTGGATGAGTTGTGTGTGGATGGGCAGCATGAGTGGATGGATGGCTGGGCGGAGGGTTTTGAAATTTTTGGGACTTGGACCAAGCATGAATAAGGGGACGAGGACCCTGGACGATGATGCATGCTCGGATCAGTGAATGGCTAGGCTAGTATGTATGCAGCTGCGAAGCCGACGAGACCGACGAGATGGTGGACGAGACGGGCCAAGGTGAGCAGTATGGCATGCTTGTTTGATGCCGGTTTGATGAGGGACGTGCGCCGTCCGTATGTAAGACCAGGCTGATGGACTGTTATCTCCTGTTTCCGATCTGCTGATGTGATGGAGATTGGATGGAGACAAGCATGCAGTATTTTTAATCCGTATTTGATGTGAGAGCGTAGCCAGAGAAACGCGGTCATTGACCAGGCTGCTGGCTGACTTGTAGGTTGGCTGCAGTATGTCACAGGCCGCAGGACTGACCCGAATACCTAAACGAACACTGTCCATGGCCCGATATGCATGCACTGTGGGCAGGGCCCTATCTAATTTGGGTGCGTTGGATCAAGGCATCACGCTGTGACATATCGTGAACGACTGATGAAAGGAGTCACCTCTGGGCTGGTTGTGCGCATTTGGGGGCCCAAATGGGGTGATCAGAAGGGCAATTTTTGCGGGCGGGCTTCTTCGCCCCCCGCTAGAGGCAGGACGAGACTAAAACAAAGCCGTTGATGCTCGAACGGGTGTTTCTTCATGGCAATCACTGCAAGTCTACAGGGCCCAAGACAGCCTAGTTTAGCACCGCGTGCTACGGCCGGGTGAAGGAAGCACATGGCGGACCGCACTGCTGCTCTGCATTAGCAAAGCCTGGTGGTGTGGCTCCTGGATGGTACGGGAGATGCCCGCTGCTGTTTTCGCCTGTCTGTGTGTGCCATGGGACAGTGTCAGTGTCGAGCTGACGAGCAGGACGACGATGCTCGCTCTGGGTGCTTCCTTGTCCTTGTGCCAGCCCAGGATCTATCCCATACATGATCCATTCACACCAGCAGAGCAGCATCCCAGCAGGCCAAGTTCAGTGGAGGTCTGCAGTGGGTCAGGAAGCCAGGTCCCATAGAGCCCAGGAACAGAACCCCCGGAGAGATGAAGGAAAAGCTCGATAATCATGCCTCGAGGTCCACGGAGACTTGGAGAGGCCATGGGAGGGGAAGGCCCCCGTCGTCCCCCCTCCCCCCGCCTTGCCCTGCCCCTGGCACTCGCCAAGGAACTGCCTGGATGTGATGGGCGAGGCCAAGAATCGATCGGGGGATTGGGCTTGGGATGGGAATCATGGGATGCGACGGATGGGATGCGAAAATGGCAAAGCAGAGCCAGCAAGCCGGCCAGCCAAGGCAAAGAAGACGCCTCGTGCATGCATGGATGAATCTTAATTAAGAACATGCATCCTTTCCTTGCTTCTTCTTCCTTCTCGAAAACCTCCTCGCCCCAAATGGTGCAACGCTACACGTCGACTGCAGCCACTCAGCATCACACCGTTTCCCACCCGTGTCCCCAATCCATTGGTGTACCAACAGCCCAAAGACGGTTTTGGAAGCACTAGCACCTCGAAATCGGGAACCCTGCGCATCGTGCTTATTTATCGTGGCTGTGAGAAGTGACGAGAGGGCGGCTTGAGGTCCGGAGCGAGATATATTTATATACCCATATAAATATACACACATGCTCACATCAATCACATACTTGTCTGCCGAGCTAGATACCCCTCTATATATATCCTCCGAGTAAGCCATTCCCGCATCTAAGGCGCCGCCGCTGGATGCTGCTGTCCCCAAGTCCCGAAAGCCAATTTCCAGGTCGCACAGCGCTGCCCGGCCTGCTGCTCGCACCGCTGCCGGCGCCACCATCAATGCGCATATGGTTAACGGGCCGCTTCCTTTTCTGACGCTGTGCAGGAGACGTACATAGCGGATTACCACCTCCTGCGTCCGTACCAGTGCGAATCCGTCCCTGCTAGCCCCAAGGTAGCGTCTGCCCAGTTTATGTGGGCAGCTCTCAGAGCACCGTCGCCCGCCAGACAGTCCCACGAGCCCAAGTGCTTACCGGCGTGCGCTGCCGCATTATTAACCCCAGCAGGAGCAGCTTTCCCCTGAGGCTGGTTCAAACTCTGTGCAGTGTGGTTTGCGAATTGTGTGCGTGTGTGTGAGCGCCCGAGTGTGTGTGTGTGCGAGTGCAAGTGTCCACTCACTCTAGCAGCCAGAGCCACAGGCATAGCACCAGCCCAGCACCAGCACCAAACCCCTCGAACGAACCGAACGAACGCTCGCGCTCTCCACCGACAGACAGCCCCTCCCGCTGCTGCAAAAAGACGGCACAATCACTCGCCGGGATCCCAGCCTGGCCACACGCATGAAGGCCGAGGGCGCGCATGCCGTCGAAGCAGACCGTACCATGTATACAAGTCGTCGCCATGCCTCCTGACAAGATCGATGAGCGGGTCCCTCGCCCGTCAGCAGCAGCAGCAAGCCGGGTGAACCAGAATAATAGTGCCGCCTCCTCCACCACCGCCAACATTAATAGTCCTCAGGCCCAGCTCCCGCAGCACCTTCCGCCTCAGCACCAGCACCAGCACCAGCTCCAGGTCCAGCATCCGCACGCTGCCCCTGCCACGGTGCCGACTCCGCTGGCGCCGCCTCTCCAGCACCCGCTCCAGCAATCGCAGCCCATTGAGTCCTCACGCAATGCCATGGAGCGAACGAGCACTCACAGCCTCCGGGCTGCCTTTCGGTCCTCCTACTCCAACCACACCCATAACCACAACGGAGGAGGCGTCGCCGGCACCATCCGCGCCGTAACGCCCGAGGTGGGCGATGCCCCCGAGGTCACCATTGGCTCTTCCTCTGATGCGACCGCCTCCACCCTGCATCACAGCAGCAGCGCCGCCGTCGCCTCCCACGAAACCTCGCCGCGATCCATCCCCAGCGGGCCCAGCAGCCGTCGCCAGGGCATGGTCTTCAACGACTCCTTCAGCGACGCCTACGAGAGCACCGACTCGAGCCCCCCGCCCCCCTCCGCCTCCACCTCGTCCAACCGACTGACCAGCAGCTCCTTCCGCCCACGAACCCGCACCATGGACGCCGCCATGCTGACGAACCAGAGGGCCGCGCCCCCGGGCATTGAGCAGCGCCATCGCGTAGGCAGCATGAGCTCGTCCGGCTCCCAGCCAACGGCTCCCATTCCCACCTCCGCCCCCGAGGAGCCCAGGCTGCCCGCCGCCGGCCTCGAGTCGACCGGATTCCCTACCATCATGGGGGGCCGAAGTTTCGAGGCCGCCGTCCCCACGAACAAGAGCAGCGACAAGAAGACCAGCTCGAACCGCAGGCTCATGAAGCGCCAGTCCTCGCATCCCGCCCCTCACCCCCCGATACCCTATTCGCCCTCCATCGATAGCCTGGCCATCCCGATCCGGATCGAGAACCCTCACAGAATCACCCAGCTGATGCTCACCCTGTGCGGCAAGATGCGTGGAGAGGTCGAGTACCAGGGCGAGTCGGGGGGATCGTGGTACATGGGGTTGGCGTACATCGACGACGACAGGGGCTGCTTGATGTTCGACTCGGGCCAGAGCGGCCCCTTCCACATCCCCATTGTGGCGGATCTGCGTGGCTGCAAGGTCTATCCGGTAGACTACCCGGAGGCGGGCAAGCGATGCCTGGAGCTCATCTCGTCGAACCCCGTCATCGAGGTGCTGATGTACCCGCGGGAGCATTCCCACTTTGATTTCTGGCTGGCCGCCCTCTTGTGTTGGCAGCAGCTGCGGCCGCCGTTGGTGAAACCCTCGGCTTCGAAACCCTCGAGCCCCGCGAGCCCCGTCCGTCCTGAGCTTAAGAGGCGAGGACAATCCACCGACGTGCCAAAGTCATCGGCAGTCATCAAGGTTGGCAAGGTCCAGGTTTGGGACAAGGGGCTGGCTGGTAACCCATACATCCTAACGAAGCGGTCGTCGACTAGAGATCCACGCTCGACGGCAATGGCATGGGTCACGGTTTCGTTTACACTATCAGACAATGGCGAGCTCAAGCTCATGGCGGAGAACGATGGCACGATACTTGCCATTATCGAGATGTCCCAGTTATCACGGAGCGCCGTTCAGCAGCTGGACAAGACGGTCCTGGGCGAGGACCACTGCATCGCCGTATTCCCCATGTACGCGCTCAAGGCTCGGCAGCTGAGCGTCTTCCGACCCGTGTATCTGGCGGCCGAGACCCGGGTCCAGTTCGAGGTGTGGTTCGCCCTTCTTCGGGCATTCACCGTCCCGGACATCTACAAACTCGACGAGCCGGATAAGGACCTGGCGCAGAAGGTGGAGGATGTCGACAAGGCCCGCCCCGGCGAGGTCTTCCGCGTAGAAAAGACGATTCAGGTGCGGGTGACGGAGGCGAAAATGAAGCCCAAGAATGGGGCGGCGGAGGTATCGCCCCAGACGCGCCCCGACAAGACCTCGAGAACGATACTAGTCGACCCGTTGGTTGGGAATTATTTGGCTGAGGTCATGTTGGACGGCGAGGTCAGGGCACGGACGATGACAAAGGCCTCCACAAAGAACCCTTTTTGGAGGGAGGACTGCGAGTTCACGGACCTCCCGCCCACGATCCCCCAGCTCTCCGTGAGGTTAAAGAATGTGGAGGGGTACGTCGAGCCGCCTCACAGCCCCGTTGCCAAAACGTCCAACAACACCAATGAAGTCATCTGTGGTACCGTCGACCTATCGCAAGCGTCGACGGACCCGGCATCCAAGGACAACGAGCAGTGGCTGCCCATTCTGGACGACAAGGCGGAGACGATCGGATCCATGCTGATCCGAGTTGCCCACGAAGAGCTTGTGGTACTTCTGGCAAAGGAGTACCAGCCTCTAGCTGGGATCATCCACAACTTCCAATCTAACCTGACGACGCAGGTCTCAAATGCTCTTCCGGGCCATTTGCGTAGAGTGGCAGAGCTCTTTCTCAACATTTTCCAGGTGTCCGAGAAGGCGAGTGATTGGATCATGGCCATGGTCGAGGATGAGATTGATGGAATAGGCAGCCAGGCGACGATCAAGAAGTACCGCTTTGGCAGCCGAGTGAAATCAAATGAATCAGGGGAATCTGCCAATCATCGGGATCTTATGGTCCGAGACATGAACAAGTCGCTGACGGGCGAGGCGAACCTGTTGTTCCGTGGTAACACGCTCCTGACCCAATCGCTCGAGTTTCACATGCGCAGGTTGGGCAAGGAGTTCCTGGAAGAGACGCTCAAGGATAAGATTTACGAGATCAACGAAATGGACCTGGACTGCGAGGTAGACCCATCCAAACTCCACCAAGCAGTGGATTTGGACCAGAGATGGAGAAGACTCATCGACATCACGACTGACATTTGGAATTGCATCTGCACCTCGGCAAAACGTCTTCATCCTGAGCTCAGAGGCATCCTTAAGTACATCCGGGCCGTCGCCGAGGACCGATATGGCGACTTCCTCCGTACGGTAGCATACACGTCCGTGTCCGGCTTTCTATTCCTGCGATTCATCTGCCCCGCCATTCTCTCGCCAAAGTTGTTCGGGCTTTTGCGTGATCACCCTCGACCTCGGGCTCAGCGAACGTTCACTTTGATTGCCAAGGCGTTGCAAAAGATGGCCAACTTGTCAACGTTTGGCAAACGAGAGGAATGGATGGAGCCCATGAATAGGTTCCTCGGTACACAGAGGAGCGTGTTCAAGGATTATGTGGATCAGATCTGCGATGTGCCCGTGGACCACATTGTCAAGACGATACCTCCAGGATACAGTACACCCTTGACGATTATGAATCGACTGAGTCCTACAGCCCGGGAAGGATTCCCCAGCCTCCCTTTTCTTATCGACCAGGCAAGGAACTATGCTAGCCTGGTCAAGTTGTGGGTGGATGCCAAGCCAGCAGAGAACTCGAAGAAGGTAACAGTTGAAGGCGAGCTGCTCATCTTCAACGACATCTGCTTCGCCCTGCAGTCCCGTTCAGACTCTTGCCTTGCAAAGGATGAGAGCCTCGAGCTTAGCGAGTTCCGCCCTGGTATGACCACTGAGGAACTCGCCGAGGTACTCGAGCAAGCCTCCCTTTTCGAGACGACGACCCATTCATATGCAGGCTCTACTACCTGGACGGAGTCAGAGCAGCCTCCTGGAAGCTCAGGCAGTGACACCCTCGAGGATGATAACAGACGTAGCAGAGACTTCCGAAGAACCAGAGACGGTCATGACAAGAAGCGATACATGACCAGCGGTGGAACAACCAAGGGCAAGAATGGCAAAGTCGGGCGTACCATCCTCAACGGCATTATGAGGATAGGCGGCAGAGCAGACAGTCCAGAACACAAGGAAAAGAAATCGGACTCAAAGAGCCAGAAGTGAGCTGCAAACGATACTCTTCGCCTCGTTCCACAAGACACAAAGGTCTCGTGCCCTTTTCTTTTTGGTTATTCTTTTCCTTCTGACTTGCCACGTCTTTTGCTGTTTCTTCTTCATCAACATCTGGAAGGGAAACTTCTTTCCGGCTCTTCATACACGGGTTCCTATCTCCTTTTCTTTCGACGCATCTATTATCGTGTTATTTTTCTTGCACAGCGACGCCGCTATGAATTGACGACCTGAAACGCTATGTCCAGCATCTCTATCCTCACAATCAAGAAAAACAAAAATAAACTTCTCGCCCGCCGTTCATCCATGTATTTCCCCCTATCTTCTCTATTTTCTCGACCTTGGACCTATCCTTCAACGACTCCTTCCCCGCCGAATATCAACTATTGCAAAAAAGTGCAGCCATGGCTTTCCTCAGCATGAGTCGGAGCATTTCTCTGCGAGGATTTCGAGATCTTGCAGGATGCATATCTATATATCATTATATATATACCCCCCAAAAGAACAGCACGCTGGCCGGACTTCTCTTCTCGTCTTGTTATATTTGCATATCCTAGATGTTTTTGGAGATTGGCTAGCATCATGGCTTTGATCGGGTAGCTCCCCTCTTCCCCTTTTTTGGATTTCGAAGTGGACGAACATCTATATTCCCTAACTTTTGCATCCACCTTGCCCCTATTCTTACTCTTCTTTGTCTCTCGCTCTACGATATTATACCTTCCATGACGGGGGACATGTTGACTACTGGATGGCTAAAAGCAACGCCGTGTCTGGAGGGTGAATGCCCCTGTTTCGCGTTATGTACCAGTGGATGAGAGATGAAAACCAACCTCACGTTTACCGAAAGACGACTCCTCGCTTTACTTACTTACCTCCCTTCTCTTCACCTATCCCCCCTTCGACAACCCGCCACGATTGGCTGGGCCCGTACACAAAACGCATCGTACTGGCCCCTCACCCGAAGAACACAAAAGTCATCATTGACGCCTTTCAACCCCCCTGGAGGGAGGGAGAGGCAGTTGGGATACATGGAACGAAAAAAAAAAAAAAACACCAACCGGATCCGTCTTTGCTGTCCTGGCAAAGATAGGGAAAGAGACGGAAAGCTTTGGAGCGGTTGGGGAGATTAGACTACTAGAAACCTTTTTTCCATAAGTAAATATACGCCCTTTGAGGTGTTGGAATAACTACAGTGGCTGCTACGTGAATCCTGTGACGTAAATTCCCATCGTATGTTAGGTGCAGTGAACGAGATCGACGCTTCCACAAAAATAGAGATCTCTATGTATTGATTTGTTTTTTAACCGTTTTTTATCTTTTCGTCGACCCCTCTGGGTGCACTAGTATCACAACTAATCGTACGCACCTCCCTCCTATGAAAACAAAACCAAATCAACAAAGAAATAGAAAGAAATTAGGTCGAATGGGCCCTCTCGTCTTCTCTTACAACACCTGGGTCGTTGATATCATGAGCAAACGTATGATGTTGATGTAGCTCTCATCGGAGATTTACCCCCTCTTCGTTACGGCTGATATTCCCCCTTTCTCCTTTCCCAGCTTACTTTTCAGCTTTTCTTCTTCTTCTTTTTCTCTTTTAGTTTTTTCTCGTCTTCGCTTTTTTCTAGTCGAAGAACTTCTTGTACGCAGCCTTCTCCTTGGCAGCGCGGGCGTTAGCCTTGGCCTTGACGGAGTTGAGCTCGTTGGTGACGGCCGAGTCCTCGGGGACGAGCCTATGCGCCTCCTCGAGGTCCTTGAGGGCCGACTCCTCGTCCTTGAGGCGGACGTTGGCGAAACCCCGGCGGTAGAGCGCCTTGGCCTTCTCCTTGCCCGAGAGCCCGGGGACGGCGAGGGCCGAGGTGGAGAAGCGGATGGCTTCGTCCCAGGCCTCGAGCTTGGTGGACAGCAGGGCGGCGTTGGAGTTGAGGGAGAAGCGCAAGGCCGTGAGGGCGGCCTTGGTCTCGGCCGTCTCCTCCTCGAGGTCGGGCTCCTCGTTGAGGTAGCGCAGGCCCTTCTCGTACTTCTCGAGGCCGAGCTTGAGGTTGCCGGACTTGAAGGCCTTGGTGCCGTAGTCCTTGGAGGCGGTGGCGATCTCGAGGACCTTCTTGGCGCTGAGCGGCTGCTCGTTGCAGTCCTCGGGGAAGTCCTCGTGGGGGTCGCCGAGGGCGTCGGGCTGCTTGACGTCGGCGGCCAGGGCGGCCTCGCCGGTGAGCTCGCCGCAGTCGAGGATGGAGGCCTCCTTCTTGGGCTTGTCGCCGGAGCCGGTCTGGAGGTTCTCAATCTGGCGGACGACGGACTTGCCGTTCAGGACCTCGCCGAAGACGACGTGCTTGTTGTCCAGGTGGGGGGTTGGCACAGTAGTGATGAAGAACTGAGAGCCGTTGGTATCTGGGACGAAGTTAGTACTTGATGTGAGAACAAAGGATCAGATCATGTGTGGGAAGCGTCTTACTAGGTCCGGCGTTGGCCATGGACAGGAGGAATGGCTTCTCGTGCTTCCTGGGGAACGCCTCATCCTCGAACTTGGCGCCGTAGATGGACTCGCCGCCAGTGCCGTCGCCAGCTGTGAAGTCACCACCCTGGATCATGAACTGCTTGATGACACGGTGGAAGATGGACCCCTTGTAGTGGAGGGGCTTTCCCGACTTGCCAACTCCCTTCTCGCCGGTGCAGAGAGCGCGGAAGTTCTCGGCCGTCTTGGGGACGAGGTCGGAGTAGAGCTCCATGGTCACGCGGCCCAGCTCCTTTCCATCGAGGCCGATGTCAAAGAACACCCGGGGGCGCTTGGGAGCCTCGCCTGACGCCATTTTTGTTGGTGGGGGTGATGCGACTGTGGTGATGAGTGGTGGTGGGGTTGTGAGGGGAGAGGAAGAACAGTGAGAAGAGGTAGCTTCTGCTCTGTGCGTGAAATCTAGTCTAGGCGTAGAGGAAGGGAGAGGTGCTCGAAGTGGAGGAGGGAGAGGAGGAGGAGGGAGAAGCGAAGGTATTAATGAAGGGAGGTGGTATCCGAAGCGAAGCAAAGAGAAGCGAAACGAGTGAGTGAGGCTGGCTGTATCTGATGGTGGGGTCGGAGTCAAAGAACGCTCGCTGCAGTGAGAGCGCTGGTGAATGCGGGGTACCTGCTCCCGGCTGGTCACCTCAGTCAATGCCGCAGCGTTCCCAGAGCCTGAAACTGTCTTTGTGCCTTAACGCAGCATCAGTCGATCATGCACAGCACAGCGGCTAGCCCACGAGCGTCCGACGCTGCAGCTCAAGGGCGGCCTTTCAGCTGGCCCGGCCCTTGTCCTGCTTTATCATGAATCACCTCCCAGGCGCTAGCCAAGCTGCTTGCACATCCATTGTGCTTGTCTGTGCGTGGATGTAGCCGTCAAACAAACCACATACCCACCTACCCTAGGCCCGGGGCGAATGGGCCGCCTTGTCTGCTCTAGAAGTTTCCAGGGCCAATGCGGCACGCAGACAATTATTACATACAGTACAGCACGTACATGCAATGCATTCATCCCTCCAGGGCCAACGACTGGTGGCTGGACCCCTACCGACAGGCCAAACCTACGCAAGTCCGCACACCTGCAGCCGCTCCCAGAAGACCCTCAGGGCTCACCCACTTAGGCTAGATAGCGGCGATTTGATTCGATTCGATGGTGAAAGCACGCATTGCTGGAGAAATGGAGGCGCAATCTTGAGACGTCCTGCTACCTGAATCCGTTACCGAGGGGAACGACAACCTCGACTGCCAATCCAATTACTCTGCCCTACCCTATGTCTCTGATTCCAGAGCAGACCGTCCGGTACAACTCTCGATAAGCCTTTTATTCCCCGATTCGTGATCTCGCCAACGGCCACCCTCCCTTGCTCGTCCCCTCTCTTACCCTAGATCGGGTGGGCAGGTACTTTGTGTGATAATGCGGTGCACCCGTCAGATTTGCTACTGCCCAGCCAGTAGTGTTTGAGATGGGTGCACAGGATCGATGCGTTGTCCAATGGAGCAACTCGACCATCCTCTCGACCAGCCTGGCAGTCAGCATGTGAGGTCCTGCCCACCAGACGAAATGTGGTCTGATTTCCCTGTCACATATCATTCTCGTTATCCGAATGGTTGCTCACTGCGCTTTGACGAGCGTGGTCGTGCAGCCTAACAAGCGCGGACGCTGCAGGGAGTCGTTGGGTGGGTGGTATACGCATGGCACACCAGAACGCCACACCGAGCCTTGGGCACACCTGTAAGTCGTGCACCGAGGATCTATCGGTTGGCAACAATGGCCGTAATGGACTCTGACTTTGCATACTGTCGTGGTATTTGATTTCCTTTCTGTTATGTTGATGATTCTCGCAGAATATCAGAGCGTCATGAGAGCGGCCTCGGTGTGGCACACTCTACGTCGCTCACTGGGGAGTGCCTTGTTGGTTGCATTGCCTAATTCCCTTGCGTGTGGCTCGCTGGTGATAGGTTACCGACCTTGTCCCAGCTTGCTCTGAATAAGGAATGGTTCATCATGTTGGAGTTTCAATAGTGCTGTTCCATGCCATTGTAATCCATGCCTTGCTGCGTCTATTGTCTATCCTGATCGAGCCATATGGTGCGACTATCATGACTAACCCATCGCTAGTGAAACTCACAGTTTGTGATCTATCTGTTTGCCTTCCCAGTCCAGACTCCAGACTCACTCCTCCGGGGCTTTCCCCCCAGCTTGGAGCTCGAGCGTAACCTAGCCAGAGGGCCCCAACGGTAAATGTCAGCCAACTCGATCCGATCGCTTCAAGACGGGCCGAGCCTCGAAGCGGCGATAGGGCGCAAGTTTTACATACCGGACCATCGTTGACCAATGCCACCTGCATCATAGCTTGGAACTTGCCGTCTTTGACTCGTTCGGGGCTGTACCCGGCCCCTATTTTCTGAACCAGAGAGTGGTACAGCGGGATGGCTTCGTCGGGGCCCATTGCGCCGTGGAAGTCGGGCTTGGTGCCCTTCTTGGTTTTGGCCAGGAGAGTGAATTGTGAAACTGCAGTGTGCCAAATGGGCCGTCCAGTCAGCCTGACGCCTGGACCTCGCTTCCCCTTTCCCACCCTTCCCAGATGGCTATTCCGTTTGGGATGAGAGGAGATGGGTCAAACCGATGGGGGAGAAAAGCTGAGATTCTTACCGCAGAGAACCTCGCCCTCGATGTCCATTACATTCTTTTTCCACTATTGCGTGGCGAATCGAATGCCAAGATCAGCAACAATAAAAGTCTCGACCGGACGCCACAGACGTATTGGAAAAGGGGAGGGGATCCGAGATTACCTTGCCGCCAGCCTCGTCATCCCATAGTTTCATTTTCAAGACTTTATTGGCGATGGTGGTGATCTCCTTGTCCGTATCACCTGGCGCCACGGCGGCAAAGACCAGGACGCCTTTGCCAATCGAAGAGACGACCTCCTGGTCAACCGTCACCGAGGCTGAGAGCACACGCTGGATGATGGCTACAGCAAATTGTGAGATGTGAGATGTCCATTTTTTCTTATCATGTGGTTCAATTTTTTACATAAACGGTGATGTCCATACCCTTCATTGCTTTTTCTTTTGTGACCCAGGTTCGTCTCGCTAAGACCGGGGGAGCTGTTTCACATGCACCACAACCAGCTGAACACAAGAGGCTGTGCGTAGACCAATGCAATGGCAAAGTGTGTTGGGGGGCCGCAAACGCCGGGGCTCTCCAAAGCAAGGCAGTAGGTAGGCAAATAGGATAAGGCAACCAAAATACCTCCGAACCTAGGTGTAGGTGGTGGTTGCTGGTTGGCTTGGGGTCTTGTTTGGGGCCAATTGCGGGCAGAATAGAGTTGTTTTGCAGCTGCCAGTCAGACGTCGTCGGTCCTAGAATTAGGCCCCTCTAGGCCGGTATTGAGTGGTCGAGTCGGGTTTTGCAGGCGCGTGCGCGAGTCGACTACTGTAAGGCGGCTTTGGGCCGCTGTTGGGGCTGCTGCTGCCGCTGCCGTCATGTGAGCATGGGGGTTAGGTATAAGTGCGCCTTCGTGTAGCGCCTATAACATCGCGGGTGGGCTGCCGATGTACCTCAGCCGGGAGAAACAAGAGGACTATCACACACTCGAGTTCAGACCAGTCTGCCCGGGCTCATGCTACATCTCCTGTCACACAAGCCCTCCTTCAAATCAAACTCTGTTCGTTTTTCCAGGCAGGAGGCACTCATCGGGGCCCATTGCAGCGGCCGGCTTCCTTTGCGGGTCAACTGCATATCGACCCTACCTGGTACCTAACCTCTGCTAGCCAATGACATGCGCTGAACCTGGACTCTGCCAAACGCAAAACGCCTAGGCTTGCAGCTGGAGCACTTTGGAAGCGGCATCAACAAATCAACCACGAAACGACCACGACGGCCTCTTCGAATCGTCAGGTCCGACCGTCCCAGACCCAGCAGCCTTTTTCTCCCCGACGCAGGCTGCGCCGTGCCATTTTGCGCTCCCCGCACTAGCACCGCATCCGGCGGATTGCTGAATCTACAGATCATCGTCGATCCACCCCGTGACGACATCTGGCCTCTACCAAGCTCTCTCTGGCAGCTCGAGACCGAACAACTAGGATCCCAGCACGAAGAGCGACTACTCATCCGATTCCAGGCAAATTCGTGAGCGCCCAAGGCTCGCAGACACAGTCACAATGGCGGCAAGGAAACTGCAACAAGAAGTGGACAAGTGCTTCAAGAAGGTGGCGGAGGGAATCGCCGAATTCGAGGGCATCTACGACAAGATCGAACAATCAAATAACCCGGCCCAGAAAGAGAAGCTCGAAGACCAGCTGAAACGTGAGATCAAGAAGCTGCAGCGGTTGCGCGACCAGATCAAGACATGGGCGGCGAGTAACGACATCAAGGACAAGGCTCCCTTATTGGAGCACCGCAAGCTGATAGAAACGGTTGGTGACACACCCCATGGCCGGGAGGGCCTTTTCTAGATGGTCGTACCAGGTTGGACTGTATCGTGTACTGATTGCGCATTTTCGCCGTGTTTCTAGCAAATGGAGAAGTTCAAGGCGGTTGAGAAGGCCATGAAGACCAAGGCCTACTCCAAGGAAGGTCTATCAGCTGCGGCCAAGCTAGATCCCAAGGAGCAGGCCAAGGTCGAGACCAGCGACTTCCTCAACGGCACCGTCGACGAACTGGAACAGCAGATCGAGACCCTCGAGGCCGAGAGCGAAGCCTTATCAGCGACGATGAAGAGGGGCAAGAACCACAACCAGAAGGCAGAACGCATCGCAACGATCGAGACCATCATCGAGCGACATAAATTCCATCAAGGCAAGCTAGAACTCATCCGAAGATCGTTGGAGAATGGCGCCATCACGACGGATCAGGTCAAGGATCTCGAGGAGAGCATCAAGTACTACGTCTCCGACGGCATGAACGATGACTTCATGGAAGACGAGGGGCTCTACGATGAGCTGGATCTTGACGAGGAGGAGGGCACCTACGGTATGTCTTTGGACAACGAGAAGGGCTCATCACAGGACACACAATCCGTGCAAGACGACTTCGTACCAGAGCTCGAACCGCCAGTGAAAACGAGGAAAGTGCAGAAGGAACCCGACGTCCCGACCACCACCGCCCGAAAGACTTCATCCCAGACCAAGTCACCCTTACCAGCACTCGCGACGTTACATACTCCGCTTTCTACAACCAACGGGACTGGCAGCGGCCCTTCAATGAAGCCGGCATCTTTACCCACCAGGCCAGCGGGCGAGGGTCTGAAGTATGCCTCAGCGGCGGCAGCAGCTGCGGCCAGCGACAAGAACAATGTGGGCATCGCACCTTTACCACCGCCGCCTGGGTCTCAGAGCATAGGCATATCACCGTTACCGCCAATCCAGGCCAGGACGAGTGCGACAAGTTCTCCCGCCACCTCGATGGTGCTGCCTGCATCGTCGTCATCTGATTCTAGGCACATTCCGGGGACCAGCTCGGGGCTACCAGAAGCGGACTCATCTGTGCTGATTACTCCTGCTCGACAAAAGAAGACCAAGGCTGCGAAGCAATCCGCAGCCGCAGAGGCAGCAGAGTCAAGCAAAGGTACTTTTCCGGACCCCAATTGTGATTACGACGCTCTTAGCATATTGACGTGTTCCGCAGCAGTTGTCCCGACGAACGGGGTTACGAATGGCATCAAGCCAATCGAGGAGGCCGAAGAGGAGTCCATCTATCACCTTCCAGCCTCATTACACGACCTTGTCGAGTCGTTCGAGGGCTCGAAAAAGCGTATCCCGCATCCCGCGTCACAGGCTGCCATCCGAATGATGAGCACAAGCCAGGCCAGCTGCCCCGACCAAAGTGATGCGGACTTCCCCCGGAGCTACCACCCCGATGCGCCCATGCCGGCCGCCTCAGCGTCAGGATTCCCCAAGGAGCCCCTGCCCATCTTCGACGACCCAAGGCTGTACTCTCGCATAGACTCCGACACCCTGTTCTACGTGTTCTACTACAAGCAGGGGACGCCGCACCAGTACCTGGCCGCCAAGGCGCTCAAGGACCAGAGCTGGCGCTTCCACAAGCAGTACCAGACTTGGTTCCAGCGTCACGAGGAGCCCAAGAACATCACCGACGAGTTCGAGCAGGGCACATACCGCTTCTTCGACTACGAGAGCACCTGGTAAGTCTATGTTCCCGCCCTGTTACGCACTTTTCTGCCTTCACACGTACCACGTCTTACTAATACCGCCGCCCAGGATGAACCGGAGGAAAGCCGACTTCAAGTTTGCTTACAAGTTCCTCGAAGACGATATCTAAATGGCTTGGGTCAGACCCCCCATCCATTGCACTTTTTTCCCGTTTGGTTTTGTGGCGCCGGAAACCGGCACTGGGGCATCAGGACAGGGAAAGGAAAAGAAACAAACTTGGGGAAAGGGGAGTCAACAAACAAGATTCCCTCTTCCCCCAAATTCCGATAACGGTGTTAGGAGGGTCTTTTACTTTTTTTTCATGCGTGTTATGTGACTAAGGTGGTCATTGTTGGTTTTTTTTGTAAGGTCCTCTGACGGGGATCCTGTGTTTACCCATTTAACCCAAATGCCCGCTTTCCCCCCTTCCCCGGTTCATGTTTTTCTTGTTCTTTTTTTGGGTCAAACCGCATCGTCGTGGGGTTTTAAGGGATTCACGGGAACTTTGGGGCCAAAGGGGTTTAAAGTCTTTTTTTTTAGTCCTACGAAACATGGCCAGGAATCAAGCAAATGGTAGCTGTTGAAAGCCTCTCTCCCTCTCTCTCTCTCCCCCCGCCCACTTTACCGTTCCCCAAGGTATACTTTCTGCCTTGGGCGTATTGGAGGTGTGGGAAGGGGAAAACCCTGGGGCCAAAATCGCAAACGATTTTCCTCTCGTCCTGCATTGTGTAGCATCAAGTGTGACATGTCGTATCTCGGAGGGGGAGGGGGGAGGGCCTGAAGTGGCATTCCGTATCGAACTTGGTCGGCTTAGCAGCCTCATTATTTGAAATTCAAGTCTCTTTTCAACCCACCCCTTTTTTTTGTAATCTTTTTTTTTGGGGTGTGATTCGGTTAGACCCCGCATGCAGATGATTTCTGCTCTTTTTTTTTTTTTTTTTTTTTTTTTTTTTTT